TTATTATTAATCTTATTAATAGTAAAGCTATCTATTAAAATATAAAAAGATCTTATTATAATAGAGTTAAAATAGCGTAATATATTCTTAAATATATTAAGCTAAGTAATCTTAAAATTACCCTAAAGCTAGTTAGGCCTAGGAAGATATTCCTAGCTTCTAGAAATTAGGCTTATATATAGGTAGACCTCTTATAATTAGATCTCCTTAATTATATTAGTAATTATTAGCTTAAAGTTAACCTATAGGCGCTCTTTATTAGTCTTCTTTTATTAATTATAAATGCGGAAGCTAATATAATATCTATAAATAATTAATATAATTATTTAGATATTATAATATATTATTATTTTTACTTAGTCTTAATATTTAGGTATTATATCTTATACTTATCGATAAGGATATTATTACTAGTATTATCCTTAAAAGGCTCTTTTATTAAGCCCTATTAATTCTATAGGTTAAAGCGAGAGTTAATAATTAGAAAGATTATATCTTAAATATGACCTTAATTAGTCTTAGTATTATTATCTTTAATAGGGGAGATTAATAATATATTATAGCTTATATGCTTTTATTTAGTATTAACTAAGAATTAAATAAATATCTTAGTTTATATAAATCTATTTATGCTAGGCTTTAATAAGGTATTTCCCTTATTTTAAGGATTAGTATATATAATTACTATAAGTAGCTATTATACTTATATTTTCGCCTTTTAGTTTTTCTCGAGTATAAAAAGACCCTTATTATATATAAGGGGATATATCTTTATATAATAATACTTATAATAAAGTATATATAAAGCCTCGAGGAGTACTTAATAGTATATTTTAAGATAGATATAGCGATCTCTCTAGATAATATTAGTATTATCCTTACTTTATTATTTAAGTTATATATTTATATCTTTCTCTTTATTATAGCTATATATTCTATCTTATTATCCTCCTTATTAATCTCTATCTTAATAATATAATTAAGCCTATAATTAATATTATTAAGCTATTATTATTTATCTTTATCTAGGTTAAGGACCTCTTTCTAGGCGATATCCTTAATATCCTAAGAAATATTATTATTATCCCCTTAAGAGGAATTAATAATAATAGCCTAAAGTTAGTCAGGGTGCTTTCTAAGTGCTATACTAAAAATATTATTAGTATAAATATTATTATAATAATTAATTAATACTTATTATTTTATATTATAGTCTTATCGCGTATTATTAATTAATATGCCCTATATAGCTATATCCGCCGATTAATACTCTTTACCCTTCTCTAATTTCGCTTTTACTCGGCTTTATTATTACTTATAGGCCTTAATAGCTTTCTCCCTGCGCTTTATATCCTTAGGTAGATTTTTATTATACTTCTAGGCTTTAATAATATTTAGGTTCTAGGAAAGCTCTTCTTTAGCCTTTTATTTCTTTAAAGGCCCGCTAATAAGGCGCCTTAGTCTAATTAATATAAAATAATTATTATAAATACTATTTTATTAATATACCTCGTAGTTATCTAATTATAATAATATATATTATTAATATTATAATAGATTAAAAAAGAATATTATTTATAAGTTATTAGAATATATATTATTAAATATTAATAGTAATTAAAAAGGAAAAAAAAAAAAAATATAATATAATATATTAAATAATATAATATAATATATTAAAAATATCTCTCTTTAATTAAAAATTAATATATATATTATTATAAAAAGGATAAAAAGAAATAAAAAAGGATAAATTTAATAAAAAAAGTAAAAGAAAAATAAATAAAGAGCTTAGTATTTTTCTTATCTCTTTAGCCTATTAACCTATATTTACTTAAATCTAATTAAGCTAGACCTAAATAGGCTTAGCTAGAGTATTTCTATATTTCTTATTAATTACTTACGCCTTTCTTATGAATTTATTATTATAATACTCTTTATTTATAATAATTAGTAATACCTTATTTACCCTTTGCCTTTATAGCTTTAAGAGCGCTATATATTTTCCCTCCTTATATATACCTTTTCTTTTTTTTCTCTATATTAATATTATTTTCTTTATATACCTATAATCTAATTAGGTATATTTCTTTTTATTTATAGTAATTACTTATATTAATCTTTATAATACTTAATATTCTTTGCCTCTTCTTATTAAGACTTATTTATATTGCCTATATACTCCCTTATTAGGTATTTCTTATTTTTACTTTATAGTTATTATTTATATTAATCTTTATAATACCTAATATCTCTTATATCTTCTCTTTTAGATTTAGTTATATTACTTATATACTCCCTTATTAGGTATTTCTTATTTTTACTTTATAGTAATTATTTATATTAATCTTTATAGTAATTATACCCTCTCGTATTATCTTTTATCCTTATATTACCCGTGGCTAAAAATAGAATCTTAATTATATATACTATATTTATGCCTATGCCGCGGCGCTATCTTAGCCCCTAGCTTAGATAAATAATCCCTAGTATACTAATAAGACTCTACCTAGCTATAACCCCCCTGCGCCCTAATAGGCCCGCCGCTTTAGACCTAAGAATATATTACTTCTTTCGCTTATTTTAATTATATTAATTACCCTTAGTTATTTATCGCAAGGAAATTACTTAAGTATATAGAGATTCTTAGCGTCTTATCTTCCCTCTTATTACCTTTACTTAGCTTATAAAGGAGATTATATATATTAAGATAAATAATATATATATATAGCTAAATATTATCTATATCCTCTAAGAGGCTAATAAGTTATTTTTTACCTCTATTTTTAAAAGTAAGTCTTTTTTAATAATATAGTAATTAATATATATTAATTTACCTTAGTTATTAATAAGCTTATTAAATATAATAAATATAAGACTCTTATACCTTAAGACTTTAAGATATTCTATAAGGTTTTTAGAATATTTTTATCTAAGGCTATAAAAATATTTGCCCTATAATTATATTACTTTTTTCTTATATTATTATTATTAGTAAGGTATTTAAATATAATAATAGGATTTATTTTATAGTAATTATTTAGTTTCCTTTTTAATTAGCTATTTATTTATTTTATTTCCTTTAAATATATCTTAGTATATTATATTTAGGTACCTATAAGTATTTTTATATTTCTTATAGGTTTTATTAATATATCTTAAGTACTTATTAGGTAACCTATATAGCCTATCTGGATTTTCCTTTACCTATTAGGTCTTTTATCCTTTTTATTAGGTGCCTATGGGTACCTATGGGCTAGGTATTTTAAACCCTGATATCTGTTTCTGCATAGATGCCTATCGAGGCGCTGTTCTTAATTTAGTACTGGTCCTAGCGTTAGATAAGAGCCTAGCTTGTCATCATTTACATCTGGTGTCAAAATGACATTGACTCCATCTGTCCCAATGTATCATGCTTACACCGGCTTCACTCTGGCTCAAAGAGGCCTAGGTCTTATATTGCCGCCGTCAAAAGACAAAGCTCCGTGGAGGAGGTTTCAATTGATATGTATGATAAAGCTGTTCTCGTTGCGTATAACGAGGTTTCGGTACGGGACGGCGGCAAAGCTTGTTTTATGCGCTGGCATGTCCTTTATTTAAAAGAGATGCATTTTGACAGAAATTGCGACTCTGGACCTATGGTCTAAGTTTAATATGAGTTTAAAGAATCCTCAATAAATAAATCATTAATCTTTAGGTGCCATATATATAAATTCTATACACTTGTCATCCAGGAAATGTGATATGTATCATCATAATGCCAGTCAAAAAGTCAATTCAGAAGATACAGAGCGCGTACCTGCACGATGCGAGGAGCCTGAAACAGTGTTGGCAGAGTATTGGCAATGTGCATGATGCAATGATGGCCCCTTTGAAGACGTCTTATGGATAATGAAAAAAATATTTTCCGAGCTTACTACATCCTAGATCATTTTCTTATTTACATGTTCTTCTTACTGCCTTCACTCAGATTCCAGAGTCCCCCCGTTTCATGCAGCATCGTCACCACGACATGTGTTCTCACAGTCTTGTGATCCTTCCTTTAGCTCATTATGCACCGTTTCTTCTTCGGGGCTTAGACGAGGTACTCTTTTCCCCTGATGGATGGTCCCAAGGTTGATAGACTTTCCCTCAAAAAGAAGATGGAGGTAGTGGATACTGTATCCACGAAAAAGGCGAAACGGCTCGTCAACCCACCGCTCAATTTCATCCCAAAGAATGTTAAGGTCTTTTCCTTCCTTGCGACATACTCCATAATTAAGCAGGTACTCCTGCCCGGCTTCTCGTAGATAATGGTACGCAGTCTCCTGGAGATAGAGGCTCTTCGAGACCTTTGAGCCAGACCAATCGGAGATGAGAGGCGTGTAGACGATGGTGATAGGTTTCGATAAGAAGCGCCAAAGGAGCTGTTCTTGCCAAAACCCGGCGTAATCGCTCCCACAAATTTCGATCCAGTTGTACGAAACTCTTTCGTAATAGAGGCCAAGAACCAAATTGAAGAGTTGGCAATTGAACTGGAACTGGTTGCATTCTGTTTTAGTGCTGTAAGAGAATCTTCCATGCGAAGGGCATTCGAATGAAACGCTCGAACCATCCTCGGCATAGATATTCTTGGTGCCATATTTCTCGACCAACCCACATGTTGGGCATCCAGCCCGGATGGCCAACGCAGCTCGGCCTGGTGCTAGATATCGGCCATAGAACTCTCGATTGAGGATCAAGTCCTGTAACACGCCGGGAATGGCTTGATTGCTGAGAAATTCTTCTTCCATCCGAAGGTGATGGGGGACTCTGTATCGTTCGCTGAGTGTTGAAAGTATCTCGACGTAGTGTGGCAGATACCGTTGGAATGTGCCTTTGTCCCGAAGGCTTCTTTGGTATGCCACCCCATCTATCGTGTATTGCTCGCCCTTTGCGCGGTCCCAGAGGTCACAAGTCACCGAAACGTCAAGGCCGATGTCAATCAGGCGACGAGCAACGACGAACGCAAGGCCAAGGCTGCAGAGTGTGCCCACATGTGGCGAGCAATTTGGTTGAATGATGATGTTTACTTCGGTTCTGTGGCTTGGATCTCGGAGCAAAGTTTTGAGGTATGAAGGATAGTCCGATTTGAAAGCATACGAGCCCCCACCAAGAGCATGATGGGAGGACAAATCATAAGCGACCGGAATGTCGTTAGACATTAGGAGATCCCGCAGCGATTATGTTGTGTTGAACTGATTAGGAAAGATATCTGATGCGGAGACCCGTGTTGTTAAGTATCTGTCCTGAAAGGGGGCGTACGGAACTGTTGATGCCTGATGAAGCGCCATCTTTATACCGGTTAGGTACGCTGCTTTCTTTCCTAGATTGCATTCACAAGGGAACATGGTGTCCAAATCTTATCACGGCATGACTGCCAGCATGGGATCGCACAAGTATGCTGATGGCAGTTTTGAGTAGCCTTTGTGTGCTGAGCCGTCCACATGACAGGACTCTATTCTCTATTGTTACCACTGTGTGAGCACAAAGTTAGGCAGCCTCTTTGGTTACCAGGGTAATGAGGGCTGTGCAACCCATTAAATGCACCCGGGAAAAACTTTGTGAACCTGTTTATTTGACTTTCCTGCATCGTGACTGAAAAAAAAGCTTCTAGGCTGTTAGGCGACAGAGAAGCCTCTCTTATCCCCGCAAACCATGATTGCTTTTTAAAAGCCCAGCAGGCCTAAATGTAATAACTTCTCAACAGATTTCATGAATCCAAATTAAGAGTCATCAGACCGAGACCCTGTGTGAGAGGGTAATGGCCATTGGTTGGGGGTTAGCGGATGCTATTTAATTCGCAGATATCCGCCTGTGTTCGCTGCCACTGTCATTGCACTGTCATCCTTCTCATCACACAAACAAACACAAACACGAACACAGCTTCAGACATCACAACACCAAACCACCTACATCTTCACAGTGAATCACCATCATCACATCGCACGCAATGGCACGTGTTCAGAAATCTCGCAAGGCCGCCTCCTCTGCCACCGCCCGCCACGTCAAGCGCGCCAAGAAGCCGGCTGTTGTGCCCAAGGTGGCGCCGCCCAAGCCCGTCCGTACCGATATGATTCTCGCGATGAACGACCCCTACATGCAACAGATCATCGACGGCACCAAGACCCACGAGTTCAGAAAGTACAACATGGCCGGCGTCAAGAGAATCTGGTTTTATCGCACCGCACCACATTCCGCCATCACACACATCTGCCCCGTGGACGAGGCCGTCACCCGAAACCCGGGCGACAAGCCCCTCCCCGAAGACGGCCTGGGGAACAAGGAGTACAATGAGGAGCATGTGGACTACGAAGGCTACGACTACGCATATCGCATCAAAGAGGTGTATGAGATCAACGCAGAGGGGGGAAAGGGGATTGCATGGGCAATGATGAGAGATGAGCATAGCATGAAGATTGCACCTCGTGGAAGAGTTACTGTCCCAGTTTCCATGGTGGCGCAATACCCTCTGGAGAACCAGCGCAAGATTCGTTAGGGAGGTGAACCACGGCTTGTACATTGGGCTTGAGGAGAGTTATTGGTAGTAATGATTTTGATTTTCAATATGCTTAACCCAAAGTGACATTTCATGGCAACAGCTCCAGGGCACTGTTAGAGTTGGCATCTAGTTGCTCCATCCCCTTGCTCTTTTTGCGCCGCGCCATCTCTTTACGAACAGCGCCCGCGACATACAATGAAAACACAATGATGCCAACCACAGAATATGCAGCTATCAACCCTGCAGAGGCTGAAGCTAGTTGCAGTCCGATTCCACCGTTAATTATACCAATAATCATCAACACCCTCCCGTACCAAAGATGCCCATGGCTAACAGGTGTTCTCTTCTGAAACTTGACGTAGTTGCGGTGATGCAACCATCCAAGTACAGGCTGCAGGATCATCAAGATACAGACGGCTAGGCCAAGCTGGACATGAGGTTCATTGAGCCACTATTAAGTGTTAGCACCCAACACATGAGATCGAAGCTTGAGATGTCCTTACCTGTCCGTTTTTATCGGCAGCAATCTTACCAACCCCAAACCCAACCCACATGCCCACAAATACCATGATCTGCCAGCCAGCGTGAACAAGCCATTTCCCAATCAGAGGCATCAGCAACGATCCAATGGGGAATCCAATGAGAAAGACTATCGACATGATGATGCCATGAATGGTACCGCTGTGGTCTTCGCCTCCGCCGCCGCCAGAGACAGCATCGTTGCCAGAAGTAGAGGTGGGCGTCTTGCTCGATGTCTTTGTAAAGGGGTTCTCATCAGAGGCGATACTGGCTTTGGAAAAATCCACTGAAAACCCATCCGTGCCGTCGTGCTCCTCGATGATGGCGCGGACACTCGCAGAGTCCAAAGCTTGACCTTTCTTCCACGCACCGATCCAGTCATTGGACCCGGAGAAGTCCATGCGAGTAAAGCCATTGCATTGTACATTAGCAACCATTGTCTTGTTGGACACTCCAGTTCCCTCAAGCAACTTGACACCTTGGAACGTGTTGTACTCGGGCATGTCGTGGCCGTGACCCTTTCTTGTACTGAGAGTGATGTTCCCAGAGCCATCTTGGTACATGACAAACATTGTGGAACCACTCATGCCAGTACCAGTTCCGAGGGCGACCCATTGGTAGTCGGCGGGAGCTTCGAGGCGGAAGAAAATGTTACCAGAGCCTGAAGAGGCTGTCGATTCTGGGACGCCCCAGCTGTAGCACACGTCGTTGGAGTCACCGGTGCAGTAGGTTGCAAGTGTTGCTGATGCTTTTTGCGTAACTGAACAAGAACAAAGTGGTATGTGAGTAGACGTTCACGGCCCAACGGAAGAATGGCCTGTACTTACGGAGTGACATCGCCGAAATAACGGCTGTACTGATGAGAGACTTCATCACGGGGAGGGGTTTGAGTGAAGCGATAGAAAAAAAACGGACAACAATTTAAACCAGCAATATGGCTGAGAGAAATTAACTGAATGTCGGAGCCCTTTCTATAAGTTTAACAGGCTTGGCCTCGGGACACCTTAATTATCCCTTGTCTCCCAACAACAGCCAAAGCGGCGACCAATCACACCCCGGGTCACTGAGGGCAAGCGTGCGTCATCGAGACAAAGACGTGGGCTATAAAAAGGGACAGGGCAGGGCAAGTCTCAGCCTCAAAGCCACATCCGTCCAATGGCGGGCCTCGCAATTCTAATGACGAGGTCTAGAACGCCGGTGGGCAGCCATGGTGAGGGAACACGGGGTTCAGGCGGCGCTACCATCAGACTGGTCTCGAACTTGAGTCGTTTCGTGTGGAGGATCGACTTCAGATCCCGTCTTGGCATTTTTGACAGCATCCATAATTTAATACCGTGATCAAGATGGCCAAGGATATCGCTTTGATCAACATTCAAGTCTCCCTGGCCTTCCCACTTGTAACTTCGACAATACTAAGCTTACAAGTGTGCCTTCGGGAATTACCGTAGCGCTTTATGCTGCGCCCGGAGGCACTCTCAGCTGATACGAAGCCACCAAGTCGTTTCTTTGTGGCGCTCGACTCGTCATGCGACTTCCCCTGCCGAGTGCCGAGTCCTCAAAGCCAGTGGCCACTAGCAAGCTTCGGATCTCATTCTACCCGTGGTCGAGCCCACCATCATATCATCTCTACTGTCAAAGGATTACGTGGCCGGGGTTATTATAGAACTGACATGCGCATCATAGCCATTGAGCACCGCTTCGACGGAACCAACATGTTTTCTCTGATTAACAGACCAATATTTTACAGGGATTTCCATGACTGCATTGCCTCCCATAGTGCAAGGGTTTAGTCAACACTTAACGCGGAATCTTTTTCTTCTTCATCCCCAAGAGTCAGTTCCTCATCACCAGAACTTGACCTTTCTACTGCTTCGCTCCATAGCCTACAGGCTGGACCGTCATATACCGGGTCAAACCACAAGTGCTGCTCGAAGCAAGGTTTGACAACGTTCCAGGGCGTTTTCTGGGCAAGTTTCTCAACACGGGTGCCATAGCACCCCTCCAACTCTGTGAATCTGGTAGCAATTGCACCGAGGACTGTCGCCCAGGTCAAGAGCTCTGAGATTTGGTCATCCTCGGTGGGATCTTGCTTATCCAACCTTTCTAGTAAGCGCAAGATCCTCTTTGCGTGGCGTAGCTTAATTCCCGTGTGGGGTGGTGTCGGAAGAAGGACCATGTCGACATGAAGGAGTGCACAAAGCCTGCAGATCTGGCGATGTGTACATGACACATCGATTTCTGACTCTTCATCTTTGCCTTCCGTAGGCATCGGTGTGTAGGGAGACAGAGATAGAGTTGTGTGAGCTGCCCAGTCGCAGTTGTTGAGCAGCACATCCAGCGAATCAGGCGCCCCCTCTCCACCACGGCAGTAATGATCGAGGCCGACAGTGACTTCCAACATGACCTGAAATATTTTGACTAGGCTTTGGTCCAGATAGATGGGTATCACTCCGTCGGGACTTGGCCGTAGACGTTGACCATACGTTGTGAGCATTTTACTGGCTTGTGCATCAGGCTTCCATGAATTGCCACCGAGTAGTGGTTCTAGCTGGCGCGGACAAGAGAACCTGGGCACACACCCTTTCCGAGCACTGTAGACGATATCAAACCTGTGATTAGGAGTTAGTGGAATGGCCCGATAGGCTAATCGACAGAGTTGTTCGGGGCCTTACAGAGGTAGCACGTATCCAAAAGCATGCGGGTCAACGCATGAGATTCCTCCGTTCTGCTCGACGAGGTAATAGAGCGCTTTAATATGCTCCTCTCCAAACGTCATTCTCCCATAGATGTTCATGTCGCGGTAGGTAGCCATCGGCGACAAGGGGTGCGGCTCAGGTCTATCCGTCAGGTCAAAGTTTCCATGGATTGCGAGAATAAAGATGGCGAGAAGGAGACCCTGGTCGACTCCAGAAGAGCCTGGCTTGTACTGCTCTATCTTGGTTCTCAGAGCTCTGATGGCTTGAATCTTTCGCTGCAGCCCTCTTGTGATGATGCGGTTCTGCCCATCAGCGCCAGGCGACGAGATGGAGTAGTGGGTAGAGGATCCAAGTATCTGAGCGTAGAAAACCAAGGGAGATTCCATGGTTCTTGTTATCCACGAGTGAGCAAAGTCACGTTTGTGGGTTTCTGACTCCCCAAACGCCGGTAGAGTCCTGTTGAATGCTGAATGATCTGTTAGACCTATGCGCAACCCGTGCAACTAGTATGAAGCGTAGCTCACCATAATGAAGTAAAAATTGCTCTTCTCGTGCCGGCTCTGGGACAGCGAGAGAGTCGAACGGATCCAAGCTCGCGGCCTTTTTTGGACTGAGCGGGATTTTGCACCGATGGCTGGCTCTCAAGCGCCGAATATCCCTGTCATCCCCAGGGTCGTCGGTCTCGCCAGTGAGGCGATAATGATTTCGGCGAGGTTTTGTTCCCGGGGAACAACTTATGAATTGCAGCACTTTTGGCTTCTTGGCCTCCTTGAGGGCAGCCTGGCGTGCAACGTGAGCACGTGCCTCTGCATTGAGCTGACCTTTGTCCGATGAGCCGGCAGCAGATTGGTGTTGGAGGAAGAACAGCGGACGAACACACGTCGAAGGCATCGCCATTTGCTAGCAAGATCATGGGAGTGGTCAAGGTGTGAAAGATTTGCCAGGCTGGAGGAAATGGACGTGTTCCCTTTTAGCTTCATTTAGCACACACAGCTAAAGTGCAGATGATCTCCATGTGAATGCCCCCCCTGTTACAGCCTTGTTCTTTTAGTGAGCCACTGAGAGTGTGGCTGTGACACAAGCGGGAGAGAAGCCAAGACGACCTCACGTGAAGATTTCCCGTAATTGAATCAGTTTGCTTCCAGTAGACACCTCTAAGCCACTCCATTTCGAGCCGCATTTCGTGTCTGATGAAGCCAAGAAAAGTGGTTGTGATCCTCGGCGACGATCATTACTGGAGATAGAAGGTGGAGTCTTTCTACTCTGGGTTAGTAGCTTATTACCTCCACTCAAAGACTTCCTCCTATTGGCTCAACGTGAGAAGCTGGAGTGTCAGATCTGGCATGGGTGCTGGTCCCCTTGGGAAGGTGGTTGAAACGTAACCCTTCTCTTACCCAATGCTCAACACTGTTTTCCCCCCTCAATTTCACTTGAAGAAGAATCTAGCAGGGAGGGTCCTCACAGCGAGTTAGCTAGCTGATAACAGTGAGACCCTGAATGGGTAGATCAAGTTGGAGCAGTGTTCTCCTCCCCTGCGTATAGGGTAGCTCACACTCACGATGACAAAATGGTCAATCGTGGACACGAAGCCTGACACCTTGCTGGTTGCGAGTGAGACGAAAATTATGATGTCCAAGCTTCTCAAAATATATTTGATTATCTAAATGTTATTCATGTGCCGTTGAAGTAGCTGCTCAGGGATATTCGATGCGAGTTGGAAAAGAATCTGTCAGCAACAGAGGAGCTTCTCACTGAGCTCTGACTTACTTAAACGTCATGATAAACGCACTGCCAGGGAGTGACAGTAGTTCCCGCAGCTTAGACACCGATAATAAAGCACGTTTGATATATAAAGAGTCCTAAATCACAAGGAAATTATCCAAGAATGGAGCCAGCCTGTCACGCACGAGGCTTTCAAAGTTCAGACTCGTGATATGCAGGCTAAAATAGACCGATCTATAAAATGTTAGACCGGTGGTCTTGGGAAACAGGTAAAAATATCAATCGACCTTGGTGGCTTACTAAAAGGGCTTATTGATTGATGCAAGCTTTGTGTGGCTGCAGAAGCCAGGGGTAATTTACGAAGAGGGCGTTCAGGAACAAACTTTGCCGTTTGGCCCGCTGCCGACATCCGACACATTGTTGATGGTACTTGTTAGATCTTATGTAAGAGTTCCCGCAGTTAGAAACGGTGCATAGTGCTGTGATCGGCCGATCAACTGGCTCGTGGGAAATCGGTAGTGTGGGGATGCTAGGGCTCCTCATATCCATGCCTGCCTACCTTCTTTGATGCTTGTCCGCCAAGGGGCATTCAGGAACTCCAGGCTCCCTCTTCTCTTCTCGTTGCACTCATTTCGTGTTTTCTTTTATCCAAACGATGGCGGATTTCTGTTCTTCTATTCCGCTCACCATTCCGCGTTTCGTGGCCAATGAGGGCTTCAAACACCAAAACGTGGGATACAAGACCAGTCACACCCGCAGCCTCACGTCCCCCTGCTTCGACCCTGGAATTTACCCATCTCACCAACTCGGTTACGGCCCCATCATTAAGCGCCGTAAATCCGAAGAATTAAGCTTGATCAGTCCTCGCTTGTTGGCCTGATGTGCCTTCCGATCAGGTGGTGGTGGCTTTGCCCCCAAGAAACGGGGCGTACAGTCTCCCACGTGTCGTACTTAACCCTGGCTTGCTGTCTCTTGTCTTGCAGAAACTGTTCCATTCAGATGTGGCTTGCTGGCACCCAGTTATGTTGATTGGTGTGCGAACCACACAATGTTCAAGGCTGCCCTTCCTAAGCCCCCAAGTTTGCGTCGGTAAAAACGCCTTGCTTGGCATGCTTTTAAAGCGTCGTGGCGCTCTACTGTGGAAGCATCTCAAATGTTGTTCCTGTGACTCTCCCCCCTTCTTTGCGTCTCATGTTTCTCTTTTAGCATTATGGCAACCACCGTGGCCTTGCTGTTCTGGGCAGCTTCTGAAGTTGCTGCAGTTGATCTGAAATTATGCAACAAGACCATTACGAGCGGCCTTTTGAATCAATCCATCAACTCGGATGATGGCATTTTCTTCTTTCACGAAGGCAGACCCATGTCTGAGCCGGGACATCTCAAGCTTACCATCGACGGATGCCACAAAATGTGTCCAGAAGCAGACTTTGGCTTGTACGAAGACATGTGGCCTCGAATCCTTACTTGGTTGCTCCCCGCCTTGTTGCTCGTGGGTAACCTCCACGTCGCTCGGGTTGGAACTGTCAACCGCTTATTTGCCATGCTGCATTTCATGGGCGATCCTATCGACTCTCTCTGGTCACTTCTCACCAAAGCCGAGATATGGAACCGGTTCTATGCCATAGCTCTCCGAGCAACTCCTCGTGGACCTGACTCGGAGGCTTCGGCTCGCGCTTTGGCGGCTATCCTATCGGCATTTGAAGAACTCACCAACGATATGCCGTCGGTCAACCGAGAACTCGAAAACCTCGTGAATGAGAACGGAGCACGTCTTGCAAAGCAGGACATAGACCATATTCTGTTGGAGGCCGCAGAGGAGTTGGTCGACAGCCGTTCTAATGAGGTGCTGCGAACATGCGTTGTGATCATCAACTATCTTTGTTCTGTTCTAAGCGCTCTTATCCCCGAGATTGGCGGAGAACAAACAAGTCAGCCTGGTGGTAGAATCGGTACAGCCATGTTTCTGTCTTGGCTCGTCACAATCGTCATGCTAAGCAACACGCTTTCCGGCTTCGTGTCTCGTCGAACATGCCTGCGCATCATGGAGCGATATTGCCGAACACTCAAGGGCAAGAAGCGAGACCAGCACATCTTTCCGAATAGCCCGATGCTAGTATCCAAGATCGCTTGGCTCACCAATAGACGCAGAAGTAGCGTCGTCGACTTTATCGATGCACAGCCATGGACGGGTAGTCTATATAACTTTCGACCCAAGAAGGTCCTTATTACTGGTGGCCAGGATGATCGATCACCATTCTACCTATTCATACTATCTCTCGCACCGGTCCTGATAGCGGCGACCTGCGCCTTGGTCCTGCTCTGGTTCACTCCTACTGTGGGGCTAGATTGTCGAAGCCTCTGGGTCATATCGTGCGCCTTTGCATTGATATTGAGCCCTGGCTTGACGTGGCTGATTCAACTACTTTTCAAGGGCCAGGTGGCTTGGTATCTGACCGTTGCTAAGGACACGAGCTTGGGAATACCCATTCTCATTGTGATTCTTTGCTCCTCTATTGGGGTGTTTAACACATGCACATGCTGGTAAGCTTCAAAACAAGCGTCTTCGTTACTTTGCTAACACCGTCTAGGAGCGGCGTGTTCTCTAGAGGGGCCGAGCGTGCATACATCACCCTCGATCCCTTGGCTGACCGAAAATACAACGCCAAACATATTTACCCAGCTATGGTAGCTACATGCCTAGGCCTACAACTAGTGGTCTATGGTCTCATGTTTAGAATAATGCGACCGGGCGCCAAGGTTTTCCGTCCCGACGAAGATACCAAGATGGACATTTACCGGCGTGTCCATGGCCTCCACTCACCAGCATCAGAGCTAAACAACACACCTAGCCGGGATACGGGCTCTGGATACTCGCCTTGGGGGCGCCCTAGGGGATCCGCTGCAAGCAGTGAGTTTGGTGAGCTCTTGCTGCCGCCGCCTGCCATGAGCCCCAAATCCAGCCCGCAACGTTTGCCATCGATTAGCGATAGCCAGATATCGTTGCAGCCTGTGTCACCAGTGGATTATTTCCGTCTCGATGATAATCAGGGAAGGTCGGAAAGTGTTAGTTCGTTTGGGGGCTCGCCACGGACAAGGTCAGAGCAACCACTTCTTGGTTCCTCTGGTCCGAGATACTAGGGAGACACCAGCCACTATGAAGCTGCCATTAGGGCTTGAGCGAGAGATTAGATATAAAGTACTGTTCTTGCCCACTCCAAAAATAACCTTAATAGTTAGGGCAGACATCGCGTGCGATCTACGGACTCATCGTGTGACAAGGCTGACCAAAAATTGGGGTTTATTATTACGAAAAACGCGGCACGGAACTCCCGCCGGAACTATTGACTCAAGTGTGCCAATAGTCCGTCAGAAATGAGATTAACCTTTCTGTGCCGCCTCTGGCAGAGTCCAGACCAAGTCCTTCTTTAGCTTAGCTTGCATGGCGCGTGGGCCCAAAAAGCACGACCTGTTAGGAGAGCCCTTGTAAGTGGTGATTATGTTTGCGTAGTTTTTTCTTTGTTGTAGAACCAACAGCATGGTCCATGCAGTAGTTGTCGAGAAAGCTGAGATGTGCCGAGCCAACTGGTGGCCGAAAAGCAGGTGAAAAGGAGAGGGTGTAACCCTGCTGTTTTTTTCGTTGGATTGTTACCCTTCAACCTCCCTCCTAATTCTTCCCTCCTCCGTACGCAATCACTCGTTTACTGCGCCGGAGACCTTCTTTCATCATCGCAATGCCTTCTTTCAAGAGTATCGTCGCGGGACTTGTCGCCCTTCTCGCGGCAGATGCTGTCATTGCTGGCCCATGCAGGCCCAGCGTGACGACTACGAGCGTCTCTGCCTCGTCCTCTGCTTCAACTGATACCGAGACGTACACCGTGTCGACCGGGACTGGAAACCTCGACAACCGAGACCATCCCTCTTTCCACCACTACCTCGTCCGAGAACTCTCTGAGCGAGACTGCTTCAACCGGAACCACGTTGACGACCGAGATTGCTTCCACGACATCGACGATCCCATCGACTACGGAAACCGCCACGTCCACCGACCTATCCTCGACAGAGTCTTCGACGGCGACCACCACATCCGCCCAAGAGACGTCGACAACATCTGCCATTGCATCCACAACTACATCAGAAGCCCCGGCTACTCTCCCCACCATTGCCAACGCAAACTTCGACGACAATACAAATGGCGCTCCCTGGGTTCGCAGCGGACCGGCTTCGGTATCCAACGGTGCCGTATTCTGGAAATACTCCGCGCCCAACGTCATGTAAGTGTACACAAGCAGCAATAAGAACCAGAAACCCCCCACTTCATGAATATGCCCTTGGATACTGACACATGACAAACAGGGTTATGCGACCCGAAACCTCGATCGCCCAAGAAATCACCGGTCTTCGCCCCAACCTGGCCTACCGCATCCGATTCATCTACGTCGAGTTCGATACGCCTTCGGCTCAGGGAGGTTGCAAGGTGACCGCAAGCTTTGGCGGCGAGAACATTGGTGAGGTTCCTACAGTGCCGCCTCGAACTCCCAACTACGAGTTCGAGGAGTTTGTCTCGACGGTTTACCAACCTTCTACGACATCTGCGGAGCTGAAGATTGGGTTTACCTGCACTGCCCCGGGTCAGTCGAACCGATACTACGTTGAAAACGTGTCGATCGAGTTCGCTGAATAGCAGCGTTGGACTTTCTAGTGCCATATTACTCTTCTTCTCTGCAGCCTTATAGCATTAGGTCCCCATATTAGTATTATAACTATTTGTACTTATCACTCCATTGGGTCATGATTTTATGATGTGTTGACAATCTGTTCTTTATTCTAGTTGTAGCCCGGCCCTTGGTGGGAACTGAGTCAGACGATCGTACTTATCACTCACTCCAACCTGTCCTGATAAGGTTACCACATGAACCTATGTTTATTTCTTATAATACTGTTTCATTAATGCCCCCTGGAAATAGGTCCCTGGAGTCAATGGGGTCTCCTTTGCCCTTGTCAGCAAGTTCCTAAACAGGCGGTTCTCGAGCTTAAGGCTCCCGTATTGGACCGCCACGACCCTGTCGCCCGAATACCGTGCCGAGTGGGTTTGCTCCTGCTCGACTCTGCTCCGATCTGAGCGGATAAACCAGCTACGTCGATACCCATGCCAACTGATATCCCGTCACAAGCTGTGGCCTTCTCCTGTTCATCCGCCATCTGCAGGTGGGTCGCCATCAGCAGCCCGACAACAACGAAAACTTCCTTCCAGTTCTTCAGCATGTCTAACAGCTCGCCCTCATTACCTTGGCAGATTGTCTTGACTTCATGGTCGTGGTTTCGGAGTTGATGTCGTAGGAGACGAGGCGAGTGGATGTGCATTCTGGACCCTCGGGACGCTCGATTAGCCGCGAGGGATATCTCAAGCATATGCCACCTTGGCGTTGGATATCTTCGACGAGACCTAGGCCACATTCCAGTCGTACTGCACCGTTTTGTGCTGCGCTTCGGAGGTCAGCGGTTCAACGAGAATCAGCTAATGCTAGCTGTTAGAGTTTCGCCCAAACACCCGCTTCTGCGGTTTAATATTGCGAATGGGCTGCCTTTCGGAATTCGGAATAGCCTCCGTTCGTGCAACCATCCCATCGTGGATCCATGCGCGCGCTTATCAGTCATCGGCCGGTAACTTTGTAGGCCCGGCTGAAAGATACTGAGTTTAGGCCGTTGGATCATAGTCCGGCACCAAATTTCGGAACTCAGTCCGTTCTGGTATGCATGTCCGAGCATAGTCAACACATCCCAGGCTTTGACAGCCGTAGAAACGCTCGTTAGTAAAAGAGCCTTGCTACTTTTAAGAAAGTTTATTCTCAATAACGGGATACCGCGCGGCAGCTTAGAAAGCCACCCCGGTCAGGCCTCTTCGTTTATCTACCATTGCCAACTTAAGATCACAGAGTCGGCACTCGGCACCTGCCCGGCAGGACATTCCCCCGACTCCTGTGCGGCGATGTCTGTTCCTTGGTGGAATGGTGATCAGGTCCATGCCGAGTGAAAGAAGTCGGCACATCATGCCGACCTTGTCAATTATTCCTGTTCCATGTATATAAGTCAAGGACGAGCTGCTGAAGACTTTTTTTGTGACAACCCTCAGCTGTCATTACAAATTCATCATGCATCTACGAGCCCTCTGTTCCATCTCGCTGCTTGCTGCTAGCGCAGCAGCGTACGATAATCTCCTGCGCTTCAATATCTCCCCTGAGGTCGAAACAAGGTCTATCGACCAGATCTACAAGGCTGCATTGAAGGAAGGCGGTGTTGTTACTGCCTGGATGGGCGGAGATGAAAAGAACCAACAAGATGCTGTCAAGGCCGCTTTCGAAAAGGCGTTCCCCGGAATGAAGCTCAACCTCACCGTCGACCTTTCCAAGTACCACGACGGGAATATCGATGAGCAACTCGCCAATGGCAAGGTATACGTTGATACCTTGGGTCTGCAGACGCTCCAGGATTTTCCCAGGTGGAAGGAGGAGGGCGCGTTACTGAACTATGCCCCTCTTGGCTTTGACAAGATTTTCCCTGATTTCCGAGATACCGATGCTGCTTACTACGGGTTCCTTGGTTTGGGCTGGCAGCTCATCTGGAATACCGACAAGTTGAAAGGAAAGGCGCCTCAGGAGTATCCGGACTTCTTGCGCCCAGAATTCAAGGAGAAGTTGGTCTTGACGTATCCCAACGACGATGATGCTATTCTGTTTGCCTTTGAGCTGATGTGAGTACACGAGCCCCCCTACCTACAGTTCCACTAACCCATTCAATAGCCTGAAGCAATACGGCACCTCCTGGTTCAACAAACTTCTACAGCAGAAGCCACGATGGGTTCGCGGTTCGGCCACAGGCCCAGACCTTGTGGCTGATCCCAACACAACCTACGTCGCAACTTTCACCTCTGGTCTTGGTCTCTCAAAGCCCCAGGGGCCACTCAATGCCACTTTTCCCAAGCAAGGCCAGTTCGTCTCTTGGCCGCAAACAGCCGCTATCCTCAAGGACGCACCCCACCCCGAAGGCGCCAAGCTTTTTCACAACTTTTTGCTTAGCAAGGACTTCCAGAAGCAAAGCGGTTTCTGGAGTGTCAGATCTGATGTCCCTGCGCCAGTCGGATATCCCAAGTTCATCGAGATGCCTGGAACCAACCCTTCGGCCTTCTCAAAGTTCATGGAGGATCGAGCGAGGGTTGAGCGACTTAGGTTCTGGTTCGAAAAGAGGCTGGGAACACCTCAGGGACTCAGTCCCCTGGACGATGATCTGTGAGCTGAAAACAGCAACTTCTGTTCGGAGCCTTATCTTAGGATGAAGAGCATGTGACATTGGAGGCCATGCTATCGTTTGTTGTGGATAGAGCCGGGTTAAAAGCCTCTAGAGGTCAAGCCTAACATTATCTTCTCTTTGTAGTTCTATTCTCTTCTCTGTGGCCAGCTAGAAACTATTATAAGCTTCATATTCACCTTGTTCAAGAATAAGCGTATTGTCAGAGTTTGTGTGAATATGGCTCACTTCTTGAGAAAGCGTCAACATCTGAGCCTTTAGGAAAACATTCTCATCATTTGCATGCACCTCACTATTCAAGAGAACGACGAACAAGATTGGTTCAGAAAAGGTTGAGTACAAATAAATCTTATTGGAGTGACTTCTAAAACTACAGGCACATCTCCCTCTACTCTCCAAATCATGGAGCAGGCAGCGATGCCGCGCCGACAGGAGGACAAACTTCCATGTTGAAACACTCCATCTTGGTGCCAATAACACATCTCTTTCCATCAAACGCCGTACCCTCACCACAAGTTGGCGGCTTAGATGAAACACAGTTGCCGTTCTCCATGTGCAGGCCATCAGGACATGTAGGTGGTGTATCAGCAACACACTTGGCTCCCTTCCGGTAAGTACCCTCAGGGCACTCCGGAGGCTTGATTAGGACACAAACGTCTCCGCGAAGTTCGGTACCCTCGGGACACTTGGGAGGCCTTGCTGTGCAGGACTTTGTCGCGCGGTCGTATGTGGTGCGTTCGGGACATTTGGGGTCCTTGTTGGAGGCGCACTTATGACCGTCCCAGGCAGTGTCGCCATCGTACTTGGGCGGGCCTCTAGACACACTGCCATGGCCATCAAAGAAGAGATCGTCAGGACATCTAGGGTCCTTGATCGAGATACACTCCTTGCCGTTGAACGACTGGCCATCGGGACAAGCGGGTCTATCCCTGCCAACACAGTGCGTACCATCAAACCATAGATCATCAGGGCACCTGGGCTTGCCTGTCGCGATACACTTGGTGCCGTCGTAGATGAAGTTGGCAGAGTGGCAATGAGGACGATCTCGAGCAAGACATCTGCCGTTACTGAAATAGCTACCGACCGGGCATTCGGGAGGTGTCGGAGAGGCGCAGTGTCCGTCCTGCAGGTTGGTGCCGTCCTTACAGATGGGAATATCGGGGTGTCTGCAGTGTCTGCCGACGAGTGTAGATCCTTCAGGACACCTGGGAGGTTCAGTTGCGATGCAATCATTTCCAGTGAGACTGTAGCCCTCTGGGCACTAGGCGTCGCCTGTGGAGATGCACTCTCGACCGTTGATGACTGAGTCTGAGGGGCACTTGGGGCGTTCATCAAAGACGCAGTCAATACCGTTGAAGGAAGATCCGGGAGGACACTGGGGTCCGCTGGGAAGAATGCATTTGCCATCAGTGTAGCTGCCATTATCAGGACAGACTGGGACAGCTTTCTTATGGCATTTGTTGCCGATCATTCGCTGTGCTCGGGGCACTGTGGGGGCTCCGGAGGCTTGATCTAACACTTTCCATCCTCATACTTGTCTCAGCAAGTTTTTTCCCATTTAAGCGCTCTATGCCCAGGCGTGGAAACGTGGGCATGGTCCAGCCCATCTAGGCTTGTCTTCGTGGCTGGCTGGAAATGTGAGACATTGGCGACCTGCAGCAGGTTAGCACGAGGCAACCCGCCGGCCCCTCGCATTACGTTTGGGATCACAGGTTGATCGATGTGCCTAGAACGGAACCATTTAACTATTCATGCTCACAGAGGAGAGACGACATTGCCCGTGCGTCCTCTATCTACTCTCTAGTTACTCCACCATTCGACAACCCAGATAGACACCAGCTCCTTCGCCCACCTACTATTCCAGAGATACAACCACTTTCTGAGCCGAGACACCCGTCGTGCCCAAGAAATCCACCGCTCCTTGAAGACTCTCCAAGCCCTTTCCAAACTCCAAGGGGCTTGGTGCAGGGACAAATGCACCAGCCTCAATCGCCTTGGGCAAGTAGTCATCCCAGACAGCCGAAGCAACATGGGAATGAATGATGGATAGGGAAAACACATGCTTGATGGTCACACCCTGAGGAGGCTCCGGCCATCCAGGCACCGTGCAGGAAATGAACTTGACTCCGTCTGCCTTTTCGGCAAACTCCAGAGTATAAGGCCAGGACGCAAAGCCAATGGTGTCGAAAACACCTGCTGACTTTTTGCCTTCAGCCGCCTTGAGGAGGTCAGCCACGACTGTTGGGCTCTTGTAGTCAAAAGCATGGCTTGCGCCTAGTCTTTTGACAAGATCAAAGTTCTTGGGCGAAGCTGTTGTGAGAACTTCATAGCCTGATGCGACGGCAAGCTGAATGGCAGCGCAGCCTACTGCGGAAGCGCCGCCCCAGACCAAGAGAACTTCCCCAGTGGGCTTCTGAGCAGGGAATGTGGGAAGTCGTAGGTTAATGAAATCGGTGTTGAACAAGCCAGCAGCTGTCGTTCCGACTGCGAGCGGAAAGGCAGAGGCTTCCTGGAAAGAGTACTTCTCGGGGATCTTGACAGACAAATCAGTCCGGAGTATGGTATAGGCCTGGAAGGTCTTTTCCTCGTTCTTGTTGGTCAAGAACCCAGCAGCAAGGCCAGCGACACGATCTCCAATCTTGAACTTGGTCACGCCAGATCCAACGGCAACGACTTCTCCCGCGACATCTTCGCCCAAGATAGTGGGGTATGTGATCTGGCCTCTGTGAACGTCGCTTGTCTGGACCTTGTAGTCGATTGGGTTGATGGCAATGGCACGGTTGCGAATCAGGATTTGGTTCTCCTCAGGAACAACAATGGAGGCGGGCTTGACCTCGAAAGGGTGAGCGTTATGTGAGGTAACCCAGGCGGCTGTGTTTTCGAGAGACATTTTGACAGTGATATTGGTAAAAGTAGAGAGTAGAAGAGTATCAAAATTGATTGCAGGTTGGATGGTTTGAGTGAGGATATCTAGGGAAAAGAGAGGGATGTCCTGAGGGTTTTATACCTTGAGGATACCACTTGATCTCAATTCGGTCCTCGGAGATTGCAAGGATTTCTTGACTTCTCCCGATGCTCGAGGCGTTGCATTTGTGGCTTCGGCGATGAGCTTCTGGGTGATTCCCCACAGGAGCGCAAGACTTACCCAATGTGGAAGGGCGATAGCTTCATCACTTTTCGGAACGAGGCCATGGCTTACAAATGTCGTCGAGTGCTGAAAATAGCTGATCCAATCGCCAAGTGTAAAAGTCCGAGAATAATTAACCGAGAAGCACTCGCCTTCAGCTCTTAATTCCGTCTATATCACGATATCACAGCATAATGTCAGCATTCCCTTGATGTTCAGACGGCATCTTAGATGAAAAAATGTTGGTTCATTGCTATATGCTCGATGTTCCCCCCTTCTTAAAACCGTCACACATGCACCCTAACCCAAGAAACCCGCCCATATTATCACGCACCCGCTCTCCAGGTAGCTCTTGTCGATGTCATGTGCCTATCGCAATGTCAGTTCTGGGCACGGATTTATATCCAGGGAGGGGTTATAACTTCAGCCAAGAGTGTTGCCTGACCTAATCCCATCTCTATGCCAATCCACTCTAAACATCGTTTCATGTAGCTCCGCATCTTCTCGGGAACGAAGGGTAATCTGGAAGCCACGTAGAGTGGATGCATAAGAAGCAAACCCCCAAGTGACTTCCCTCTGTCCGTGATTTCCTCTTCAGTATCATATTGGCTAACAAAGGCATGCATGTTATCAGTCAGATGATACGGAATCGATGCCATAATATCCTCGACAAGCGCATTTGCGCGAGGTATCCAGTACAAAGATGCTTGCCTATCACCATGGTAGTCGGATAGTTTGACCATCATGTCGATGATGCGTAGTTGAGAGGTGCGCACGATATTCCAGACTCCAGCCACGTAAAGATCGAAATATGTATCAACACGTCCGGGCCAACACCCAGCCGCAATGTCAGAGTTCACTGTTGGTTGTTTGAGATGGGTCACTGTTATTGGTCGGAACCCTGGGCACCGAGAACTTGACCAGCGGGAGAAACGATGGTACAGCGATGAGATCTCTTCATCCATCCCTGGAGAGAAGTTGGTCGTTTCAAGTGCATTCGAGAATCTTGTCTGCAAAGAGTCGAGATCAAGCATCAAGTTGTCAAGGCATTCTTCCCCCTCACTCAGAGCTGGAACCGAGAAGATGCCACGAGGCTTATTAGGCAGTCGAGTATCTAAGCACAAAATTTACTCGGAAACATACCCTAAGACGCGGTTGGGTTCCTTGGCAATACCCACTCGGTGCGTTAGTGTCTGGCCTTTTCCCATCACGTATAATGCGTAGCAAATCCAACGGCGAAGTTCCGGTCTTCAGGAGTGCGGAGAGGCCCTTTGCATGGGCATGATGTGAGCGACGATCGGCATTGTTGGCTGCGAATATCTATTCGGAGACATGTTAGCCCAAAAGACGCATTTGAGGCGATAAGAGAGAATACTTCGTAAAGTCCCAGTAGCAAGGCAATATATCTGGTCTCAAGAGATGCCACTAGAGTAGGTACTTCTATCGCGCGAGCCAAAGAGCCCAATAGTTCTTGATGAAGCGCTTCTGCTCTCTCATGCATGTGCGGCCTGTTCAACGGCTTCGCGTGACTGAAGAATGATACCGCTTGGCAAGCTTTGGCCAAATTGGATTCAGGCCCAAGTCTATAAGCCATAGCTTCAAGCCCAGATAAGAACCCTCTAGAAAGCTTCCCGTTCGTTTCTGGGATACAGAAGTCATAGAAAAAGGCTCTCATGGCGAACTCGTAGGACTTTTTCACCGGTGTTTCCGTTGGACCGACATCAGACAGAAACAGGTTCGTGCCCGGGATAGGCGCTCGTTTAGGCAACATACACCTTCGTGCGGTTGACGGTGGGCTAGATGGGCATGTATTGACAGCCTCATATCGTCGAAATGCGGTGAGTCCTTCTTGGTCATAGCCCCCACAGTTGCGGTTCGCCCTAGTGCACCTCAAGCATGACTAGATAGAGCTATTAGTTTCTCAAGACGGGACAGAATTGAAACAAAACCACTGTTGAGGGGTCAACGTACTGGGCGAGTTTGGTCACACTTCAAAACGTGTTAGCCTTGGCGCGGAGTTCGGGAAGCGGGCACCAGAATACAGACCTTTTTCCGGCGCTGCTTGCATGACACACACCCCTTGGAAGGTCCATAGAATACCATTGTGTGCGAGAGGTGACGTATAGTGATGTCTTCAGCTAGGTACTTCCGTACAGTAACGAGAAAGACAAGTTCTGCGTGGAGCATCAGTCGAGTCCCTGAGAACCGAGTATATGTAAGCAGCAAGTCAATGACTTCAGATCATTTCCGCTTCTGGTTAGCGTTGCGCTCCGGCTGGAGTTCCGCGGACTTATGCCAAGTCCGAAGTCATCTCCGACTCCCAATAGCCCGACCTACCCTATTCCTCACCGTGTTATTACTTGGGCTTTTCAAGATCTAATTAAGGTGACAATATGACAGCCACTACGCTCTTTCGCGGTTTCATAGGTCCAACCCTCCCAAGGGAAAGAATCTCAGAAATCGTCTTTCTACTATTTATTTGCGTCATGTTCTTCTGACATTGCTTTTCAAGACACGCTGCTTAAATCATGATCACCTTAAAACTTAGTGGAACTTCAAACGGATGAAAGCTCTTTGAGCTTGGGAAATTCACATTGTGGAACAAATGGGATGTTCTTTCGGTGAAGCATTTACTTATCCTTTGTTCATGCTGATTGCCAGAGTTGCGTTATCCTTTGTTGGCTTTTCTACTTACCTATAGGACACAAGGAACGCCCCTCCATTGTTTGATCAGCTGCATTTTGCCACGTCTTCTTGTTCACCCATGCAATTCAAGATGTCAGTCATTGTTCGCGAAATGTTCCGAGATGAGAAATGGGCGTTTCTAGAGCACAGTAAAGGGTACTCATGAAAGTGCCCAACCCCCACAAGAAAAGGCAATGGCTGGGGCCTGGCTCCAGACTACCTATATAATCGCGCTACCTCAAGCCTGATAGAACCTACCTACTCCTCGTCAAACCCACCCTAGAATCACCCTCAGAAACAAAACCATGTCGACCAACCAGGAGAACACCGTTTCGGAGAAGAAGGATGGTGTCGTACCCGCCTCTGGTAGCGAGACAGCTCCTTCTAACGACCGTTTCTTGGGTGTGTGCGAGAGCATTGGATTTCTCCCGCTTCTTGAGCCTTCATATGCTCAAGAGCCTAAGCCCGCAGAGAAGGAGGAGAGTCGGGAGGAAGATGACTTCTTTGGTCTCAAGGACTGCTCCTCAGCTTTCTCTCAGCCACAGGAAGAGAGTCGCACGGATACTTATAAGGAAGTGAGGTATTATGAAGATGAGATCTTTGACGCAAATGGTGGTCTCAAGAACTGCCCTGATGCGTTCCCAGTGGATGAGCTGGAGGCAGAAAACCAGGCCCAACAGAAGGTATTGAAGAGGTGCAAGGAGAAGCAAGAGTAAGGCAAGACTTTTGGTCCGCACCGCTGTGTTCTGATGTGTTGATTACGTATATCTTGACTCTGGATACACAAAAGAAGTAGCAATGACATCTACTGAAGTTTGCTCAAGTATCGTTACTTCGTTATATCTTGGCTAATTTAACCCTAATAATCGTAAACTGGTGACGTTTCTCATCCCCGTCTTTTAACAGTGATCCAACCGTACCCTTCTCGTGAGATTGAGCTAGTAAAATACCAAGCAACGAACCTCGATGCTCTGTCGACCCTTCGCATCAGCTGGTGTTGCAGGGTCAACAAAAGCAGTATGAGGAGTAAGTCCCGCCAAGCCTTCTTTGCCTCCAGGCAATCCTTGACTCCTCGAGTCGAAGCACTTGATCAGCATGACCTCTTCCGGAGTCATATCCTTGGCGTAGTAAAATTTGTGCTTGTCGCTTGGTGCGATAGCGTAGGTTTCCCCTCTCACTTCATATCCTTCGGTTGAGGTGAATGTTGACTCATCTGGGCGCACCTCCTTTCCGCGGTCGTCATTGTCATCGCCATCCTTGCGCTGGGGATAGAGCAGATCAACACTGATCAGGTCTTCCGGTTGTGTGGTCCGCCAATCGACAACAGCTAGAGGGAAATCGGTCGCAGCGTGTCCAATTGGCCTCCAGACGTTGATGATCTGATACCGGCCCTTGACCAGTTCCTCCGCCTCGGCAGGATCCTCGATATGACGCCTGACTCGGACCTCAGCCGCACCGGGGGTTTGGTCGACATGCAGCTGCTGCACAGGCTGACGAGCGCTGTCCTTTTCTCGCTTCCGGATGGTGTGGTCAAAAATCACAACCTTTTTAATCCCGGGGATCCTCTTCCGCAGCAGCTCCTCGACTTCGGCATAGTATCCCTCCCGAACGGCCTCATCATCGGTGAATGCGGTTTCCTTGGCGGGAGATGTGAAGACGTCGAAGCCAGAAACGTCAACTCCAAATGGTGTTGAGCGGGCGGCTTCGCGGATGTTGATGACAGAGCGCTTTTTCTCCGTACGTTTGAAGGATGTTTGGTCGACATCAACCTTGCTCCAAGGCTTGACGTGAGATCCGTCTGCGCCAACACTTGACGCTGGGTCGATGTATTTGAAGACTCCAGTGGTCATTGTGGGAGTGGTGTAGGATGATGCTTGTTGTACTCGTTGAAGTCTGGTGATGGGAACTAACAGATCAAGGCTTGATCGAGGCGAAATCGAATATTTAAATCCCCTCATTCGATTCTCGGTCAGTTGTGTAAGGTCTCCGATTCTTGACAGATCAGGTTTCTCTTCATTTGTCATCTTCCGCGACACATCGGCTTTGGCCAATTCATTTGTCAGCTTCCCGCTCTGATTCGGCGAGGCCTGCGGGGTTGTCTCCGCTGTTATGGTTCCATCACGGAGTGGGATAGGGCGCCGGGAATGCCCTCATTTCTGTTAGGGCATGATCAGCCTCGGAGGGATGAAATTGTAGTCTCTGCAACTATTTTTGCGGCTCAAGTAAAAATGTTGTTTGGCAGGGACACTTGATTAGGGGTTGTGCTTATTTGCACCTCTATCCTCGCTCAGCTGCATTGAGCAGAGTGCCTTGCGTGGTTCATCTGCCAAGACTGCCAAGAACTATCTGATGAGTCAGGAATACGAGGTTAATAATGTCTCTTCCTTGGTAATGGATGTTCAAGATTTTCATGTTCATGATCTGTCGCGGGCATTCCTCTTTTGGGGGTTCCGCTTGCGCCTGGTGGCGATCTTGGCAACTCTAGCGATCTTGAGAACGCTGCATTTCTTCTCATCACGGAAAGGAGAGCCCTCTAAATGCTTCCTTCCAGTTTTAGTTTTAGGAGGTATTGACTACCTTGGCGATCGAAGTTATAATCGATGGAAGTATTCTGGGACATATCGATAATGGAACACAAATACTATGGCATCGTCAGCACATCGGGAATGGGATGACAAAGTCGGGGTAGATGTTATGCGGCCACTCAATGTCAAGGGCTAACAAATATTGAAAGTGAACATGAAATAACAATGTATTAGTGCTGGAAATGTGCGTTCACCACATGCGCTAAGTGGCCAAGCCAGAATATTAACTGCTCTTTCTCCCTTTGTTCCATAGCCCGGAGTGTGTTCACCCCCACAAGACCTGAATAAAACATGTTGAACAAGAAGAGAACACAATGAGAACAGGGAGAGAACCGGGCAATGCTGTTCCTATCCATATAAAGTCAGAATACTGGTCGTTCTATGTACCATGTCCTGGGTAGTATCTTCTCATTGCCGACCGACTCCTTTTTCCTCAGTTCGACTGATCAACCAGTCACAATGGACAACTCTGCTATGGAAGCAGCCGTCGCCTTCTTAGGGCAGTTTTCCCGCGAAGAACAGCTCAAAATAATTTATGCGGGAACCGAGGGTCAACTGCCTGATCGCAGGAACGCTCTCCGTCGGGCTCTGCTGGAAGCACTGGACGAGCTTATCCCAGAAAACACAATCGCCTTTCTCGGATCGCCTACCTATCAATCAATCATCGAAATGATTGAGAATCCAGCTTTGCCCATGCCCGAACTTGCAAAGACTGCTCTGGAACATAGTATCCGGTGGTCAAACAAAAAGGTTGATATGGAGGCTACAATTTCTTTCCTCACATCTTTTTCACGTCATCGTCTGATTGACACCATCTACGACATGAATTCGAGTGATGACATGCGTCTGCACAAGGCATTTCGCCGCGCGAGAGTAACTCATCTAAGGCATCATCCACCTGCCGACAAGGACTATGACGAGCCTGATCCCCTCTTTCAGGTAGGCCTCCAAAACGGCTATGTCGCCACAGTGAGAAACGCCGTTCAGAATGAGCTGAGAGTGACCGGACACAATTTTGGAACTATTCATACCCGATTTCCACTTGTGAACCGTCAGATTGAGGGGCAGTATCAGACGCCTCTCGTCAAAATTGCGGAGCGATTTTATCGCGGCGGGGTCAATGCTGATGCTTCACTGCAAGCTTTCGAGTTTCTACTTGATAGAGGGGCCAAGGTTGACATCCCCTCGGCCTCGGACTTGCCTGAGTCTTCGGTGTACTACGCTTCGTCATCGATGCTGCCAGTGGTTGACCACTTGACAGAGATGATGAAGTGGATCAATAACAGGAAAGTCGTGGCGACTCTTTGCAAGATGGTCGAACTTGCGTGCCAAAAGGGGGCTATTCTTGACCTGTGTCAAGATCGTTTCATGATCAAGGGCAGCAAGTATGGGCTCAAGATGCTGACTCACATTAGGACGAAGCGACCAGATAATCTCATTGAGATTGCTCTCCAACCCCAGTGCCCCCCGAACCTGCTCCGACTGTTCCTGGAGCAGCAAGGCGACGAGCTTTTCCCATTGTGTCAGACGGACGGTAAAGTCAAAGTCGCACGCCGCTTCAACCCTAACATGCCGAGAGGTCACCACAGGGCTGTGACGAACCTGGAATGGGTCATTACTTCTACCTACCATGAACTTATGGATAGATCAAACGTTCATGGCTACAAATATAGCGCCGAGCCTGGCGATTTGTTCATCCGAAAGGCGCAGATGTTGATGCACGCTGCCGTAGACGGGCCCACATTGGAAGGGCTTCACAAACTCATTCTTGGCATCGAGAGCATCAAGAAGGAGCTCAAGGTGAAGCATGAGAGCTACGAGGCCTTCAAAGCCCATAGCTGGTATGTCCTCTGCGATGCCATGTCGTACTTTGCCAACCAACCTTCCCAAGAAGAGCAGATAGCAAAGCAGGGCGAACCTCGACACAAATTCATCGTCGCTGACCGATGGGACCCTCGCAAGGAATGGATCCGCATGACTCAAATCGTTCCCGACATTGCTGAGGAGGATGAATGGGAGGGGTTTCTAGAATTTTGGGAGCAACTGGTCATCAGTCGAGGAGAGGGGCAGAGATGGTATGAATTGCATGAGTCCAAGTGGTTCGTGTCCATTGAGGAAGCGGAAGAGGCTTTTAAGATTGCTAATCCCGAAGGGGCATTCCAGCTACACATGTTTTAGGAGCCTTGCTTTGTGGAGTGGGGGAGAGTTAGAGATTAAGGAGAGTTAATACATCGTCGGGACTTTGGGACTCGGAGAAATCTGTTTATGTGAACCGTATGGAATATTGTGTTGTGCCCCGTACAACAACGATAGGGCATGCCATTCAGGAAGAACAACTACGTGGCCTAGAACCTAAAGATGGTACAGAGCCTCATTCTTGAGTCGAGGCATTGGTGGAAGAAATTGGTGGGTGGGAGACGTAATCTTCACACAAGAGTCGATCCGAGCCACTGAGACCTGCGTCTGCATGTTACGGCCTTGGTCAGGTTGGTCAGCACTCCCAAGTGACTTGTGGCCACCAGGCTCCGAACTCCTGAGCCTGGAAATAAAACAGGCTTTGAGTAAGACATGTAGTGATTTACGCCTTGGCGGGGTTGATTCAGGTGCCAAGTATGTGAGGCAGCATCCGGCTGATAACTCGAGGACCACCTTCAGCCTCAACCATAGCCATGTACTACCACGCTACCCACCAACGAGGCCTTGCAGGTCTTCGGGGTGGGAGATATTTGAAAAGCAATGATAGACACGAGTGGAAGTGACCGGAACGTTTTATCAATGGCTCAGGTTGACATGTGTTGGTGGAAGATCATATGCAAGCAACCCCTCATGAAGATTTACAAATGCAGTGAAACATCAAATGACAAACAGGGCTGTGTAAGAGTCAGGCCACTTGTCCTGGGTCTACGGTCGCGGATCCAATACAGTTTAGACAGGGTTAGATGAGCACTGGCTAGAACGAGTCCCATTTTGAACGACTATATCCTACGGATAGTGGATCTTCTTTCCCATCTTACTCGCGCAATGATAACTTGAAAAAATGTTGTCTTCCAGCCAGGCGAGAGAGGTACATGCCAGGCTTCTTGGCCCCCTCTGTGGTGGCTCGGCTGAGGGCTTGTTGTCTTGCCTGCCGAAATGCCCAGCCTGTCGGCAGTTCTTTTCAGCCCAGGCCTAGGTCATTTACTTGCACATTTAAAGCAGGCTCTCAACTCTTCATTTTGTGTGGAGGAGAAAAGAGGCAGTACAGATCAGGCTCTGCCACTGATCAACAAATGCAACAAATCGCAATCAACTGTTCCAGCCACCACGACATGCCGCCCGTATTCGCCGTATATCTCACGGACAATTATAATTGGTTATAGTTCGCCACGGGCAAGTTGTGGGACACAAGTTTTTTTCGTCTTGCATGAGTTTAGGGCCTCGAATCTGCAAAACAATGTCACCACAAGCACAGCCTCATTGTCTCCCGCAAGGGATAGCATGGCGTCCTGTCAGCTGCGCTTGGCAGAGAAAGAGTTGCAGAGGTTTAGCAGTCGTCATCGACCCAACTGTGATGTAGCGTTGGATGGTGTCCACCATTTGCAATGGCTGCTCAGCTCCCGGTGTAGAGGCTTGTTTACAAGGAAGTCGCCCTTTGATAGGCAAACTGGGCTTGAGATGGATGCCGCACAAGATAGAGCCTGATTTTGAGTTGCAGAAGCCTAGAAACATGCTAGAAGTCCGGTTGGGAAGGGCTTGGGGGCGGCACGCCCAAGAAACGTCCTGAAATTTTGATATTAAATAGCACCCTGAAACTACCAGATCACACAACCATTTGGTCCTACTCAAGCATTTCTCCAACCAGCCACTTAAGCCCAGACCAGACGCTCATCAATTCAATATGGGCCCCGAGATTTCAGTTCCCCCCCCAGGTTCTCCCAACGGAGCAGGTTCACCGATGCCAGCTCAATCACCTCAGTCGACAGTCCTAGGTTCAGGTGGCAACTCGCCATGGCTAGACCCCGCAAGTCCCAATCTTGGGACCTCTCCCATATTCGATCGCAAGCGTGCCAGCTTGATGGGCCTTCTGGGCGCCAACCGAGCCGAGAATACAAACACAGGTCTGGGCTTGTATGACTCCAGTCAGGAAAGGCCGCGTCCTCCAAAGGAGGACACCCTATTCCAGAAGGTTATGAAGAGTAAATGGTCCATGGTGCTCTTCCTCCTCCTCGGAATTGGCGGTGCCCTAAGCCATCATTTCCTCTACTGGCATCTCAGAGGTCAAGATGCCAAAGATCAACAGTGGTGGCTCCGCTTGGGCCAATTCATCTCATTCGTATCCAAGGCTGGCTTTGTTCTCTCTGTGCTTATGGCACAACAGCAGACAGCCTGGAGGGCTGTCGGAAAAAAGGACTACTCTGTCCATGCCATTGACTCCCTCTTTGGCTCTTCCCATGACATTGTGGAGCTCTTCAGCAGAGAGGCATGGAAAAAGACGTGGCTAGTCATGACTCTGAGTCTCTACATCTGGATCAGTCCTCTTGTCGTCATCTTTTCGTCCGCCACGCTCAGCGTTTCTTCCGGCCTCACGGTAGATAGAAACGCCAAGTGTCGCTCAGTCCGTACCCTAAATTTTTCGCAAGAATCAACCAATCGGTGGGACGAGCCTAGACGGGCTGAGAGCGATGGATTGATTGGTCTTTCGTTATCCTTTTGGGAGAGAACGGGAGCACGCTACGAGGATGATGATAACGTCGACTACTATAGTTCGCCTAGTGCCCAGTTCAGTGCTATTGCCGACAGGGTCTTTACAACGAACCAAGCTTTGCAGGCAGACCGTATCGCGGAAGACATCTGTGGGATGGGTTGGAACTGCTCAACTGTCATCCAGTTCATCGGCCCAGGATACAAGTGTGATTCGGTCACCCCGAAGTCGGGCATCTTCATCGACGACTTTGCAGGAGTCGAGGCCCCGTTCAACATGACCGAACTGGCACCCGAGGGGAGCCATACCTACTTTGCTAGGACACAAGAAGGGGATTATGGTGCTCAGATTCAATTGAATGAAACCGGGAAACCTATTCAACAACCCCCTTACCCTGCCAACCTTGGAGCCTTCAAAGCTGAGCCCATTATCTGGCTTGGCTACACCACTGTTGACGATATCAACAAAACGCAACCTGAAAACAAGAGCGCAAAGGGATGGGATGAGGCGTTTACACCTGCTGTGCTAGCCTGCGAGCACTATGTGACAAACTATACCGTCAATCTCACATACACTGGTGGTCTGCAGACGTACAACATTACTCAACGAGACTACATGCACAAGGTCATCGACACCACATTCCAGAGGACCCTTGAGGTTCCTACCGATGGGCTTTTGAACGGAGTAGAGGCAGTTCCCGAGGAGAACTATGTCCTCCCGACTAAGGACAACATGGAGACGTACCGTCGCATAGCTGCCTACCACTCAGTCGGCAAGGCTCTACGAGACATGCTTAACGGGGAAATCAAGCTCCCGAACCATATCTCAAAGTCAAAGGTCATGGTCTCCAGGCTTTTGCACAAACTCGATTACATCGCCGTTCCCGATCTCCAACAGGAAGTCCGCAGATTGTACGAAGACCTCCTCATCTCACTCCTCTCGAACCCCCAGCTGCTTGTGGTATCTTGGGCAGACAACACCTCTGAGCTCGCAGGGACATTTCCCGGTGGTCCATTGTATCCATGCTACCGACACAAACTCGTGAACAAGTTTGCTTACCAGTGGGAGATCCTCTTGGCTGTCTATTCCATCTCGTTTGTCATTGCACTGGTCGGCGTGGTGTCCGGGATGTATGCCATGTGGAAGGACGGAGTGCATGAACAGCGCGAGATGACTTTTTCTACAATTGCCGGAGCAACCAAGAATTTGAGTTTAGATCAGTACAGGGATAAGGAGACGATGATCAAGTCATTTCACGTGGGACAAGGCCCTGCGGGTCGAGTATACGAGTTTGCCCTTCGAGATGGGGGTGAAGACAACAGTTCGAGGTCCGCTCTGGATGGTAAGCCTGGGTTAAGGGGAACGACAGTTTGATGTGTTGGAGATTGTGTTTTATTGATTAGCGAGAAGGGGCTTTGACAGCATGATTTCTCTACTTTTGTCTTGTATGCTCATGATGAGTTGTATTGTGTTCATCAATTCGTTTCTTTAGTCCATCACCACCCCCCAAACACACCAGCCTTTGCCGTCAATCTTACTTGCCTTAGTGAATTATAATTGTTTCTAGTCGGTCATTTAGCCGTACGCCGTCCTTCGCGGCCGCTGTCAAAAGAGACCGGCCGTCCATCAATCCATGAAAATATGCGCCTCCCACCAACTCGCAGTGATAATCGGGCACCGAGCTGGCATCTCGTACCCGCCTGAATATCAACGGCACACGAGATCTCGGTATTACCCAAACTGTATCTCCCTCTTGCAACTCCTGTGACCCTAGCCCCAGGTAACCCTTCTGTGTCAAAAAGGGTCGCAGGTGCATCCCATGGGCAAAGAGTGAACCATATTCAGCCGCCGCGGCACTCGAAGGCCCAACAGAGTCATCCAAAAGAGAAGTCCATGCTTTCTTATTCTTACAAAATTGATCAAATTTGTGCTTCAGTTCGTTCCATTGGCGGCGATCTTCCCCCTCAGACACCGCCACTGAGTGCACTCTCTCTAGAAACCATTTTGCGAAACCCCGACCGAGAGATGACGGCTTTTTTATAGGGGCACGACGTTCTTTGTCAGTGTTGGTGATGAGAGTTCGCCACAACGCCTCCAATCCGTCTTCTTCTGTGGTTGGATACTGAGTTGGGAGGGATAGAAGCATCTTCAAGAGCTGTGGAAACGGGCTCCCCTTTTGGATGTCCAGCTTTGACTCCCCCCGAAATGAAATCTCATCGACTTTGAGGCCATGAATAGCAACGGTCAGGTCGTCTTCACTGATGACCGCAGGCCATGTGCGTAACTTGGCCTCTCGGGAGAGATCCATTTCTGGCAGGGTGAAGCACGCGTCTGCACAATATCTCTTATACCCAGTAATCCGAAGGCCGAGGGGTTTACGGACACTCCAGTCGGGAACCCATGATGGGAGAGGATCGTCACCGATCCTTACCTTTTGGAAGGATCTTCCCTCAACGCAGGAGAGTATGAGAAGTTCCTCGCAATCGCGGAGAAGTTGAACAGCGACGTTGAGATATGTCTTTGCTGGGCTGCAATCCTTTCCGTATTTGGGGCGCAACAGAGGCATCTTCCCAACATCGACCAGGTCCTCGATGAGACCAAAGAGAGAGTACACTTTGTCCTCCTCATTCGTCGCCTCGAAATCACGGGATCGGATAAGGGTGTGTAAGAGAACATTTGTCCAATGCTCTGTTGCAATGGACTCTCTTGTTGCCTTCAGAACGGTTGGTATACCGTAGTTACGAGCCGTGTTACGTGATGCCATGTCTGTAGCGAGGTTGTTGAAGCGCCCTCTCCAGTCACTGGTGGAAATGTTGTGGGATGCCTTCCAGAACACGCTCCAATCCTTCTCATGCCCTCCGCAGCGGACAATGACATTCTCTGGCAAGACGAGCTCCTGGATTATCCAGGATCTGTTCCAATATGTCCGATCAAACAGTTTGACAGCCGATTCCCAACAAGACCCATTCTCATCACCATTGATCGAGGCACTGTAATTGGTGGAGGCTGATTGGGACCCGGGTGATAGAAGGGTCGGGGACTTCGCCAGATGATCCAAGTGGTCGAACGCTCGTTGCGTATGCGAGTCTGCGTCCCCGAGCCACGCAATGACGCACTTCGCTGACCGATAGATCTTGCCCATCATGGTACTGACTTGGCGGCTCCGTTCCTGGGGGTCCTCTTGATTGATACATATCGCGTCAATCCAGAACTCTTCTTCCTTCAACTTCTTATCCCTTTGCACCTCATGCAAAAAGTCCGAGAGGTTCTTCGTAACCATTACATCGCTACCGTCGATGTGGATACATGACTCTCGGTCGTTGGTCATTGATTTGAAGGGTTCCTCGTCTAGAGGCTGTCCCCATCTGTACGAGACGGCGTAGTAGCTGGCTGACTTATCGGCCAAGCCTGCAACGGTAAGTTTCCATTTGGCCTGGGTGATGGTTTCTGCTGGCGCTTCCAGTGAGACTAAGCGGATCTCGTTGGGCTGGAGGGGACGCCAGGAATAATCAAGAGGCGCCATTTGTTAGGCGGACCAGAGATAACGAGGAGTGGGTTGAAAGGACATCTGAAGGATCAATGGGATGCTTTCAGGGACCAGCACCTCTAAAGAAACGCCAAGAGCAACAAAGCAGTAGACTCTCGATCCTGTGAGTGAGGGCTTGGACAGAAATGAGATGGTGATTGGGCATATCTATCGACATGCACGGCAGCCTGACACAGCCTTCAGCTCTGTTGATGACTGGCGCGTGATTGGTGGTAGATTGGTGCGGGGAAATCCATTTCCTCTCAAGATCTTTCAAAGCGCGTCTTATGGCGCCTTCTTGCCAATATTTGCCTCGCAACTGCTCACTTGGAGGTGAGGGCAGCCCATCGCAGCTCTATTTCGCGTCTCTATGTTTTGATGCATGCTAGTCACTGGTTGCACTGGTCTCTTGCGCCCACCATTATGTCGAATTCTACCTGCACCTACCGATTCTCTTCCGAGGGGGGCCGATTTATCAACTATGTAGAAGCTGCTCGCGCAAGTCCTCAGTCCAAACTGACTACGCAGCCCAATCTCGGCCTACTAGACGTCGTACACGAGAGTGATGCCGGCTCATCAGGCAAAGACCAAGGCTGGGGTGGGCTTGCTCGCTATGTTCAGCGCTGCAATGACGAGATCGAACCTGGAGTATCATACAAAGTATTGCTGGTCGTGCGACATGGCCGTGGTGTCCATAACGTTGTGATGGACGAGGTTGGCTCAGCTGAATGGAAGGTGATTAGTACAGCCTTGTTAGCATGAAGATTAACATACTCGAATGAGCAAAGCTAACATGAGAGCAGAAGCGCTGGTCTAAACTAGACGGCGATGGAAATCGAACTTGGTTTGACGCAGAGCTGGTTGACGAAGGAATTGAACAAGCGAAAGCCCTCGGCACTCTATACAACGAAGGTGTCAAACACAATAACTTCCCTATCCCTGATACCCTATACACCAGCCCACTCGCAAGATGCCTCGAGACAACAAAACTCGTATTCAGAGATGTGGTAGAGGGACACAGGAGGACATTCAAGCCAGTGGTGAAAGAACTCCTTCGGGAGCGCCTAACCGACCACACATGTGACAGGAGGAGAGACAAAAAATGGATTTCGACTGCTTACCCAGAATACGAGTTGGAGGCTACTTTCGCAGAGGAAGATCTCCTATGGCATGCCGATCGATCAGAGTCGAATATAGAACATGTCGCTCGCACGCAGAACTTGCTCGAAGACATTTGGAGCCAAGACTCGGGCGTCTTTATCGCTCTTGTCACGCATTCGTACGCGCTCTCGTCGATTCTGGAGGTAATCCATGCACCCCTTTTCCGAGTAGGAGAAGGCGTGATGACGGCCTTTTTGGTCAAAGGACAAAGGGTAGAAATGAACTAGGTATTCTAAATACTAGTCAACATGATTCTTCTGCGTCCATCACCCCTGCTATTTCGCCGAGCAATCAGGGTAGCATTGCCGTCAAAATTTGCCGTCGTGGAGACCAACACGGCCTCAATGATGTCACCCTGGATATCCGGATATACGGATGCTAATAACGGACATGTCGCCGAAATTTTATATCCGAGCATTCCATGCCCGAGATTGTGACATTTTGCGCTTCTCCTTAATAACAGCAACAAAAACTTCAAAATGGTGCTCACGGAGAGAGAAAAAGGTGAGAAACGCGTCCAATTGATCGAGTTCATGACTAACATTGGCGTAGATGAGCGCATCAGCGATGGAGAGGCTACCTTGCAGAACAATGACATTACAACGCCCGACGAGGAGCTGGCTCGGACGAAATCGGCCGTCTCAATCGCCGAGACGTTCTCTCTGCCTCATGAGATTCTCTTCATCTCGACCATTTGCATGGCCCAATTCATGACCCAAGGCGCTCTAGGAAACTGTTTGAACCTCTTGCACGTCATTGGCGCCTCATTCTCTCTGAGCAACCCAGCAGAGCTCAGCTGGTTGATCGCTGGCTACAGTTTGACCGTCGGCACGTTTATCCTGGTCTCGGGTCGTCTCGGAGATGTCTTTGGCTACAAGCGCCTGTTTCTGATCGGATTCGTATGGTTTGCTTTGTGGTCAATGATCGCTGGCCTTGCCACATACTCCAACCATGTACTCTTTGTCTTTGCAAGAGTCTTTCAGGGCATTGGCCCAGCCCTTATAATGCCCAATGGCCTGGCGATTCTCGGAGCTTCGTATCATCCGGGGCCCAAGAAAACCCTCGCGTTCGCTCTTTTTGGAGCTTGCGCACCAGGCGGCAACGTGTTTGCTGCTGCATTCGCTGGCCTCTTTGTCAAAGATCACGAAGAATGGTGGCCTTGGGCCTTTTACTCGTTCGCAATTGGTCTGGCTGCTATCGCTGTTTTTGCGACATTCATCATCCCTGATCCCCCTCACAAGTTGTCCTCGTCGAGCATGACATGGAAGGAGATTCTGGATCAACTAGACCTCCTGGGCGCGACAACCGGCATCACTGCCCTGGTCCTCTTCAACTTTGCCTGGAACCAAGCCCCGATCGTTGGCTGGGAGACACCGTATGTCTACGTGCTCCTCATTATCGGAGTTCTTCTGGTCCCTGTCTTCTTCTACATTGAACTGCGAGTTGCCTCGAACCCCCTCATTCCGTTCGACACTCTAACAAGCGACGTTGGATTTATCCTCGCTTGTGTAGCCGGTGGCTGGGCTTCCTTCGGTATTTGGATCTACTACACCTGGGAATTCTTCCAGCTTTTGCGGGGAGGCTCGCCCCTTCTTACGGCGGCGTGGATGAGCCCCGTGGCTGTTTCAGGCGCAATAGCCTCACTCACAACGGCTTGGCTGCTACACTTTACACACCCCGCCTTGGTCATGTTGATTGCCTTGGTGTCGTTCACGGTTGGCACGATTCTGATGATGACTGCTCCTGTCGAGCAAAACTACTGGTTTCAGTCATTCTTCAGTCTGATCATCATGACCTGGGGAATGGACATGTCCTTCCCCGCAGCCACGCTGATCCTGTCAAACTCGGTAAAGAGAGAACACCAGGGTATTGCGGCGAGTTTGGTGAGCACCGTCGTCAACTACAGCATCAGCCTCGGCCTGGGATTTGCCGCGACGGTTGAGGTGCATGTCAACAACGGTGGAGAGACGATGGCTGATCTTTTGTTTGGCTACCGAGCAGCTTGGTATATGGCTGTGGGATTCGCTGGTCTGGGTCTGGGAATCAGCGTCATCTACTTTATTCGGAGGATGATGAAGGAAGGCATCACAGGGCGCCGATAGACGGATACAAGTGGTGATGGTTGGGCTTATCGTCATCCACTGGTGGAGACAAAAGTTGTGCATTTGGTACATTTCGGGCTATAGAATCGCATCTACTATACAGAACTTTAGATAATACAGACGGACTGCAAGATAAATCTCTCAACTGAGGGATTCTAATCATCGTCATCATCGTCATCGCCGTCATCACCACTCTCGTCCCCGTCTCTGTTCCCACCTCCGCCGCCAATACCACCGCCAATAGCATCTCCCTCGTCACCACTATCTTCATCACCACTTCCGTCCTCGAAAGCCCCTGGGACGGCTGCCACTGCGTTGCCAGAATCCCCAACAGGATCAAGTGCTGTGGCTGCAACGGCATCGAACCCTGCAGTCTTGGCTTGTGCCAGACGAGCCGTGAAAGGCCCAAAGCCCCTTTCGTGAAATCCTAGGAATGCACCAGGATCAGAAGGGTCTCCCCTTGGCGGCCTCTCCGACAATGCCCACCCCATGACTGCGTTTCCCGCTGTGGCTTCCGGGCCTACGCCGAGAGTACTGTCGAGGCAGTTCTCGCAGAGGAAGGTATACAGCAAGGAAGTCGAATTGACAGATACTCCCTCCGGTAGAGGTCTAACTCGAAATTGTCCAGCAACTTCAGGCGGGTTGTCTTCATTCGTAGCTTGTCGAAAGGACGCCATGACGCCCCCTTTGCCATCTGGCCAAACAGCGAGAATAAAATTGCCCTCCATATCTCCAGTCAAGCCGAACGATCCCCAACCTTGCCCATTCACAAGGGGGAATGAGAGTTGACCAATAAAGGAGCCGGTGCTAGCGACGGGCTGAGCATCAGGGAGGGCAAAGGCAAAGCCAAACGACGTCCTTGCACCAAAGAATCTCTCCATATTGAGGCCTGTTATTTGGTCGACAAAGGGCTGGGAGAATTGGTTGGTGGAGGAGGTGGGCTCGTCATCGTCTTGGGCGAGGGCTAAAGCGGGTAGGAGGAGCGTGGTAACGAGGAGACGGTTGGGGTTGATGTGTCGGTGGCGGGTAGGCTGGCGGCGCCGAAGGCTGCTGAAGAGAGGCATGGTGGTATCAAGAGGAGGCTGGGTATGTTCTTGAAAGTTATGAGAGTGTACTTGTGATGAACTGGTATAACCTCTTTACTGGCGAAAGGAACTGGGAGGTATTTATATGCACGCAAAACCACAGCCAAGATGAGTTGAAGATAACCTCAAACTTCTCAGGTCTAAAAAAGGTTGAGGAGATCATCTTGCGACATAGTACATCTGGGCATGTGTCACTTGGTAGCTATCTTCATTAAGCGACGGTTTGAAGTAAGCCACGGCTCTGAGAAGCGAGTAAAGACTGGTTAACTCAACACTGAGGCCGTCGTCGAAGAATGCGCGACTTGCTCGCTTACGATGAGAGAGTGGTGTATACTTAAAATAGGTCATGTTTGATACTGGTTACATTAAGACTGACCTGATTGGCTGCTAAAGATCAAGTTCAAAATGTTTGAAACAACGACCAACAGCCTTTACTTGAAATATGTCATTGGGACTGCCAAGCCTCTACATGAGACGGTTCGAGCCGGAGGATAAGATCTAGACCTCCTCACCCCGACATCTTGGCACGGGGTCAGGGTTTGGGGCCCGACACAAGATAGGAATTGGCCAGTAAAAAAGCTGCTAAGTGTTTTATGACTTTAACGATAGGCACTTGGCATTGTTTTGTGCGAGAGCCATGTTTTGCTCTAGGTGGAGGGGTAATTAGCAACCCTGTGCCTCGGCTCACCACCAGCCAGGATTTTCCCTGTTACTTGTCTCCTCGTCGATTATGAGCATGGCCCAAAAAGAAGTTTCAAAAACGCCAAAAAAACATACAACAGCGGGGATTCGCTGATCGTCACCGACTCAACTACTAATCCGCCCCTTACCGGTTTATCTAGGGGAGAGCGGACGGGATCCCGAGTTCTCCGGTAGGTATGGTCGTATGTGGGAGTCTATGCTGTATTTACTACTCATATTGTCAATCGAGGGCAGACTTTTGAATGGTGTGAAGCTCTTTCACCGACGGCCGAGCCATGAAGGTCGTCCCAAGCCCCTGATCTCAGTATGACTCAAGGTTAGAGGAGGGGGCTTAATAAATTGAGTCTCCATTTCTGTTTCATGACCGTCGTTTCACTCACACATGCCATCAGGTAATATTTGTCAGTAATGACTATCGGGTAGATACAGGCCTCCGGCTGTCAGACAAAAACCCGACCATGAGACCAGCACTGTTCGTATACTTGCTACATCGTGAAATACAAGTTCCACCGTCAAATCCTTGGAGTGAAGACCAGATTCAAATCTGGCACAGCCGCCGTGAAGACATCCATCTTGTTTTCCAGATACGCCTTTGGATCATTCCCTGGTGCGAACTGGATGTCGTATCGGGACAAGATCTCGGTGGTAACGTAGCGTATCTCCATCAATCCGAGCTGCTTTCCTACGCAAGAGTTACGGCCTTGGACTGTTAGAAAATACCAAAATCGAGTGATTAGTGGAAATTTGTAACACACCCATAGAGAAGGGAGCAAATGCGGATGCATCCTTGACCAAATCTGGTTGCGAGGTCCATCTTTCAGGTAGGAATTCGTTCGGCCGCAAAAATACCCTCTCATCTAACGACGAACATTGAGCCAGGATCCCCTTGTACTAATAAGCATTAGGCTCGCTTACCTCGTTGTAGTGTATAACTTGGGACCTGTACAATTGTATCTCCTGGGATAAAGGTATCGCCAATTTGCAAACCCTCCGGCGGCGTCATGCGTTGAAGACCTGATGGAACCACCGGGTGCAAGCGAAGGGTCTCGTCGATGCATGCCTGAAGAAGCTTAAGGTGCGAAAGAGAGGCATAGTCAGACTTCTTGTGCTCTTTTTTGTACTCATCGATTTCTTCTTGAAGTTGAGAGCAAATGTCTAGGCGCTGAGAAAGTTCGTAAAACAAGGAGGTAGTCGTCACGGCCGTAGTGTCACTTATCATGGTCAGCGTATCTGCAGTAATGCTGGCTGAGTGACTTACCTTCCAGCCACGACAATCAAGTGGGCGTCTCCGTGCAGGTTCAAAAAGTCTTGCTTTGTTGGTTGGTCTTTCGACTCATAGTCCTCCAAGATCCAAGAAAACACATCCGACACAGGTGGCTCGTTCTACAAATCGTTAGTCCAAGTAGCTTACAAGCCTAAACTCACTTGCCTTCCTCCTGCGATCGACCTGCTCCCTCAGCCACCGCTGAAACTTGAGATGGGTATAGTTAACACCAGGGATGGCCTTGAAGAGAGGGAAGAGCCAGATGAGACGAGAGAAAGCTCCAATAAGTGACATATTCTCATCGCCAAGTTTCATGTAGTAATGCTTCAAGCCATCTCTCAGCATGCCAAAGCTCTGCCCAAAAGCAAGGTCTCCCATGATGTCGAAGGTGTAATAGTGAATCCAAAGCTTTGCGTTGAATGGCTGGCCCTCCATCTTCTCGAGTTGGTGGAGGAGGAGTCCTACATATTGCACCACTCTGGTTTCATAGTCTCGAAGAGCTAGGAGCATGGTTAGAATCATTCTCCAGCCGGACCACGAGATACTTGCCCTTGGCATTAAATGCCTTGTCCCAGGTTTTGCGCCTTTCTGTATGGCTTTTCTTATTCCTATCGGCTAAGAGTGAAACCATCGGGTAGATGATGTTGTACCAAGGGCCTTTGATACATGGGGTGTTGTTGGAGTGGAGAGCATGAAGTGCCTCGGAACTGTTGATGGAAATCTCCGAAGGTCCTATTAATGTCAGATTGTGAGTCTACGAGAAGACTTGGCAACAAACCAATTCTAACTATATCTCCGTATTTCCTGTGCAGCTCCTGGACCTCTTTGTAGAGGTGCCTCTTCTTTAGTCCCAAGGCCGTAACATAGAGGTTCGAGAGTCGAGCTTTGAACGGGCCAGGAAAGACATTGAGTCGATGAAACGCAGCTCGGTAAATGAGAATACTGCATATGGTGCCGGCCGCGAGTGTAGAACAATGTTTCAAGGCGATCGTGAATGCCTCCGAATGAGAGTCGGATTCATACTCGGCGCTCTCTGCAATCAGAAACGTCGAAGCTGCCAAGGTCCCAACCCAAGCGACAACAATCTTGTTCGTATAGATATCCCATTCTCCACGACAGAAGAATACAACATGGAGAAGGACGCCAACCAAAAAGACAACACAGTAGGACTTGAAAGGATCCAGAAGATCCATCAGCAAGGTCATTTTGACTGGCTTGTAAGGAGAACGTAAATCTAGAGAAATGATCGGGGATTCCTTGGTACTTATACTCGCATGTGAATATCCCCCTCATGTCTCAGATTTTCCCTGCTCGCAACAAATCTCCTAGGGAGGGGAAACATCTTGACCCATACGATCCCGACAAGGTCGAATCAGGGAATGGTATTGGGAGCAGCCGAGACCCATGCCCTGTCTTGTTTGGTGGTGGAGTGTGATAACCGCCCGGGGGAAACTTCGATGAAGCCATTGACGCATTGATGTGATAATTCCCGAGCTTTGGTTGGCCCAAGGTGTCGCATCTGCCATCTCCGGCCCGCTCCCCGTCTGCACGAGCGGAATTCCCGTCTCTTACTGTATTAGCCACCATGCATAAGAGTGGGCACGAGAGCGTTGCTCAGAAGCGGATATGAAGGTTTTATTAATGTTAAGATGCCATAAGAAAGGTCTCGTCGCTCGTTCTTTCCTTTTTTTCTTTCTTGCAAATGGGTTTGGCAAGACAGGGCTCATTCGCGACATGAACCAGTCACTCAAGTTACTCAACTAGAAGAGAGAAAAAGAAATATTCCAATGCACTCCTAGAATTTTGCTCTGCTCGCTCTAATAATGCCCCCAGATCTAGTAAATCTCTTCTCCAGGCATCATCAGTCAGAAAGCCAGCAGCCACTCCATAGACGAGGGCAATGTGAGTTCAAACTCATCGGACGAAAGTCCCGATAATCACTGATTTGATGCTGTCCCCTTAGCGTTAGAAAGCTTCCTATACCATGTCTATGCCTGGCTCATATTTACGACCTCGAAGTGAACGATCGACAACCCTTGATCCCCAGTTGTAGAATCTCTCCAACGGCTCTGTGCGTTTCAGAAACAGGACAGTGGTAACCAGAGCGAGAGCAGCAGTGAGAATCATGCTGATGAGCGTTCGACTAGCCGGCGCTTCGCTCATACTGAAAACCCCTGTGGCAAATCCCAGAGGTAGAAATACCACCGTCACGTAAGTGAATCGCTTGATGTCGTCGGCTTGTCGTTGCTCAAGTTCGTTGCGAATAAGCTCATTCAAGTCGGAGATGTCGACACGGCTGCGATCGAGCTCCTGAACGCGATACTGGTTGCTAACAAGCAGCTTTGAGATGACGTCACGATATCTGCTCTCGTCGTTGAAACTCCACCGTGGTCTCTCGCGGCGTTCCTTCTCCCTATTCAGCCATAGCTCGATCGTTGCCAAATTCTAACGGAGATCCTGTTCGACTGTTTGCAGCATCCGTTGATACTCTTGAGCCCTCCCACTGGGTGCCCCGAACTCGTGGTCATCGTCATAATCATACGAGTTGCTGCCTTCGGCCATGATGTCGCTCCCAACAGGCTTTTTCCAAACATTGAGTCTTACCTCTGTCAGGACACCATCTGTGTACTGCTGCATCCGGTGCATGATCCTGTCAAACAAGAGAAGCTCCAAGACTCGGCGCTGCTGCCAGGATTCCTTCATCTCGTATCTCATCCCAAGGCCCCTTGGAAGAAGTAATGCTTTGACTTCATCATTTATATCGAAAATGCTTGTCATCTGAGGATTGCATTCCAGAAAATGGCAGGTCCAGTACCGATCCAAGAAGTCTCCATCAAATCGAAAGCCCATGGGTACTCTGGTGAGTCTCCTGGAACTCCTTCCTCCATTCAGTCTCAGGAAGTCGACGAGTGGACTGCTGCTTGCTTTTTTCTGGCCAAATGAATAACATGATAGATGAAGCTCAGTTGTCCATTTTTTTAGTTCTGCTGCAGTCTCCTCACAAAAGAATTTGCCGTACGCGATGTGTCTTTCGGAGAACGCCTTCATTGCCGCTCGTTCTGAAGGGGTCTGGTGATAGGCCTTGTTTGCCTTTCGGTTTGAGCCAAACAAAGCGCAGAACCTCTTTTTTGCTTCGCTCGGGGATCTTCTCTGTTGCATGAAGTATTTGAGCTCAGATGTTGTGTTGAAAACTCGAATTAGATGGTCTACGCTCAGCGATCTCTTTGCTGCATCATTTCTCCTAGGCACATCCACCACTGCGATTCGCTGTAGACAATATGGACTGATGTCAGACGAGCTTGCAGTAAGCTCTCCATACGTTGAGGGATTGTCTAGGCTGTCGCGACTCGTAGAGACATGATCAAAGAAATCAGGTTCATTATAAAGCCACTCGTCCGAGAGCTCCACAATGTTGCTCCTGCCGATGCCGTTGTTGAGCGAGAAGCTGTGTCTCGTGGGGTAAATCGTCGAGGTCGTTGGGCCTTTTGCCCCTAGTTGCCACTTCTCCATTTCTTTGAGAAACTGCCGAACTTCAACGTCAAGTCCTGAGGCGGGAGTTGTGTCGTCGATCTTGACTTCATCTCTCTCTTCCGTCCAAGGCTCACTATAGCTCATGAACACGGGCGGAGAAAACCTCCAGAGAAGGTACGGAATCTCAAAAGAGATAGACCAGTAGGTATCCCGCATGATCTGATCATCATAGAGGATAGGTTCTTTGTTGGCATCGAATTGACCAGCGAAGATTCCATTGGGCCATGTGCTTTGGAGCAGTACTGACATGGCATGCGCTCCCATTTCTCCTGCTGGTCGTTGATTCGTGCGCTTCCCAACCTGCGACATGATGAATGATATGGCAAACCGCAGTGGCTCATCCCAGGTTGTATCATCGTTATCTTCATGGTAGGATTGGCAGTCGACAAGATTCTTCCACACATCAACCTTATTTTGCCAGTAGTCTTGTCCCTTTGGTGCACCAGGCTTATCAAACAGCCCGATATCCATGGCATCAAACAGTCCAGAGTCTTTGGTCCGCAGCAGAAACCGGTTGTGAGCCGGGCTCCTGGATAAGGCAATCATTCGTTTCTTGGATACTGGGTTCTCGGTTGTGAATCGCTTGAGGATCTGATCCTGAACCTGGGGAGAAGAGTAGTTCCTCATTTTGCCGTTCTTCACAGACTGATTTCTATCAGACTCTCCGACTTCGGGTTGGATGGGCACATTGAGCGTTGTTTTCAAGCCCATGCATTCAGCAGCCTTGATGGCACGCCAGATGAAGACGTGGTCGGTAAAGTAAAAGCTGTCCGTAGGCTCTTTACTATACCGCGGAAAGGCATATTGACCAAGCTTGTTTGTCTTGTCAAGCTCCTTGATCCAGGCGCGGACGGCCGCGCCGACCTGTGGTGGGACTTGCCATTCTTGGTGTCGTTTGAAAAAGTCCCCAGCTTTGATGATTTGAAAGGGAACATCCACAAGGGACCTGGGGGGGAGGTATGGGTTCTGGTCCCACTTGCGAATTTCCTTGCCGCTAACCCAGCAATGGGGAGAGGATGGATTACTGGATAGATCTCTGTACTCGGTACCAAACAGCCATTTCAAATGGCCTTTACACACTTTCAAGATTCGGTTCGTCATCGTGCAGGTGTAGCACCGCGGTTGTCCAGGCTTGCATGTGTCTTGTTGGGACTCAAAATGATCCAGGGCCTGCAGTAAGAACTCGAAACAATAGCTGTACCTATTAGCTGACTATTTATCCAACATCGAGATACCTTACTTACAAACTTGCCGCCGTCGTGACTCGATGGCCATCCATATCTCCACACGTGAGCGCGATAGCAGGCTCATCATCACCTTCTGCAATGACAGGGATACTGCATACCGAGAGCATGTGTTCCAGATTCTGACGCAGAACTCGGTTGATTTGAACATCAGGAATAGTCTCATTTGTGGTGGCGCAGATGCATTGAATCTAGGCAGGCTGTGGTAGTTCTCTTCAAGCATTTACAAATTACTTGACCGCTTATGCATGGCGCCGAAAATTGGTGAAAGCCAGGAACCAGGCTATGATATCGTTGGATATGAATAAACGTTGCAAATGGTGTAGACCCCGCTTCTGATGTGTCAAAAAGCCACAGCTAGGTGATATTGGATCAGTAGCCAATTGAGATCAAGGTAAAGACCATCATAGGGTGTTCGCATAAGCAGCCTCAGTTACAAGCTAGTCAATATCAGCTGAATACCTCAACTCAGAGCTCCCTTGCAGGCAGCTGAGATGCAAGTAAATCCTTTTTCGGTAAATCACTCGGGGAGACGACCGGAAAGCCTTCGTTCTATGTGGTGGCGTCCAGTACCGGAATTGCCGTCTCACAACGAGACGCTGCTCAGCCCCAGCCACCTCCCCTCCCCGAATCAGCCAAGACCGGGCTGGCTTGCCATCTTGACGCACTCGGAGCTCAATGAGAGCCTCGTCAAACCCAACGTCGATGGGACATTTGAATCTTCACTCTCAGACATTCAACAGCCAAACCATTATCCGTTCGACTAATGTGTAGTATTTCAGGGTTTCAGTATGGATAGATTTAGATAATAAATCACAACTCAAAGCTTGTTCTATTCTACTTGCTAAACTGACCAAACCAAATGCTATCATCTGGCCTCATCCCTGTGGCCACCCCCTTTCTCCCGCACATCTCTCCATGTTCTGGAGCGACTTCCCATTCGCCCATGACATCTGACCTCACAAGAAATTGCATCACCATGCCCGACTCAGCATGCCATGTGTTGTGACAATGAAACGCCCACATTCCTGGGTTGTCAAGTACCACCCGGATGATGGCCCATGCATAGCCTTCCACTGTGATGGTATCTCGACGCAAGGGGTTCTCGAGCAGGTTATGCTCCTCGAGATATTTGGGAAGTTCAGTGGAGTTTGGAGGATATCCGCTGTTTCCTTGCAGTAGGACAAAGAACTTGTGACCATGGAGATGGAAAGGGTGGGCGCCATCATCAAAGTTATTGATGGAGATATCAATGGTGCGGATCCCTGTGGTTTCAAGAACCAGTTCCTTCTTGCGATCAAAGACTTGTTCGTTGACACTAACTGCGCTGAGCTTAGGAATCCCTTTCACGTTCGTATCAAGGTAGCGGTGCAGTGATGGATGCGTAGCATTGCCATGCCATGTGGAATCATTGAAGAAACCACGAGCCAGTCGCCAGTCGCCGATTTCAAAATTTGCTCGCAAGACTATAAAGTCATCTGCTCGGGGCGGGGATATTGAGTCGACGGGACGAAGGGCAGTGGTGTTGAGATCCCGACATATAACCTCGATGGCTTCTGACCATTCTTTGCTTGTTGGTTCTTTCGATGGAGTGTCTGAGTCTGGTGACGTGTAACGTATTGTAGCCCTTAGTTCAGGTTGAAGGCGCTGATTTTCTCTCTTAAAACAGTGTGTTACCATTCGCGCTCGCATCCAAAATGAGTAACTCGATGAAGTAACGTTCGTTTCTAGCACCACGCTGTATCGTTGAGCTGGGAGGACGTTGACGCGATGAAAAGGCTCTGGATGAACATCTGTCCCGTCGACCTCGGTGATGTAGAACGGATGCTCATCAAACTGAATCTGAAACTCGGCAAATGCCCCAACGTTGATGATGCGCAACCTGTGACGCTTTCCAGCTTCGAGATCAATCTTCGGCGTTGACACGTTCGTGGTATCACACGGCCAACCCGGAAAATCTGAGCAGTCACGGACACCGCGACCGTTGATCAACGCGTTGTCAGGTACAGGCTCATCATTCTCCTGATCAGGAGCGAGATAATCCATGAGAAGCTCTGAAGTCAGGTTGTGATAGTGATCCTGCACCATGACAACTCTGTCGGTTGCATACTCCAGCTCTTGTAGCTTTCGCTCTTGTCGGGAGTGAACAACCATGGGCCCTAGCAGACCATCAGAGGCCTGAGCACTGTGGTGAGCATGATACCAATATGTTCCATGCTGGCCCTTGACGTCGAACTGATACGTAAAGCTTGAGTTGGGTGCAATTGGGCATTGTGTAATGCCAACAGTCCCGTCCATGTTATTGGTGCCGTTTTGGAACATGCCGTGAAAGTGTATGGCGGTTGCATTGGGTGCTTTATTCATGATATGCACAACAATGGTATCTCCTTCGTTACACTCAACCATAGGACCAGGGAACTGGTTGTTGATGAGAAACATTGGGCGGTAGACGCCATCTGGGTTGAGGGTGGCTGTCGTGATAGTCCAGAAATACTCTCGGATTTTTGGATGGGCGTCAAAGTCCCATGAGGGTGAGAGGATGTATTCATTGGGATCCCGAAGCTGAGGCACAGAAGGGGGGTCTTCATGGTGCTGGATGACTGATGGTGATGGTGACATTGTAGTCTCATGGGAAGCCTCTGAGTGGTCGTCATTATGGGCTGGCGAGGATGTAATAGATTGGCTGAGGGTGACGGCTGCTAGAACGAAAAGGGAGAAGATGCAGAAAACGGAAAGCAAGAGTCTCTGAAGCCAAGCTGCCTGAGTCTCTTTGTAAATCGGGTCGTCGGGTTTCTCCTGGTTGTCTTGCAGAAACCAGGTGTTGTCAGCGTTACAGCCATCTTGCCTGACCCACGGCGCCCTCTCTGCATCCAACTCTCCAGCCATTGTTGAGTCGATGTCTGCAATACAATGTCCATTCTCCTTTTCCAGTCCAGAGAAGAAGGGCGCCTCTCACAAGCCAGCTAAACAATCATCTCCACCCTGATATGCTTGCGAAGTGGAGGTGACAGGGGTGGCCAAACTGACGTCAAGTCGGATACGACGGCACGCAAGCACCACGCGTCTCTATCTTGTCCTCGATACCACGTGCTTAGCGTTTCTGTTCCATTGGAACTTTTTGATCCTGGAAACAGCTCTGGGGATTGAAATGTCGCTCAGCACCAAACATGTTACGTTGACCGACGGTGGAGACGGGCGAGCTCCGTTCGGCACATTATCCGTGGCAACGTGCATTTGATGGTAGCCATACAAACGGAGATCATATAGATATGATATCAAGTTCACGTCTTGGAGTTGAGTTGAAGGTCAGCCACGCCAATCTCACTTGTCACGCTCACGATGCTATTTCAAACCGCCACCCTTCTGGCCGTCGCTGGCCTAGCACTTGGTCACTCTCCTTACTCTCCTCCTGACAAGCCTCACGGCGACAAGTCAGGATGGGAGACCAAGTACACGGCTACTGGTACTGCTGAAGTTGCGGCCGCCGCTGCGACTGCAAAGACCAGCAGCCCGACTAGCAAGGTCCGTGGCAAGGCATTTGATCGCATTGCCATCATCTACTTCGAGAACGAGAACTATGACAAGGCCTTTGGAGATCGTGAGTTTTCCGTCCCCCTGTACGTCGAGGAAATCTAACAAAGACAGCCAACTTTGCCTGGTTCAGATCCAAGGGCGTCACCCTCTCCAACTACTTTGGTGTCACTCATCCTTCTGAGCCCAACTACATGGCGGCCATCGCTGGTGACTACTTTGGCATGCAGAACGATGACTTCAACCGCAACCCTCGCAATGTCTCTACCGTCATTGACTTGCTTGAGCACCGCGGCATCTCTTGGGGTCTGTACCAGGAGGACATGCCCTACTCTGGCTTCGAGGGCTTCTCTTGGGTGAACCACAAGAACGGTGCCAATGATTATGTGCGCAAGCACAACCCTGCCGTTCTTCATGACAGCATTGCTTTCTCTGAGAAGCGTCTGTCGCAGATCAAGAACGTGTCTCTGGTTGATACCTCGCGATCCCTGTTCCACAAGGATCTTAAGGAGAACAAGCTGCCTCAGTGGATGTTCATCACCCCAAACATGACTTCTGATGGACACGATACCTCTGTTACTGTGGCTGGTAACTGGTGCCGCAAGTTCCTGGAGCCTCTCCTGGAGGACAAGCACTTTATGGACAACACTCTTGTCTTGATCACCTGGGATGAGAACGAGACTTATGCCAACCAGAATCACATCCTTGGTGTCCTCGTCGGTGATGCTGTTCCCAAGCATCTCGTTGGCACCACTGACAACAACTTCTACAACCACTACTCTGAAATCTCTACCGTCCAAGCCAACTGGAACCTCCCCACACTTGGTCGATGGGACGTCGGCGCCAACGTCTTCCAGCTGGTGGCCCGCAAGACTGGCGACAAGCTCCGCAAATGGAAGTCTCACAAGCTTGACAGGATGTTCTACAACGTCTCTTACGCTGGCCCTTTCAACACTGCTGGTGGCAACCATCAGTATCCCGCTCCCAACTTGGATCTTGAGCACAGCTTCTCCGGACGCATGGTTTTTGAGCCTATTCGCAAGGAGTGGCACAAGAGCCATTCTCCTACTTACTACAAGGATAGCATTGAGGTGCCGGATGGATTGAGCCCCCCTAAGGGCTACGAGGCTCCCAAGTCCAAGTAAACCGGTGTTTGAAGCTTGCAGATAGACTATCTCGACCTAGTCTTAATGAAAATAATTACAAGATCGTAATGACAGAATGTTTATTTCCTTTTGATTCTGTACTGGTTGTTCTTCTTAATGACGCTGCAAAAAGCCACCAACGGATAGATCGTAGTTATAAACACATGACGATATTGAAGCCGAACAGCACACAATACCACCACTAGATCCCATCGCTTGACGTTCAAGATTTTGGCTCAACGCCAAGCTGCTGTCAGATCGCCAAGCTTGAACCATCTCCAAAGCCAGGATCTTGATCTCCGGCTTAAGCGGCATCGTGAACCCTGCGCCGCTAAGACTAGCATCGAGCCAGGGGCAAGCGAATAAGACAACGTAGGTTGGTCAGCACCTGTGGGGCGGCCGTTGCTGGCCTGAACCACCCTGTAGGAACGCGAGTTTTCACCATGTGCTTCCTAGAACTTTTGTAGATCATCACAAGCCACGATATCCGGCAGGATAATGCCGAGAGAATGCAACACTATCCCAGTTTGTCACCGAGAGATCGACATGGACGGTTTGGCCGAGGAAGGAAGGTTGAAATGTAATTGATGCCGGTTTTTGTTTATTGGCTTTAGCACCTATTTGCCCGCTGCTGTTCTCGTCTTTCACGAGCCACAACTTGTCAACTCACGCTGCAGTCATTGAATCTTTCAACTAGCCCCCATTATTCTACATTTCTTTCACATCATGAAGTTTTCTCAGAGCCCAGCATCCAAGCGATTTCTCTCCGACTTCACACTAGGCTTCTCAGATGGACTGACCGTACCCTTTGCCCTGACGGCAGGGCTCAGTTCCCTCGGCAAGACAGACACAGTCATCTCTGGAGGCCTAGCCGAACTATGTGCGGGCAGCATTAGCATGGGAATTGGCGGTTACCTGGCAGCTCGAGATGAGGTTCCCTCCCAGACTTGTCGTCAATCCGACTCGGTCGATGATGAGGAAATGAGAGGCATCCTCAGCTACGAATCAAACAGGGAAAGCGATGATATTTCAGAGCCTAGCGAAAAATCCCAGTCAAGGGCCGAGGAGCTTGTACGACTACATCTCGAGCCCTTAGGTCTGCCCCATTCTGCCATCATTTCGATCCTTAGCACTCTCCAAGAGGAGTCGACAGGCCTTGAACGTGCTGCCCTACGGTTGCAATCGTACCGAGAAGATACATCATCTTCATCAGCATGCTACTTTTCATCACCCATTATCTCTGGACTTTCAATCTCCCTCGGTTACGCTGTTGGAGGCACCATTCCACTCTTCCCCTACTTCTTTGCCAGTACAGTAGGGTTGGGTTTGCAATGGAGTATCGGGCTCTGCTTGGTTGTATTGTTTGGGTTTGGATTTGGAAAGAGCTGGATTCTGAAGAGCCAAGAATTGAGCGTTCGAGGGTGTCTTTTTGAAGGGCTGCAAATGTTGATATTGGGTGTGGCCGCGGCAGTGGTTGCAGTTGCCTGTGTGAGGTTGGTGGGAGAGACCTCATGACCTTGGCGATGTTGAATGGTATTAGAGAAATGAATGTTCCTCTAGAGGTATAGCTGAACAGTTTTATACCGGAAGATGCCTGGACAACTGATTCTCTCCATACAGGGTATCACTGGCCAATGTCAACCTCAAACCGTTTTTGGCCCAAGGCGGTTACATGTGCAACATGATAGAAACGTAAACCGGTTCCTGAATGAATAAAATGGAATAATAGGATAAGAGTATTACTTCAGGATCTACTTGCTCGGTTTCCTCGTCCGTAATGTGGAGAGTCACGACTTCTAGATGGCACGAGAAATCTGATCTAAAGGATGCCCAGAAATACGAATATCTGGCTTAGTAAGGCATTTTTGAATACATAAATCCTGCGGATTTCACATTCTTCGAGATAGTTTTAGATCAAATAAGCTGCCATCTTGTACTGAGCTATTCCTCGACTTGAGCCCATTCTTGTTTGAATTTCCATGGCATCCCTGACGTCTTGGTTCACGTCGTGGCTTGGACGGCCCATTCAAGCTGCGGCGGACCCATTGGAGCAAGCTATCCTGCCAAAGCGTGAGGCAAATCTTGAGTTCTTGGACGATTCACATCCCAAGTACAAGACAGAGAAGCCATACTACTCCAACGTACCATTCACCAAGACGGATGCTCCAAACACCAACGTCGTCTCCAAGCAATGTTGCGTTCCCCTCCACAATATTAGGGGCTATGAGGCCCTTTTCAACCTCGATGTCCATGGGTTCCAGCTGATCAAGAATCCTTCGACTTTTGACCAGTGGCAGGATGGCCACAAGGTCGTACAAGATGTTTACCCCGAGATCACAGAGCTCCTTAAGAGCCAGCTTGGAGGAGATGTGAGAGTAATTGTGTTTGATCACACTGTTGGTGCCCTGATGACAACGAATGAAGCTGAACCGCTAACTCATTTCCAGCTCCGTAGAAGCAACATTTTGGACGGAAGCACAGATGCACCTCAGGGCGAGAACTTCGCTCCTCCAAGCCGAGTGGCTCATGTTGGTAAGCTAGAAGCTTCCTGCGGGTAACGCTCTCACGCCTGGAGCCTGACAGGAAGAAGATCAGACTCATAAAGCGACCATCGGGCAAATCAAACTCGATTTCAAGGCCGAGGCTGAGAGAGTTCTGGAGAACCGGTTTCGAATCATCAAGTCAGTCCCTCTCCTCTCCACTCTTACATATTGCTGACCGCCCACGCAGTGTATGGCGTCCGATCCGGGGCCCGGTAAAGCAGCATCCCTTTGTTCTTTGCGACTACAGAACGGCCAAGTCTGACTTTATCCCGTGCGATCTGGTTTATCCCCACACCGTCACCGAGATCATGGTTTTTAGAAACACGGCTTCCCAAAAGTGGTATTTCATTGACCAACAAACACCAGACGAGGCTTGGATCTTCAAAATCATGGACTCGCAGAGCCTCAATGATCCTGACGTGGCAGAATGTAAGTGCTCCCACACCGAAGTCACCCGTCAGTATGAGCTGACATTGACGTTCAGTCTCTCCACACACGTCCTTCTTTGACGAGAACGAGGCTCTCGCCGGTTGTGTGAGGGAGAGTGTGGAATTCCGTGCCTACGTTTTCGGGTGAGCCATTATCTTGTCAGGCTTGGCTATACTGTAAACAAGAGGGTGGGGGAAAGCAGGCTCTGGATTCAATGATGAAGTGATCATCTGTTAGCTGTGTAAGACAAGCGCTGGCCGGTGTGGCTTGTGCATCATGCATGTGCCAAGGTCGTAATCACAAAAAGCACAATCTGCATAAAATGATGCAGCAGCACTAAAATGGTATTCTTGGCGTGGGACGAGGGGTACAAGAAGTACCTGTATGCTCTGGGCATTGAACCCGCAACTCTAAGTGGTCGGTTTGCTCGAAGCCAGAGAGAAGAGAAAAGATCAATAGCCTATCATTGCTTGTCATTTCTATACTTCTAATTGGAGCAAAACGGAATCAGGCTCGGTCCAAGCCGCTCGTTGAGCGCCGTTAAGCCGAGAAACGTGAAGGTAGCATTATGCCAATGGGCTCGATTTATTAAACAAGATGAAAAGAAGTCATGTCGATCCGAGACTTTCCGGCAAAAGAGCCTCGAAAGACTGACAATGGTGGGGGTTCCACACATAAAAGAGCTAGGTTGGAAGAGGGATACCTTTGACTTCCCCGTCTCATTGGCAACCCTTTGAAGCTATTCAAAACTTTATTTGTGGAAGCAGAGTAGTTGTGACTCGACGTTCTTACTCTTCACGATGTTTTCCACTTACTTACTCTTTGTAAGCTTAGTAGTTGTTGCTCTCAGGTCAGCTTCTTCCTTTCATGCCAATGTCATGACATGTAGTTCACTGTGCTCACTGATACGAAATAGCACTCTCGTCATTGGATTTGGACGGAAAGGTAGTGAAAGTCCACGTGAGACCGGGCTTGTCACGATCCCACAGAAAGCACAGGTTGACATCGCTGCTGCTGTGACCGAGCCGCCCAAGGTTCAACCATGGAAGGACTGGCTACAAGCTGAGATGGAAGCATCAAGCGACCCCTCTCGGCCATGGCTCGACTGGAAGCCCAATATGGACGACCCGAGTGACAAACCATGGCTCTATTGGAACAAGAGGAAGATGGAACAGGGCCGTTCGGGGGCTTATGAGCCTGAGCCTGATCCTGATCCTGAGACTCAGCCTAGGCCTGAACCTAGACCTTGGCCCAGGGGGCCGACGACGGAAATGATGGGTACTTATCCTGTCATCAATCACGCTCGAATCTGAGTTTTTGAATCGAAGGGGGAGGAACGGTTGATACTTCTCCACTGTGTTAGCATCGGGTCATGGTGCTAGGACGTGTTGATAATCTGTTCTTTATTATAGTTGCAGCCCGACCCTTGATGGGAACTGAACCAGAAGATCGTTGATACCTCTTGTTCAGTGATCTTTCCCTTTCCTGTGTTAAAACGTCGGCCATGCGAGAAAGAAACGCATTGTGTATATAGACCTTGACCAGCCATCTCTCTCCTTGGTGTTGCAATCTTGTTATCGGAATAGTTGTTGATAGAAGTTATGCGATCTTGATGGGCAGGTAACTGTTTCTAGCCTAATGATTGACTGAGAGTCAGACACGACCGCAATGTCAAAGAGGTGATCCTGAGAAATCAAGTCTGCGTATACTCCAAAGGATACTTACTATGTACGTAGGAATACCTGTGGCTCCAGACGTTCATCAGTGTCAAGCCTCCACTTAACCTCGAGAAATTGACCACTTTCAAGGACATCAAACTCGATGATCCAAGATTCCCAGCTCAACAGGTACATTGCATAGCCTTTCTCGATGCACTCATCTCGCGTTCCACGCACAAATGTCCACGAATCCGTATGGTAGTGGTAGAGCTCGAACACTTGACCTTCCAAGCCATTGATACATAGATGAAGGGGGTAGCTTTCATCCCCAGAAAGAGATACGTTAAGTCTCATGGCCAGACCTTGGTTTTCATACTGGCCGACATATGCGTCCAGGGACTTTGGAGATGTGCCAGGGACTCGATGCAATCCCAATTGTTCGACGACAGTATCCCAACGACTCTTGGCGTTATCAACGACGTTCTGGGCTACTTCCATGAAGTCAACCCAGGGCTTCATGTTAAAAACAGTTTGCGTCAGTAGCTGAGCGATGATATTTGTCGGATCCCCATTGATCTGAAACGAGTTGGTGAGAACGACGATGGCACAATCGTCTTCTGGAAAAGTCCAATACGCAGAGAGAAAGCCGCCCAACTCCCCAGTGTGGCCAATGACTGGCCGAGGAGCTCCAGAGTCCTTACCGATGGAGTAGTCTCGGCTGTTGACATCGGGGTTGGTAACTAGGTTCATTTCCGTCGTTGGGAGTTGAAGGTTGAACAGGCCAAGTGCATACTGCTGGTTCCTATCCCTGCCACCAGAAAGGGGGAAATGTGGTTTTTGCGCCGCGGCTAGGGATGCCCTGAGCTGTCTGTCACAGCATATGGGACCGTCCCTGCCATGTGACTTCTTTGACCACGCTCTAAAATCGGGTAACAGACCAGTGAGACCAGAGAAACATCCAGGATCTTGAAGGGTTTCGAGGCTCTTGTCATGGCAGCGGGACGGATGAGCCTCCATGAGAGCCCTGGACCAGAGCAAAAGATCATCAACACAAGACCGGACAGCCCCTGAGCTGTCAAAGGCGACTCCATCATCCAGGTGAGGGAGGTTGACGGGCATTGGGGCTTTGTTTTCGTCTTCGAAGACAAGGTAGGGCAATGCGTGGTTTTGATCCACGGGGGCACTCGTAAATGTCCTTTTCATGCCAATCTTCTTCAGAATCTCTCGCTGAATAAACTTTCCGTACGAGGACCCGGACTCTTGCACGATCAGAGTCCCCGCGAGTGCAAATAGCCAGTTATTGTACGTCCACTCCGACTTGAACGGAGCGGCTTGTGGCAGGTGGTTGAAGATGTGAACAATGTCTTTATACTCAGCAAGCACATGTCCGTCTCTCCCCAGCACCTCGAACGGCATGGAGGAAAGACCCGCGCAATGAGAGAGCATGTCCCGAATGGTCATCTTCTCGGCCACTTTTGGGTTGTTTACGGTCTCGAGCCCCGGAATTTTGGAGGAGACGGTGTCGCCCAAGTCAACAGTGCCTCGCTGTGCAAGAAGGCTCAGGGCGGTCCCAGTGAAGCCTTTGGTGCACGACCCAATAGAGTAGACCGTGCTCGAGTCAGGCACCAGTTCAGTCTCGAGGTTCGCATAGCCAAATCCTTTGGTCCATAGCGTGGATCCTTTATAATGGACGCCAATGGACAAGGAAGGCGCCTGAAAGAGTTTCCGGATCTCCTCTATCAGAAAGACGATGCCCTCGAGCCTACAAAACAATCGTCAGTTTAGCCAAGCAACTCAGCTTGCTAAGAAACTGACCGGTCCAAGGCGGCGGCGCGGTCTTGATCGCTTTCGCGAGGTCTGTGGTCGCTGTACTTGGCCATGGTGACAGGCGGTTGAATCGGTGGTCCAGCTCAGCCTAAACACACAAAAGTGAGAAATTTGGGGGACTGAAAATTCCAGTGGATGTTGGGGGGGGCCTTCAGTACCGCAACCCCATGCCTCTACTCTCAGAACCAGGCTGCGGACAGTACCAATGGGTACCTCGCAAAATCTGCTCACACGGATGCAAGGGAGTTACACTCACACCACGAGAACCAAACACAAGACATAACCGAGGAGGGGTTGCGACACATACCCTGCCCATGCTTATCAAGCCTTCGCGGTTGCAAAGAGCGCGGCGTAAGCCTGGGCAAGGCATGAATAACGTCTCATGGTACCATACGGAGTAGGATCTCAAGAATTCACATGGCAGGGTGAAAGTGTCACATTAACCTCCAGCAGGGTAAATACAGACAGAGCTTTCTGGTGAGTGATTGCGTGGCTGCATGGGCAGGGCTTGATCAGAGCTTTTAAGGTGTCAAAATGAATGGCGCTAATAGTGATTTAGGAAAGCCGATCGGGAATCCTTGATCGGCGCGGCCGGTAACAGGGATGACCGGGGAACCCTGGATACTTCGATACTTCTTTGCTTTTTTCTTTTTCTTTTTAAAGCTTGGATCAATCGTTTCGCTTCATGAGATAATTTCTTTAAAGGGGTGTGTGTACTTGGCAACGTGTTGATCATGCGTGTACTCCGTAGCGACCTGCAACCCTTATCTTTCCTCATGCTCCCTACCCGCGTGATTTGCTAGCAGACACGGGAGCCTGATCATCGACGATGCATGCTTCCGGTTGAGTGTTTGGGGGCTGGTCTTGTCTGCCCACCACTCCATCTCATAGGGACAACAAGCTGGGGGGGCCTCATTGCCGTTGTGCGCCAGCCGTAAGCCACTGTGTAACGCATTGTCCAGAGTATCTGACCGGTTGATTTCCCACAGCCTCACTTTTCTTCAGTTATCCAACCACTGACCATGGCTACCGTTGAGCATTTTCAACCCCCTCAAGCTCTTGTTCCCCCTTTCCTCTATGGAACTGCAGAGAAGACAGATCCCACCCTCATCCTCTCAGCTTTGAGAGTTGGCTACCGTGCCTTAGACTGCGCATGCCAGCCTCAGTTTTACCATGAGCAGGCTGTCGGCCAAGCGATCGCCTCAGCATTATCTCCCGTGTCTCAGGGGGGGCTGGGCTTACGCCGAAGTGACCTCTTCATCCAGACAAAATTCACCACGCCTTCCGGTCACAAGCCTGGCCTGTCCCCCTACCTTGAAACGGACTCACCGGAGACCAAGGTGAAGAAAAGCCTTAAAATGAGCCTCACTAAGTTGGGGGTTGGTTACGTCGACTCGCTCCTCCTCCACGGGCCAATGCCAACCCTGGAAGAGACACTTCAGATCTGGGCCGGAATGGAATCTGTATTTGGCAGTAAGGTCCGGAATCTGGGGCTTTCAAATGTCTCCCTTGAGCAGCTACGAGTTATTCACAGCCACGCAACCATCAAACCATCCATGGTGCAAAATAGGTTCTGGCATCACAACCACTTCGACTCTGCCGTGAGATCGTTCTGTGTCGATCACAAAATGACATATCAGGCATTTTGGGTCCTAACAGGGAATCCCCAGCTTCTAGACTGCAACATCGTGGGGTGGTTCGCCGAGAAAGTGGGAGTGTCAAGGGAAGACGCACTCTTTAACCTAGTCTTGTCGTTAGGACGGGACGGGTCTAGAATCTCAGTCTTGAACGGCACCACGAATCCGGCCAGAATGGTCCGCAGTCTGGAGGCCATGGAGAGGGTGGGGGCCGTGCCGGAGATTGTCAAGCAGGGCTTTGTAAATGAATTAGATTCACTAGCCGAGCCACTGATGAAAAAGAGCATGGCTTGAGCAGTATCAGTAGAAAAAGAAATTAGAAGTAAATCTAATTTCAGGCAAAACCGAGTAAAAAAACATGCAAAGCACTCATTGATAGTGTGGTTGAGAACAATAGGAAAAGAAATCCATCAGTCGTCCGAGACAAGCTTCTCGTACTCTGCCAGTGCTTCTTGCGCATCCGCAGGAATTTGCTTGCCTGTTATTTCCCCATACAACTTGGAGGCTCTGCCTTGAGCCTCATCCGAATCCTGATTCTTACCAAGCTGAGCATAGGTTCGACCCAGCCAGTGCAGAGCGCAAGCAAGCTTGTTCTTGCAGAGAAACTGACCGTCGCGCGCAGTGCCGTTCTTGCTCCCAAAGATCTTTTCAGCATCCTTGAACAAAGCCCTGGTTACGTGTTTAGTATCTCGGTAATCCCCTGTCAGGGGGCGGAAACTTACTCAGCCTCCTGCAAACTCCCGGTTTCATATCTAAAGGTACCAAATCTGAGACGTGTCATCCCTGTGTCTAGCGAATCACCCACCACAGCTTTGAGCATCTGAAGCGACTGAGAAAAGTGCAATTCGGCGTCCCCTGCACGTCCAAGGCTCGCCTCTGCCTCTGCGAGTGAGCACAGCCAAACTGCCTGTCGAGCCTCCATCTCTTTGTCATCTTTGTAGATACGCATCTCTTTGTTGCATTCGGCAAAGAGGTTTGCGGCCTCCTCAACGTGGCCTTGGAGCCGCCTTAGCTTTCCCTTATTATGAAAAGAGAGGGCAAGGAGAAAGCCAGCGCAGTGATCCCTCCGTCGCTCCTTGATCTCAATCGTCTTCTCGTGCAACTGGGCGGCCTTCTCGAACTCCCCCATTTGCTTCGCCGCAATGCCCAAGTTGCTATAGGCATTGGCTAGCTGGATGTCGATGTGTAAGGGGGCATCCGTGTGCTTGTAGTCTCTCCGCAGGTTTTCCTTGCGGATTTGGAGGGCTAGCTCCAGGTACTTGACGGCTTCTTCCGTCCTTTCCTCAGATCGAAGGCAGATGCAACCAAGTAGAGTGTAAGGTTGTGCCCGTAGGCAATTATGGGGTTCAAAGACTCTTTCTGCAATCTCAATCGACGTGCGCGCCATGCGCTCCGAGTCCCGGAAGAGGCCTCTCGCCCAAAGGTAAACTCCACAGTCGCAGAGCAGTTCTGTCATGAGGGCGAGAGTTTGGGGGTCCGTTGCTTCCCTGATCCTTGTCTCCGTCTCGTAAAGAGCGAGGAGATGAAGGACGTGCGCGGTGTACTGTTGGCAAGCCGGCCAGTTGGGTATCGGCTCGCCTAGAGGGGACTGCCTGGGGTACGCATGATACAAGGCCCGGGTCGCCCCGAAAATTGCCATTCGGAGATTCTCAAGGTCCCCGTCCAGGAGTTCGTGGAGGGCGCTCTGTTGAACTTGTCGATGAATAGATAGTGAGAGTTCCTATGATGTGCAGGTGAATAAAAAGTAAAAGAAATTCCTAGCGTTTTTGCGACATACCTGATCATTGTACTTCATGAGGAATTGCTGGGTCAGACTCGACTTTGCCTCATTGTATCTGAGCGTGTTGTGGGATTTTTGCAAGATCTGCAATGCCGGTGGCAAGGGCATGTCTGATAAAGCCTTCGGGATCTGAAATAACTGTCTTGATATGCCATCTGGATGTAGGAAAACTGCGATCCTCAGCAGAGTTTGAGCATCAATCGACAACTTCTTGAAGGACAGTTGCCAGACCGTCTCCAACGTGTGTCTGTACTGCGGATGATCTAGGCTTCTGGCATTCCCAAAGAGATTGCGAGCATACCCGAGACTCTTGTAATCACCCAAGAACTCTCTGACCGTGACGTGGTTGGTCCGAAGGTATCCTGCCATCTGAGCGAGCGCAAGGGGTAGACCACATAGAATATTTGCCATTTCTGCAACAAGTTCGCGGTCGTTGGCGTCACTCACTTTATTGTCGAGAATTAGCTGGATCATTGAAGCTCCCTCCGCATCGTTCAGGGAGCCAACTTCACAGGCACCGTCCACCAAGGTCGTGCCAAGTATTCGCTGGCGGCTGGTGACGAGGATAGACCCCCTGGCCGAACTGGGCCAATAGTTCTGTAGCAGTTCCTCATTGTCGACGTTGTCAAAAATGACGAGCCACTTGTAGTCTATACCAATATCAGCCTTCAAGCTGTCAGATACGCCTACAAGGAGACAACAAACCACATTCTCTTAGCCAGTTCATGACGTTTGTCATAATAGCTCTCGCATCTCCATCGTGAGGAATGTTGAGTGCCTTTGCGGCTTCAATGAAGCCATCCGCAAGTTTCTGTTCACTATCAGCAATGGCCCAGATAATGATTTCGTAATCATTCCGGTGGTCGTGGGCAAACTTGGCGGCTAACTGCGTCTTTCCTGATCCTCCGAGTCCGTGAAGGAGAAACGATCTCAGACCGGTGGGGGATGTCGATTCGCCTGGGAGCAGATGGGCCTCGATCCATTCCATGATTGCGGGCCTTGGAAAGAACAGCCGGTTGCTGAACGGTATGAGGTGACATGGGATTCTTGTGGCCCTAGGCTTGACTCCTTTGGTCAAAAAGTGTGTCTCCTTGGCTTGCTGCAGATTGACTTCAGCCATAAAATCTCGGCTGGCTTCCTCAATCTTTCCCCGTATCTGCCCAAATTTTAGATCGATTGGATCAACGATCAATCGAATAAGGGTCACTGTAGACAAACGCCCCCAAAGTCAATAACAACCTCGAAATGAAGGTGTGGCAGGTAATCTCACAGAATGTCCGTCGACGTAATACTTTGGCGGCTGCAGCGCAAAACTCGACGCAGCAGGCACAGACGTTACTCAGGGAGACTTTAACTCTTTCGGTTGCGTACATGTCGTTGTAGATTCGAAATCTCTCAAGCATCTTGGAAAGATTGCAAACACAATTGAGGATTGTTCCGATCAGATCAGCAAAGCGAGCAGCGTTCTAGACAATCACCACTCTTTCAGCAACCGTTTCGTAAGTTCCATGGATACGCAACTGGGAGCTACCTTTAGAAGAATCAAGAACCCACCCCAGATAATCTGGGCTATTGGATCCGCAACTTGCACCACCACCGTAATGCCTCTAACAAAATGTTCGATGGCATACAGGGGTTTCTCGAACTGGCCAAGCGTCTGTACCAGCTTCCTAGCCTCAAAAGTACCTCTCACTTCGGCGATCATGGTTTCACAGTTTGAGACGTTGTAGCTCTGAGACTGTCGTATGTATTCGTGGTCCGCGACACATCGGATGTGCTCGAGTACGAGGTCTCCCTTGCTGTCCTGCCATGACAACTCGGCAAGGCTGTTCCTCTTTTCTTGCGCCACCTCATTTTCGGCTGATGTGGCATCTATGAGAGTTTCAATCGATATTTTGGAATGTTGAGAAGCGACACGGCCGATCTCAACCACCTCATCAACATCCTCATCATGCCCCCAACATGGAAGACATGATAAGGAGGCTTTCATGTCGCTTTTGGTGTGAGGCTTCACAACAAGTGAGAAGGCTAGTGAGAAAAGTATGAGAAGTAGGTCATCAGACCCTTGATTAAGATTATCTCATATGGGGACTACAGCAGCAGGGAGTGTCGTCTACAGCCTTACCGCTTGTCTAAGCCTCATTCGGGCCTCAATGTCCGGCCTAACGTGAGGCAGCATCATTTTCCTAAGAGAGAATTTCAGGACCGGGCAAGTAAGCAACCCTGCAGCGGAAATGGTGTACAGCCAACACCTTTATGCAACAACCGTCCGTTGGCTGTGCCCGAGGACCATGCTGGTGACGATTTTGTGTGGCTTGGGTTAAATGTCATAGGCTGGCTAAAGTACAAAATGCGAATACATAGCTACCCACCTGCCAACTTGTCAGACGACACACATATGCAGGAAACACCTGCAATGGTGACGAGGGATGCATCTGGGTGTGTGGATGCTTGAACATGAGGCTCAAGCGAGGGAGGGGACGCCTGGATTTCTTGCATGGATACAGACTGCCCTCGGCTGATCCTGCCAAGCTTTGCCAAGTTTCCCGGCAGGCAAGTGGTTTTGTAATCTTCTCTCGGCCGATCAGGATTCATGCATGGCGAATCACGGACGAGCTGAGGGGGGACGCTTGAGAGGATTTACATTTACAGACAAGTAGCCCATATTATAGGCTCCCATGCGCTGCAAAATACAACGACTTATGGTATTTAGCTTTGCTGTCAGCATTATGTTGAAAATCATGTTTTCAATTGTGTTCCCAAAACTACCAAAGACGTTAGATAGGGGTGGGAGACATTAATCACGCACTTCAGACCTTTAGGTTGATACTAGATAAGGCGCCCCAAATCGATCTCAAGTGCCTCTGACTTGGACGGGCTGAACTCTCCAAAATATGTCCCCATTTGTATTACTCTTCTCCCATGTGTAAAAGCTCCAAGGACTGGTCCACCACGATTGGGGAAAGCGAACTTAGAGGGCCTTTTTAGAGGGAAAACTATCTAAGAACGATTGCGATAGCTAAATAAATGTGTGGAGTGGTAGACCAGTCCATCCTGGCAGCCTAGCTGGCCTTGATCATCTTACTATATCCAGCAGCTCCTCTTGATCCCAACCCTTACTTATGCTCAGCCCCCTGATAAATAGTTTTTCTACCCCGGAAAAGCTTAATCTTAGGTTCATGCACAAAGTCCGCCATGCTGCCCGTTAACTCCGCCGTCCCGCGCATTCCGCGGGGGGCCTCGGATCAGCTAAGTCGCCATGCGGAACTCCAGGTGCTGAAATACACAGGCTGGCCTAGGGATAGCTCTTTCTGGCAGAACCTGGATTTCCGTTATCCGGTTTCTTCAATCCGTTCAATTCTTGTACTCGAGCACCTCACACCATGGCAGCCCCCTATGCAAATGACCATGTCAACCCCAATGGGCCTAACGATGCCCGTCCAACAGCTCTCAAGATCATCCGAGACGGGGGTCTCGATGGGAAACTTACTGGAAAAGTCTTCTTAATCACAGGTTGCACTTCGGGTGTTGGCGTCGAGATTGCTAGAGCGATTCACACCACAGGCGCTGATGTCTACATCACCGGTAGGCAAGCCGACAAAGGGAAGGAGGTTGTCAATAGGATCTTAGCAGATGAAAAGCCAGGGAAGGTTGTTTACTTGGAAATGTCTCTTGACTCGATTGCAAGTGTCAAGAAGGCGGCGGCCAACTTCTTAGAGCTCTCCAAGACTCTCAACGTCCTTATCTGCAACGCCGGTATGCCCATCCAGACAAGCCTCTTGGAATATTGAACTTACCAACGTCTACAGGTATTGCCCTTGCACCCCAAGGCACCACAAAGGATGGTCATGAGACGCACTTTGGAGTCAACTATGTCGCCCACTTTGCGCTGTTCCATGAACTGCGCGACACCCTTCTGGCATCGGCAACTCCTGAGTTCTCATCACGAGTAGTGACCACCTCATCCATGGTTCATGCAATGAGTACCTTTTTGTTTGACGACTTCAACTTTGAACGAACCCCCTATGAGCCTTATGCAGTTTATGGCTCTTCCAAGACGGCCACTCTCTGGATGGCGAATGAGATTGAAAGGCGCTACGGCTCCAAGGGCCTCCATGCGACGTCAGTGCATCCCGGAGCAGTCCTAACGGAGAAGATCAGCGCGCAAATGGGAGGATCTGAGGGAACGATGCAGAATCCTGCCATTGGCCTATATATGAAGAGCATAGCACAAGGTGCTGCAACCACAGTTTGGGCGGCTGTTGGCAAGGAGTGGGAAAACAGAGGGGGGCGTTACCTCGCAGATGTTTCCGAAGACGGTCCGCTGAGAGGATCCGAGACTGATTTCATCAGACTCGGCTATGCACCTCATGCCTATGACAAGGACGGAGAGAAGCGGCTATGGGAGCTAGGTCTTAAGCTCATTGGGGCACAAGACGGGGCCTGATAAGACGCAACCACTTGCAGAAGTGATAGGTGTGGTTTCCTCTAGACTCTTGTAAGTTTGATACGCGGTTACTCATCTGTTGCTACGCTTAGATTGTCTGATCATCATCTCATTCTACCATTGCTCCACCCGTTCAGGACTTCCCAATAGCATGAAGAGCAGCTCTTCTTCCCGAAAACACACCGTCTGCGAGTGACAGGCCACTGATGTACCCATCTGAGCAGATACCCACAGCTGTCCGTCCAGCCGCGTAGAGACCGCCAATCTTCCCACCCTTTTCATTCAAGACAAGTCCAGTCTCTCCATCAACCCTCAATCCACCAAGGGTGAGACCAAGAACCATCTGAACGCCCATATTTGACTTGGCTGAGATGTCGATGCCGTAGAACGGCGGCTTCAGCAGAGGCGAGCAAACATCTGGCATTTTGTTCATCGGGTCCCTCTCTGAACGATCGATGGCCCCATTATACTCCTCAACGGTCTTCGCCATGCCTTCCTCAGAGATGTCGAACTTACGAGCTAAGTCTTGAACAGAGTTGGCTCGCTTGTAGCCCCAATAGAGCCAGTGTAGTCTTTGCAACCGCACCAACGACGCGGTCTGCTCCCACACCTGTTTCCGGGCCTTAGCCCACTGCACTGAGTCCAAGATAAGGAAGCCCCGGGATTCATGGTTGAGGATCATTTTCTCAGTTAGTAGAGCTCCGTAGACGTCCTCAGCTCCGATTCGTTGTCCCTCCTGTGAGACGACTACGCCTTCGAGGAGAGCTGTTGGCGGATAGAGGAAGCGCCACGCTGACATCCGATTCATGTGAGACACCGTACCGCCTGCCGCGATACCGAGCTTGATTCCGGCTCCGTCATCAGCCGGCGTGCCCAGGGGAGCAACGCCCGAGAATTCCGGTAGGTAAATTTGTCGCATCTTGGGATTGAACGTGAAGCCACCAGCTGCAAGAACTACTGAGGGTGCTTCGATAGATTGGGTCTGCGATTCCCTCTCAAAGACAGCATTCGCCCTTTTGTGAAGCATTGCCGCAATCGGAGGGAGAGTGAGCTGATACTGAAGTGCTCTCTGGGTCAACTTCTTATGCTTCTGAAGGCCCGAGGCGTCTGCCAACATTCGACACTTGATCCCGCAGACAGAACCTTTCTCATTCAATAAGACCTCCTCAACCTTGGTGGCGGGCTGTAGCCGGATACCTAGCCGTTTCGCAGAGTCGAGTAGTGCTTTGGCGAGGCCGACACCAGAAAACCCCGGGTGAACCATGCGATGTCCTCGCGGCATTGGTTTTGCCTTCTCATTGAACGGATATGCCTTCTCCGAGCCCGAGTAGTAGATGTAGTGCTTGTTGGTCGGATAACTCGTCTTGTAAGGGCACATGGAAGCCTCGAATCGCGCCCCATGCTTTTCTAGCCACTCAAGGTTCGTAGCGCTCCTATCGCAAAATCGCTTCAAAGTTGCCCCGTCGACGGCACTTCCAACCTCCTCTCGGAGATACGCGAGCATGTTTTCCGGCATGTCCTCAAAGCCAGCCTCTTTCTGCTGTCGCGTTCCGCCTCCAGCGTAGACGACGCCCCCTGAGAGCGCTGAAGTGCCGCCTCCATGGAATCGCTCGACGACGAGCACCGATGCACCCTGCTCAGCTGCTGTTATGGCGGCTGAGAGTCCGGCTATACCACTTCCTACTACTATCAGGTCTGGCTTCTTACCAGAAGATGGCGTGGTGAGGCGGCGTGGCTGAAATGCTGTAACACGAGCGACCTGCCATCGTAGCCGCGCAGTGCCATTCAAGAAGGGCGCATACGGCTTCATGGATATTAGTGTCCTCATAGTCGACGGTTAAAAGCCTATTCCTGATGAGCTGATTCCAATTCTCTGACTGGATGAGCTGGTTTCGGAAAGATATCGCAGATGCTGTGTGAGACTGAGGTGTGAAGTGGACTCTCGGCTTCCGAATCCAATGTCTGAGACGAAGCTACCTTTATGCATTACCCCGTCAGCCCCTTACTGCTAATTAATAAACTCTCGGTATTTCGGTCTCACCTACGCCTGTAGTGCGCGCCTCCCGCGGTACTTCAATTTCCACTGGTTGGTTATCCAGGCTCTCCTACTATTCCCGCGCGTTCCGCGCACAACACCCTTTGCTCACAACCCACAGAGCAGATAAACAAGGCCCCGCATGTTGTTACCTGGCCGCTACCTTAGTTTAAGTAAGTTAGGCAAGCTGTTGATAAACTCGCTTTACTAGGCGCGCCGTTACACATGTCTAGCCGAGAAACCCACACAGACAAATAGCTACGAGATTTCATCCTACAGAGCCAAGACGTATCATAGATCGCGCATCATTTAATTATCTCGTATCTAATAACACATTATTCATTTCTAAATCTTCGTTACACTCCATTGCTCCGCTACCTATTTCTAGTCGTAGGCTGTCTTAAATAGCAACCCACCAACATTTCAAAGACCAAGTAGATATGCTTTTCACAACAGGTCATTCGCTTGGCTCCAATGTTCAAAAGGGTCATCTTATTTCGACAGAAAGACTATAATATGTTCACGACTCTTTCTTCTTGAATTAATAGACCCTTGCGCAGATCTCACTCCCACCTTTCGCGGAGTTCTATATAAGCAGCCTCACATCTCAGTACCACCTGGTCGGCTCAGCTCCGTCAGCACTATTCCCAACCTGGCATTTGCTCAAGTTTAAAAACCCCCAATGATTGGCCAGACTTCCGGTGAGACGAGAAAGTATGATCGCCACTTGATGAGCATCATGGCTGTCGTGGTTGGTAATGGAATCAATGGAGAAACAAGACGCCTTTGCCAAAATGGGAAGTTGCTCGTCTTTTGAAGCAGCATTCCCATTGGCGAGCAGTCAATTGTAAGGATCAAATGGCTTACAGCATCTGTTATCTCGATGCGTCGCTGTGAAGAAATGGTATTGAACATCAAAGTATAAAGAGACAGCGATAGACCCTTTCAAACTCAGACTCCTCATTAACAATAAACACTTCATTCTACATCTCCTCTTCCCTCTAAGCATTTTCAACATGACCAACAACGTCACTGCCATCCCTCAAGGCTCATGGGTTCTCGTAACCGCCGCCAACGGCCACACCGGAAGCCACATCGTGATAGAGCTCCTGAAGCGAGGCTTCAAGGTTCGTGGAACTGTCCGCGACCTGGAATCTTCGCAGTGGCTTCTGGACGATGATTCTGTTGCGCCATATGCCAAGCGAGGTGACCTCGAGCTGCTTGTTGCAGATAACAGTGTCCCCAATGCATTTGACGATGTCGTCAAGGGCGTGTCAGCTGTGATTCACGTCGCCATCATCAGCGACCTGGTGGCGGACCCCAACATTGTCATCCCTGCAACCGTCGAAGCCGCGCTCACAGTTTGTCGCTCTGCGGCCCGCGAGTCATCAGTCAAGCGCTTCATCTTCACATCCACCTTTTGGGCTGCCACATTCCCGGCCCCAGGCATTTCTGACACAATCACCAATCTTGACACTTGGAATGAGTTCGCGCTTCGAGCTGCCTGGGCTCCTCCGCCTTATGAAGCTGACCGGATCATTCCTGTCTATTGTGCTTCCAAGGTCGAAGCTGAGAAGGCAGTGTGGAAGTTTGTCAAGGATGAGAAGCTTCCCTGGGTTGTCAATTCTGTTAGTCCTTGTGTGATTCTGGGAGACATCAGAGTCGACAAACATCTTCGATCTGTGCCTCCACAGCTTTTCGAACAGTTGTACCTGGGCAACACTGCAGCTTTGCAGACACCTGCGCGTGAGTCTCACCCCCTTTGACCTTTCATCCAGGTTGAGTAAACGGCTAACCAGTATTGTTCGTATCAAGTGTACTACTCGCACGTCACCGACGTTGCGGTCCTCCACGTTGCCGCTGCCCTAGATCCAGACGTCAAAGACCAGCGGATTCAGGTCCTCGCGGGATCGTTTAACTGGGACAACTGCCTCGACATCTTGCGCAAGATCTACCCGGACCACAAGTTTGTTGACAACTTTCAACCCGAGAACCCCACCTTGTCCTACAAAGTCGAGAATGACATTGCGCCTGGTTTGGTCAAGAAATGGGCCGGACGCGACTGGATCAGCTTGGAGACTTGTGTGAAGGAGACGGTGCAGGGCATCATCGACCTCAAGCTGAAGAAGTGACAGGAGATCTGTTTTGACTGGATAAAAGTAAATAACAGTGATTAATAACAACTTCTATACCAAGTATAAGCCAGTACACATTCGACTATCTTGATACAACGATCTAGGGTGTTTCTTTTAGTGCTTGGGCTTACATGGTTACCTCCTGTAGCATTCATCGCGCTGCTCATTGGCTCAGATCGTGAGCTGAGTCAGATCTACTTTAGCTTCATGTTACTTCAACGACCTCATTTCAAATCTCTCTCCTCTCCCCACTTAATCAACTGTCTACAACACCGTGTCTAAGCCGTCTCTCATTCATTTCACACATATTTCTTAGCACGAGCTATCTACAAGGATGCAAGCCGAGCGAGCCGGACCCTTGATGAGCGGGCCAACAGTCGTGCTACAAAAGAGAGGCCGCGGTAGAAGGCCAAAGGGCGCCAAGGGCCATGTCCTGAGCAGACAAGAACGGTCACATACTGGCATGATCCAATTCATCAACGCCACCCTTCACAATGGACTTGGCGACACAAGCAACATCAAACTCATCAGATCTCATGCAGCCAAGCATTCACGTGCCCTTCGACGCGAAACGAAGCAGCAGCAGCATTCGGCACCGACAACCACTTCTGTAGAGGATACAGCATCAGAGCGGATTCCAGATGAGGAAGAGGCGGAAGAACCATATGTCTCTTTAAATGAGAACCACAAAAGAATGTCACAATTGGGTATCGGCAGTAGAGCCAGACATCGCAGACTTGCCCCAAAGCCACAAACGACGGCATTGCAGAGAAGAACCAGAAGTCGTTCTCCAAGCCCGATCCAACTAGTTGGAGGTGCTCGCAAGGATGCCTTCCAGACATTCGCCCGATCAATGTCAGAGGATGAGCAATATCTGTTTGACTTTTGTGAGTTCAATCATGCTTCAAACACCACGAAAACTCAAGCTTACCCACAAGACATCAATTATGTCATCGAATATGGCTACAAAGCATGCTATCACAAAGAAGACGAAAAGGTATTCCAAGCGTCGATGAGAGACGTTTGGGTGCCATGGGCCATGGGTCAACCAAGCTTGATGGCTGCAATATTCCACGTAGCATGCCGCAATTATGCCGCCACAACGAACAACAGCAACTCAAAGAAGTACGCGGTCAAGAAACTCCAATATCGCCTCACGTGCCTTGAGATGGCAAAAGAAGCAATTTCCTCTCAGGACGTGGCTACTGATACGACTATCGCGCTGGCTTTGCTGATGGCGTCTGAATCTGTACGTGCTCTTTTCCTGCTTTTAAAGGCTGTTCTGACCCCAGACTGCAGCACTTTGAAGGAGACATGGATGCGTTCTTTACCCACGGCATAGGCATCATCAAGATGGTGACGGCTCGGGGTGGTCTTGAAACACTTGGTCTGTCTGGGTTCCTTACAAAGAGCGTTGGGTGGTCCATATACAGTCCAAGTAACTATCTGGTGGAAGGTCCAGGTGAATTGAGGGTGTAAAGGCGCTGAGTATTGGCAAAAGGTGGCACATGATTCCAATTTGACACTGATAGTACATAAATGGTTTCTCAGTCACATGTTGACCGTTTCTTCGTCCTCAACTCCAAACAATACTCTCATGGGATCCTGGTAGTTCATGAAGCCAACTCCCGGTTCCAAGAGGCCGTATCCCAGCAAACGTTGTGCCTGCGGCTTCATCTTCCTCACCTTTTCCAACGGCACCATGAGGAACTGGTTCTCCGCCGGGCGGAGGTATGGCTTGCAGAGGAATATTCCAACAGTCTCTCGGTAATCATCCCTAAGAACAGTAAGTAACTGTACACGAGTTAGGGGACGTTATGACGCACTTGGTTGTGTTGGCGCCACCCGCATGGTACAAGTTGCCCAAGAAGATAAGGGCATCCCCAATCTCCAGCTCAGCAGGAACCGCCTCTTCGTCCAGAGGCCTCCGATCAGGACCCCATAGATGCGATCCGGGGATGCATATCGTGGCGCCATTTTCCTTTGTTGTCTTGGTCAAGGCTGTGACGCAGCCAATCATCAGAGGCTCATCCGTGTTGTGACGGTAGTAATCGCTGGGAAGGTTTAGCACCTGAGGCCGATAAAATGATCGGAACACATACTTGTCATCTCGATGGAGAACCTGCTGGGTTCCGCCAGGGTTCACACGGAATCCAGCCGTGGAAGAAATGATGGGCTTGCCGCTGACAGACTTCTTGTGATCACCCCTCCAGAAAGAGTAAGTCGACGGCAACACAGCCTGAGCAACTTCATTGTAGATTTTGCTGCAAGCGAGTTCAACACAAGCCTCAGACAAACCAAGCAGCCCTGTTGCTCTCTGAGTGGTCTCGGGGAAGAAACCATATTTGTCCTTGATGTCGGTATCAAAGGCAGGCTTAAGATCTTTGCTGATCTGAGTTGCAAGCTCGGGGGTAATCAACTTCTCGACAATGACACCTCCATCACGCTTGATCACCTCGACCAGTTTGTCGATGGTGGTTGAAGGGTCAGTTGCGTCGAAGCGAGCAATTGGGGGTGTTGGAACAGTCATGATTATAAGAGAGAGTGACCGAGAAAACTAGGATGATTGATGGTAAAGAATTAGCCATGTCGTCGGAATTCTCGACATTTTTATAGTCCTCATGACCCAAGAACTGTGAAGCCCGGGTGTATTTCTCGTCTTGACTACCCGAATGGTCAAAGACGCGCTTTTCCTTCTTTGGCATCGAAATCGAGAAACTTGCATCATCCCCACGCGGCAAGCTAACACCAGTATGGTATTTCAGGAGAGAGATGTCCAAGCCAAACCCGAATAGGCGTTGAAACAGAGAAACCACGACTGCCCCCCATGTCTGTAAGACGACTAACAAGAGGAGACTTTGCCAGTTGTTACCTCGATATATCCAAGCAGCATCATCGAGGTGGAGATTCAGTATGCTAAAACTCGTTTGCCGAGCAGTTCCCACTCTCTCGCCAACACTTGCCAGTCGGACTCGCTTCCCGACCAAAAGTCTTGCAAAAAGCAAAGCACCTCGCGGTATGACTTGAGTCTCGTCACCTGCACGATAGTCTCGTACAGATCAGAGACGGTCTCCTGATCTTGTTCGTCTCCGTGACATTCCACGCCGGCGATGAATACTGGCCATGCAAGGTTATGGGTCCAGTCGGCGATATCATCAAACGCCAAGAGCTGCCTCTTGAGGTCTGAAAAGGCCGACATGGTTTCGTATGTGGTCCCATAGCCGAGACATCTTGATACATAGAGAAGGGCGGCATTGTGATGGATATCCACCAGGCGGATCAAATCACGACGCTGTTGAGCCGTAATCGAAAGCCTGCCCCCGATCATCAAAGTTGTTCCTCGGGCCATCTCGAAATCAGTCCTCCAGTCACGGCTTGGGAGCTGGACTCTGTGAGGCTGGCGTGCAAGGACAGTAACCTGATGCAACAGCCCAAGATACTCAGCAAAGAGAATACTCTCATCCAGGAGCACTGTTCCCGCCTCGGATATCGGAAGGATGGCATCCTGGACGCTTTCTAGGTCGAAACAAGTTGTAGATGCAAAAACCTCGTATGTAGAAAGCATGTTCCTCAGCGACATGAACAACATGGATTTTCGACACTGGGCCGGTGGAAGCGTATTGACGAGTGATCTGGCCGCCGAGCGGTGGATCTCGGCTGCTGATGCCCCAGAATGCGCCATCTCGTAACACGAGAGGACGAGCATGCAGGCTAACATCCATTCCGCGTCATCCAAACTCAACTGCTTGTCAATCTCGTGCCCATTGGCGAGATGATTCGTCACGTCGGTGATGTGCCTCGAGATGACATAAATGGCCTGATTCCGGGCATCCTCAGACATGAGACAGGCTCCGCGAGAAGCCGCGGCATGCTGAGCAGAGACAGCAGCCACGGAGAGGCGCACCGTGAGATTCGTCTGTGCCAGTGGAAGAACATATCTTCGATAAATATTGTCGGCCGAGTCGACCCACACCATGATCTTGCATAGCTGCTTGTCGTAGTAATCAACCAGTTCCTGTAAGGGATACCCAAGGAACGAGTGAAAAGATGCATCAACGTTTGGCTGTATATCTGCGGACGAGGCTTGTGGCTGGAATCCCTTCAAGCGACCCCGGACGGCTGGTCCTCCAACCCATCGTAGCTTGGGCTCATATCCAGGGCATTCGAGGCCCTTTCGAGAACATTTTGTGCAAGTTGGACGGCTATTATCACAGCGGATACGCCGTTTTGAACACATGGAGCAGCCTATGGCTTGTCAACGCTGAGTGGTTGCTAGGGTATCCAGTCACAAACCTTTCATGGTTATTGTTACCTCGAGCAAGAGTGACTAGTCAGAGAATTTGAGGAACTTCGCCACATGAGCGCTCGATCCCTTTTTTCGAATGGTTATGGTGAGTGGTTAATGAGCAAGGTTGAAGGGCTGACGACCCCCAAGCTTTGGTTCGAAGGCGAAACGCGTCTTCACGCAGGCAACCTCGGAAAAACGTCTCGAAGCTCGGTTTTAGCAGGATAAATACGACTCAATTGGTTTCTTATAATTGATAAATAGTATCAATAGAGTTTTCTTGACTTCAAGAAGCCATAACATGGAGCGCGTAGCATGGGATTGGGGGATGGTGTTGTCGTGAGGGGAGCAACCCTAGACCTGATGGTGGAGATGACAATCGACAGGTTACGACCCCAGTTTCTACGCAGCAATTCGGCTTGAAAAGAGCTAGAAAGTTTCTGTTAACACGTGAAATGGAATCGGTAATGCCTGAAGGATTTGATCAAATTATTCTCCCCTTCTTGCTGGGAATTGATCATGTTTCCAGGCCTGAGTGGTAACTGCACTATTCTGCCACGACACACCGCTCTCGCGATTTAGCAGAAGCGACTAACCCCACGCTTGTGGGATCAATTCTGCCCTCCCTCCCCACCAAGCTCTTTATCAATCGCGGATCAATCAATCCGACAGCCATGGCCAAGTCCAAGTCAAAGAAGAGAAAGCAGCAAAACGCTCAAGCCGAGCATCCCAACAAGCACCCCAAGACCGCCCCCGTCCTCACTCCACCTCCCGATGGCGCTCAATTCGAACCCAAGAACCTCCACGCCGTCGTCTCGACCGAAGAACTCGAAATCACCATCGATACCCTGAATTCGCTAGCCCAATATCCCGGGTTGATCAAGTCGAAATTCTGCAAGGACCTTCGGGGTGCTGTTTATGACTTCCGTCAAGCATGCACGACGGGTGTGAACAATGCGGGTAGGCTGCACCTTGGGCGTTGAAGAAATCGCTTCTGATCGTATCATAGCCGGCGCAAACCTCACGGCGCAAATCACGGGCGCTCTCACTGATCGAAGATATACCGAGGCTCGGATCCTACTCGCTGAGATGAGGATTCGCGGCGAGAAGCCAAAGATTGGTGCCTTTTGTCGCTGGGTGAGGGAGCTCGACGTCATTAGTGGGCTGTCGACGCTGCCAGACGAGGGAGATTCCGTTAAGCGCACTGAAAGAGAAGAAGAGCTCATTCGTGTTCTTGACGCTGTCTTGCGAGTCTGCGGTCCAGTTGACACCAACCCCAAGGCTTCAGTACAGTTATCCTCTCCTATTGCTCTACAGACCATTTGGGACCGTCGCCCTTCAACGACATCAGAACAAGTCTATGCATCTGTCCTTGATGGATCACTTGTCGCTTCAGCGCCACCTTCCCTCGCTAAATCCTTGCGCATCATCGAGGCAACTCCCGGCGCCGAACGCAAACCTCCCAACCACCACGACGCCATCCTCTATGCCTCCACACCCGAAGCCGTTCCTCTCTCAACGACGAAACCACCTACCGATTGCCAAGATCACCCCGTCGTACCTGGCCTTCGCGTCGCCACCAACGTCCTATACCCCGAAGAGTGCAAAGCCATCATCAGAGCTGGCGAGCACGTCAAATTCCTCGCTGACGCACCACTCCGTGAGGATGGAGACATTAGCATCTTGGCCCATAACTTCTACTGGGTCGTTGATGAGACTTTCCACGACACTCTTTGGTCGCGCATCTCGCCATTCGTCCCCGCCTCGCTCAACGGCCGATTAGCAAGGGGAATCAACCGACGATTCCGTGTATACCGATACGTCCCCGGCGCCGAGTACCGATGTCATATTGACGGAGCTTGGCCGCCGTCGGGAATTGCGAAGGATGATACATACATCTACGACAATTCGCCCGCGGAGAACAAGCAGAGCTCATTGCTCACCTTCCTCATCTACCTGAATGAGGAGTTCGAAGGTGGAGAGACGACATACTTTATCCCCGCAGCGCACGAAGGGACCCTCAACGCGTACCCCATTCGACCTGTGATGGGTGGTGCTGCCATCTTTCCACACGGCGACACCAGCGCCTTGCTACACGAGGGCACAGGCGTAAGGAAGGGAGCCAAGTATGTCATCAGGACAGAGATTGAGTATGACGTAGAGAGTTCAGAAGAACTAAAAGTGTAATGCTTTGTGATGATCAAAAGTTTGGCTGCACCGGAGTTGAATCTTGACGAGGCTTGGGATATCACGATCATGTATGTACGCAATTGATGTCTCGTCTATCTTACGCAGTTTCCTCCCTGGCCTCGGGCTTCCGTCCCCATACAATCCTCTGGAGGTAATACGCATGTGTCTTCTTAGCCCTCAGCTCACGACGCAGCTGAGCGCAGTAGAGAATGACCTGCTCGCGCGTCCAACCATCAAGCAGATTAGCCATAAAGGTAATATGACCTTCAACGTCAGTCTCGATGCCGAGGTTGGTGAACCTTCCAATCTCCTTTTGCTTCTCATCCTTGGGCCAGTCTCCGACCGGAACCTTGATCGTCTTGGTCTCAATGTCGACGAAGCCAGCTGCCTTGAGACCCTTTTCTTGCAGACTCTCTGGGATGGGCGAAAAGATGCGCCCTAGCTTCTTGCTACCCTCGTAGAAGAACTTGCCCCATTCCCCAATGGCACTGCCCGGCTTGAGTGTGCCATCGTCACTCTGACCCATGGGATCACCTTCATGTGTCTCAATCCATCCTCCAGGCTTGGTCACGCGATAAGCTCGTTCATATAGCTGATACCAATCCGGGACACTTCCATAGAGGAACCGCATATGCACAAAGTCAAACGAGTCATCGGGAAACGTCCAATCCAAGGTGAAGTCCTCAATCTCAAACTTGACGTTCGGCGGCACCCACGTCGGCTGGATAGGCGAGATATCCGTACCCACAACCTCCGCCTCTGGGAACTCATCGCCAAAATCCATGGCCCAAATTCCCGTTCCGGTGCCAACGTCGAGAACCTTGTTCACATTTCCCTTGTCCAGCGGCGCGAGGTAGAGCTTGCCGTCGATCACGAGGGTCGACGTGTGGTGGATGATATCGAGGGCTTCGCTGGCTTGAACGTCGTTGGAGGCCCAATATTGTGTATCGCCGCGATCGGCGTGGTATGTGCGGCCGTTGATGACTCGGTACTGGATGATGCTGGAGCTGATAGAGGCGGTAGAGCTGCCGGTGTCTTGGCCTAGCGAGGAGTCGGCGTCGTCTGCTTCATTGTCTGCTGGGCCGGTGTTCTTGGTCGTTGTCAGTATTAATCAGTACGTTTGCATAAAGTGGCACTTACCTCCCAATGCGACGGAGCAAGCATTGGGTTGACATCTCCAGTTTGAGCTTCAGCTGGAGCCCCAGCTTCAGCACCCGGAGCACGATCACTGGCACCCATTTTGACACTTGATGTTTAACAATGACAAGACCAAGTCAGTTGCGCAACTCGAGCATAAGAGTTCTCCCCCTCATCCTCGGTCTCGCAACCCGTCGTACCATTACAACCAACTGCATCAACACAAGCAACCAGGGTCCAATGAGTTACAGTCTGTGCCTCCGGGGACGGGTCGCGGTATGGATCCGGGTCCACTGTCGGCCAACAGATGCAACGATGTTGGATCCGTGAAGAGCAAACGCTCCGTGCCTCGGAGACAAGGATGGTGGCCAAGGCGGGGAGGTATCTTTGTAGAGAAGGCCCCGAGGTTTGTGTAACGCGGCAAGGGGTCCACGTTGTAGTGGACATCATATCATGGTTGAGTCTGAAGGGTCTCCTTTTTCGTACAGAGAATTGTTTCAGAGATACCGAGGTCTATCATGTTATCTCATTTGCTCGACTAGCCTCCAGACTCATGTTCCATTACCCAAGATTGTCATTTAACAACTGTCTCCCACACATCCCACTATTACACCAAAGACTTTGGCCCTCCGATCTCAGTGAGTTAGAGGACTGTTCGTACAACAGACAACGAACTCGCCTGATGAGGATACGTTTTAAACGGCCTTTCTGATACTTGAGTTCAGAATATGAAAACAAAAGCTTCAACGAAGTGTGATTGACACGCCTCAAAGATTGTCATCCCCGGACATTCGTCGCTGTCGCAGACATCCTCGTCCGCTCCCAGCCGCGCAAATATCGACCATCCCCAAGCAAGTGTCAGTGTTAAGTCCAATGGCTGCGCACACGGTAGCGCTGAAACTGGGATTCCACCAAGGCCTCTGGCTGGGAAAAAGCTAGGCTACTGTAGGAGTCGGAGAGCTGGTCATTTCCAAAGGCAACACCCTTAAGATTGATGCGGACGTCCTTGAAGTACGAGCTTGAACGAACAAGTCGTGCCATAGGCGATGATTGACGGCAGTGAATCTTATATGCCATAGAAGCCAAGTGCCGCCGAAAGACTCCGTAGTTATATTACGAGTACCGAGGGAAGTGATCGAGGAAGGCTAGAAGGAATTGGTACGTGTCGTCTATGGCTTTATTCACATCCTAAATTATGGAATCAAAGTAGGAAAAGTCGATTCTGATAGATAGGCATCATGTGTTACCCTCGTCCAAAGAACAACATGGCCTTTGAATGGTGTTCCCAGCTCTCGGCTAGCTAGAAGAAGAGGTGCTTCTTGTCGTTGTCTGAGCCTTTAATCGGCCGACTTTCTCCTGTCTGCCAGACCTAATATAAACTCGCCAAAGTCGTGGTACCCCACATGACCTTTACCGGCTGAAGGTCAAACCCTTTCAGGCGGATTGCGGGTTCTAAACGCCGGACGCGTGCGTGCAAGAAACAAATGCAAGCAGGGCTCGGAAGGACACAATGATATGATTTGGGCGTGTAGATTCTACGACGGCACGGCTCGGCTTATTGATAAGGTGTAGTAACAGTTGGTAGGTGAGTAATACCATGGGCTTCTCTTTATCTCGGTGGCTGCTGGGACCGATGCCGGGTGGAGACCGACTCTGTCGCCGAATCGCCGTGCGGACCCGATTGCCTAAATAGGAAGTCGTGTTGCAATCTTCCCTTATCAAAGCGGCTTGGTAGTCGTTTAGAAGGTCATGATCTTCCTCTCGCACACCCTCCAGTTCGTCAGTGCACCTCACATCACGATGCATCACATGATGAAGTTCAGTTTGCTTCCCCTTGTTGTGTCGTGGCTCGCAGCTGCAGCACCAAGCCAGCCTCAACAGCCATTGACGGGAAACCACCAACAGCCTTCTCTGTCCACGCATCGATCGAGGCTCATAAGACAAAATGATAGTCTCTGCGATGCCGGGTCTTCCCACTGGACAGGCAGCGTGCCCGTTGGAGACAAAAGAGACATGTTTTTCTGTGAGGCCCCCAACTTGCCAAAGACCGACCTTTGCTGACATGTTGAAGGGTACTTTGAGAGTCGAGCTGATCCAGAGACGGCGCCATTGATCATTTGGATGAACGGGTAAGACGACTAAACATTCGAAAATATTGACTGACCCATCTCAGTGGCCCTGGAGCATCGTCCCTGCTCGGTGCCTTCCATGAGCTGGTCGGTCCTTGTACTGTCAACGACGACGGCCAAGGGACGAGTCGCAATGAACTTGGTTGGACTAACTTTGCGAATGTCCTGTTTATAGAGTATGCATAATCTCCCTTTCTCGCCTTTATTCTCTCGCTAACTCCTCTAGCCAACCAGTTGGCGTTGGATTTTCTGAAACCGAGGACACCAACCTCTGGGCTGAGAGCCTGGTTGAAGGGGGGGTCGATTTCGACCATTTCCTCGAGACGTTTTTGATCGATTTCTTCCCACAGCTCCAAGGCCGGCCAATTCACCTGGCGGGTGAGTCCTTCGGTGGCCGTTACTGTCCGGTATATGCCTCTGTGATGAAGAGGAAGTTGGCCTCCGTCATGCTCTTTGACGCATTTGTTGATGAGCATTGGGGGGCTCTAGGGGCCTACCGTCATCTTTGCAGCTCCATGACCAGATCAAATCCTCTCAATAGCACAGCTTGTGCTGAGATGGAGGCTGCGTACCCAGCATGCCACAAGTTTGGACAGCTCTGCAGCTCAACATATGATGCAGACATTTGCAGAGAGACATCGCAAAAGTGTGCAGCCATCTGGGAACCCTTCTATCGTGAAGTGGTGCCTGGTGGTCGCAACCCTTACGATGACAGGGCCAAGTGCACAACGCCACCCATGTGTGGCCATCTAGGCAAGCCAACCTCACAGAAGCCCGGTTTTCCATGGCTAACGAAATCATGTTAGGAATGGAGCAAGTCGAAAAGTACATGAACTCCGAAACCCTGCAAAAGGCGCTCGGCTTCGAGAGAGCGATCAACTATAGCGTAGTGAACATGGATCTTAACAAGAAATGGGAGACTCACCCAGATATGGTGATCCCATCCACACGCGAGCTATCGAATATTCTCGACGACAAGACCACACCAATTCTGGTCGTCAACGGAAACAACGACGTCATTGTGTAATCCACCTATTGTGTTCTTGGGTGAAAAGACGGGCTGATGTCTGTAACAGCAGTACAGAGGGCAACATTCTAGCCTTTGACAACCTTGTGTGGAGCGGCCAAGCCAGATTTCAGACGCAAAGATTGACACCGTGGTATTTCCTGGGTGAAGATGGCACCAAGTCCCGCGGGGGAGAAGTCAAGAGCTTCAGCAGGCTGGCATTTGCTACGGTTGATGATGCAGGGCATATGGCTCCGAGGGACCAGCCCCACGGCGTCACCCAGCTTGTTAAGGCATGGCTGGCGGGCTCACTAGATACCATAGTGGACGTGGGGGATGATAGATCTTGACTTGAAAAATATTAGCATGTTCTAAATTCCAGGAGAAACTCAAGATAACCTGGTGATTCGAGATCCTTTTGTCCGGATAGTTGTCCATGGTTTCGTCGTTTCTTCCTGACGATGAATCTGCAAAGGCCGAGACACGATGTTTTCCATTATAATGGACAATGAAGTAGCCACTGCGTTAGAATTAGGATATGAAGCTATGATGTGTTGATATCATGTTCTTTGTTTTAGTTGAAACCAGTCTCTTGATGACATAACTAAGCCCCGAGATGAAACAACGAAATAGTAAAGAAAAGGAACGAAGAAGATTACGTGCTATAAAAGAAAGACGACATGACCCAGTTCTTCATATGACTCTTGTTATTCTCCTCCTTCCCACCTGGTTTATCGGCCACTGATTCACATAAAGTCAACCCGTCGTCCTCCAAAACCCCCAACGCATGCTCGAGCCGACGAAGCCCAAGTTCAAGAACGGTCTCCTCAGCACCGTAGTTTAAACGAAACCAGCCACGAGAGCAAGAGAAAAACGCCTGTTTGAGTTTGTTAGCTGGGTTGAGCAACATGGACATGACAACATTTCTCACCTGCCCAGGTTCCAAGAAAACCTGATGAGCCATCAAGTGACGGAGTAGCTTCGATTCCAAGTCTTCCTTTGCATCGTCGATAGACAAAAACTTCATCCACCTTGACAGGTTTATGAAGATGAAGAATCCGGCTTGTGGGGTAATAAAAGGTACTCCGAGTTTTGCAAGGCGGCTCATGACGTTCCTCCTCCTGTCGACTAACCTCTGTTGAAGCAACGGAAAGAACTGCCGTGAAAGATAGCCGTGATCGGACAAGATCTCGGTGCTGACCTTGGCGCTGAAGGCGGAAACCCAACCGAACATGCTGGGAGTAATGTTAGCCTCATTTTGGGGTGGATATCGACAGGAAGCACGTACCTCAGGGTTCTCATGGAATCGTATAGTCGTTTGTTGTATGTGAAAAGGAATCCCAGCCTCAGACCGCCGAGGCCGAAATCCTGTGGCAAGGTAAGTCTATCGTCAAACCGCCAGTGTCAAGCAACTGCCAACTCACCTTGCTCATCCCCCACAAGACGTGGATGTTCTCACGGTTCATGGCGGTGTCTAGAGCCAGTATGCTGGTAAAGTCACTGCCCCCAGTAAAGGCATATATCTCATCGACGATCAGATGCACCTGATGCAGCTCGCAGACTTGGGATACTTGCAAAAGGACATCGGGGCTGTAGCAACGGCCTAGAGGGTTTTCGGGGTTGGCGAGAAGAACGGCTGCCACTTTAGATCCTTGAGCGCGCTCCTGGATTATGCAACTTTCTAGGCGGTGCGCAATAAGGGAGCTCCAGCTTGAGTCGTCGAGAGGTGCCTCTGCCGTGAACCGATCTTGGGGAATGTCATCGCACGGAACATGAACAAGGCGAACTCCATTCCTGGCTGTGATGTCATGGGCAAACATGCCGTAGCTCGGAGTCGGCACAAGGATGGCATCCCCTTCATCCGCGATGCTGAATGCGAGGGAGTCGAGCAAGCTGGTGCACCCGTTGGCGGCTAGCACATTGGATGGGGCCAGAGGGCGCCGGCATCGAAAGAAGAGGTTTACGAAACTGGCAGCGGCCTGCAGAAGCTCTGGGCTTCCTTGAGTGTCGTTGTAGTCGAGAGCTTTGCCTATATAAGCAACGACTTGCAGAAATGACAGACTCACAACTCACATTCCTTGATCTGTTTCTTGCTCAAGCGACGCTGGACCCAAGGTCCCAACACATCTTGCATGATACAATTGACGGCCGAGCCCAGGTCTATGATTCCATTGGGGTTCTTGGTATGGTGGTATACATTCTTTTCCATCTCGCGGCTGAGATCAATCATGAGATCCTCATGAACGTTGCGTTCTCCACGGTGTGAGGGAGGAAGAGGCGGCATTGTGTAGCGTTGCTATGCTGAACAAGGAGAGGCTATACAAGACAGTGTGTGTCCTTTACTTACAGAGGACTTTGTCAGAAGGCTTTAGGGGGGACATTAAGTAGTGACTTGTTGAACCTAGGGAAAACCTGGGTAAGAAGTGTAGAGAGATACAGGGCTCTGGGACTGTCACAAAAGTTTCCTATATAGGAAGTGAATTGCACTCCCAGTCCCACGTACACTCTGACACGTGGAGATGGAGGAAGCTGACTACATGGTGAGTGTTCCCTTCGGTGAGACGCTTCTGTAGCTGATCCTGACGCTCAGTAAATAGAGTCACCAGCCCCTGTCCGAGCTCGAGGATAATTACTTCTTATAATTACTTCTGTAAAGTGTATTTGCTTAATTTCCTATCCGGAGGGAAGAAAATGAAGCTCTCGAAACCCGACTCCGTTACTATCATGCCCAAACACCACGACCCTTCGATTACATGCTCTGTACCAATCCTTATCAGTCTCATAGTCATCTCTATCCGCCACAACAAACCAAACGTCCTTGCCGACAAGTCTCTCGCGAATCACGAGCTCGGCGGTTTGCCTAACATCAGCCCAAGCGGACGCCGCCCCCTGCGAGCTCAAGCAGGAGGAAGAGAAGCGAGGAATGAATGTATGCAGGATTGCCATGGCGAGATCGGTCCCCTCGCTCACCTCCATCATGGTGATGAGCAAGTTATCTATACTATGGAACGAGATCTTTTGCTTGTCAACGTCCATCGACGCCATTATGCCCAGCATAACCTTGCCCCAAACTTGACCACGGGTGTTAGTCCTCTTGCCTCCCAAGATGCTCTGTAAGCGACTGCAGATGAGCCGTGAGAGGAGATAGAGCAAGTAGTCCACAACCTTGTGCTCATTTGTGAACCGGAAGGTCATGATCGTTCCGAGAGGATTCGCAACGACAAAATCTTCCTCGGTCCCAAGATTGGGCCGCGGCATGTCGTGGTCGCAGAGATCGCGATGCCACACGTCAAGACGCTGGGAGAGGATATCAAATTGGTCTTGAAACTCTTCTGCCGTTAGATCCCGGTCGTGATAATCTCTCTGCTGGAACTGCTGGAAATCACACTGGCGGTTGAGCATCTGTTGAATCCACTGAACGGCTTTAGATGAGGCCCCAACTTCGCTGTGGCCCCCCCCATCGTTATCGCCACGGAATGATACTTCTACCGCGTAGCGCCCGTACAAGTGAAAAAGCCGAGCCAATATATCGCGTATGGCAAGTTGCGGGTCAAGAAACGCTTGGAACTCTGCCACATCAAAGGTTGCAGCAGACTTTCGCGTGGGACTCCGCGTCAACCTGAAGTCATACTGAAGTATTCGAGATGCCTTGAACAAAGCCATGGCATGAGCTGACATCCGTGTGGACTTGGATATGATGGACTGGAGCTTGCGCAAGTGGCGTTGAACATCCCGGGCGGATCCAGCTATGACGTCGCGGTAGGCAAGGAGAAGCGTAGTGCCAACCAGCTGCTCGTCGTCTGGCTGGTCCAACCGATGCGCCATATCCCTGATAGCGAGGTCGTAGTAGCGCGGACCGTCGCCTGGAGAGAGATGGAGTGACTTGGAGATTGAGTCCCGGCACCGTTCCATGTGGCATACTGAGAGTGCGAGCACCGCTGCACGAAGGGAGTTGCTGGCTCGGAGCAGATTTAGAGGCGTCTTTTCGCCAAAGATTGTTGGTGCCAGTCGGATTTCGAAGTTGTGTAGGAGGACATCCTCCGTGGGAAGTATAAGACTGGGCGTTTGCGCAGGATGAGGACATGGTAGCGTGTCGAGCAGTGTCAGCTGGTCGTCCTCCCTAGCTACCAAGAGGTTGCCCCAGGGCATTGAAGCGAGCGCCAAGTCATCCTGCAAGCCACCATCATCTTCGAAGCTTTGCCCGGAATGCATCTCTGAGCTAAGGGAAAGATTCATAATAGAGGCCTCGTCGTCGCCGCGAGTAGGCTCAAAAGCCTCGCTGTTGGTTTCCTCTACCACTTGAGCCATGGGGAACGGAGGAGTCAGGGCCGTGCCTGTGTCGTCGCCTTGGACCGTTTCAAAGGGGCTCTCAGTTAGGAAATCGAGAACAGTGTCGAAATTGACTCCAGGTGGCGAAAATGCCGTGTTCAAGGAGCCTTGTACGTCTGTGACTTGCTCAATGCGATGGCAGTCAACCGTGAGTGCTTCTATTGGTGCTTGAGACGTTGGACGCGAATATTGGGACTGCCTCAGCAGATCTGGGCTGTCAGCATCAGAAGCTCCGCCTGTGTTCAGCTCCAAGTCCACCTGGTCATTGTCGTCGTCCTGTTCAAGCTCCTGCTGTTGGATCTCTCCATCGCCACCCTGCCGAGACTTGACCACGTGACGCTTCTCTCTTGCTCTCTTCTTGTTTGCATCTTGAAGTCGCAACGCCGACCACCGGGCCTCTTCGATCCTCTTGGAAGAGTCAGCGGTGGCGGCCGAGACATCCTTGAAGGCGATGCGACGCTCATAACCACCACACTCGACTCCTCTCTGGACGCAGGATAAGCACTTGGGCCGCGTTTCATCACACTATGTAGCACGTACATGTTAGCTACGACTGTGAACACTCAGTGATAAACAGCGATCGACCTAGTGCAGACCGGCCGTCAAGACAGTGACCAGCAAGCAAGGCAAGAAACAACAGGGGTAAATTTCACAGCACCTTTCGCCGCCGGTTTCGGCATGTTTGGCAGCCAGTCCGCCTGCGGGTTATGTCTGTCTTCCTAGCTCTGCGGGGAGGAACCGTTGATTCCATGGTCAGTGAGTAGTTTGTCGGTCGTCAGGGGGTTTCTGGGTCAGTTACGAGATCTGGCAGCGTCGAACAAGACGGAGAGAGTGCGATCGCTTTCGCTGCAGCCTGAGGCACTCATGCATACGCTAACTGAGGCGTGCCTATGCTTGCCTATTCAGGTAATCGGGTCCGCCGCTTCGCTAGCATCACGGTGGTATTGCTTGTATATCGGGTTAAACGCCAGTATGAATGGCATTTATTCTAAACAAAGTGGTTCTTTTTCTTCCATTCTAGTACTTGATCGTGATTCTGCTAGTCATGTTGCGGGATTTCGACGTTTACAATGTACTCCACGTCCAAGCCAGCCGGCCCAGTGGTGATCTGCTGGATGATCCACCAATTTACCCCCCGGCCAGGATCAAAGAGTGAGAGCCTCCTGTTTACCTCAGGTGTCTGTTCTAATGATCCTTTGGCAGATGGCTTCAGTTAGCGGTTACGCTTGGGTTGTTCGTCTTCATCCCATTGTCTCCCCTCGTATCGAAAAAGACTCGGGCGAATACTCGTACACGTCTAGGAGCAACACACCTTGTCGCCCTGGTGAGCACCTATTGAACTTTACTCATTAGCGGTCGCTGATAACCACTATAGCTACTTCAAGCCGTAATAGCGGCGCTCTCTGTCTGGGGTGTGGCTTTGCAGGCTCAAACATGGACAGAGTCACACTCATGGGTTCCAGTTGCCACTCGAGCATCGCTATGTCTTGCCGCCCTCGTCAACACCATCTGTGTCATCTTGGGACATTCATCTATCTTTCGGGCAGCATATCATCTAGCAAGCTTTCTCATCTGGATCTGGCTCACCTCTTCATCGTCCTACCTCATCACGCCCGCGGACCGGCTTCTACCATGGACCCTCGCCGCAGCGTTTCTCGTCGACATCTTCTCGTCGAGGTTTTCACCGGTAGAACTTCCGCCGCGACTTGAAGACTCCAATATCCTCGAGTCGATGACCTACGCCTGGCTTGGGCCCATCATCAACTTCACAGGGACACTTGAATTCATCTATCTTCCCGAGGTCAGCCTCCCAGCAGATTTCGAGGGCTACCAGTCGAGGCTCCAGGCTGCCAGCAGCGAGAATGATAGTATCTTCTGGGGGTTCATAATCCGTGAGCATACGAGGACTTTGCTCGTGAGTTCCATCCTCCGCCTTGTCGACGACGTGTCCAGGTTCGGGCTTCCCTGGCTTCTGCATGACCTCCTCGCCAACCCGACCGCCAAAAACGCCGCCATCATGTTTGCATCTCGAGTAATCGGTGCCATCTGCGGCAATTACAGTGGCTACTATCTTCGCAAGATAGCTGTACAGTACAAGTCGGCACTCTCGGCCTCGTTGCATGCAAAAACCTTGGCCTTGGGTGATGTCAAGACGACAGGGGGTCCTGACGTTGCTACTCTTGGAGAAGTCGATTCCCAAATTCTTTTCAAGTCATCCCTGGAGATTCCGGATGCTTGGTCTTATCCCCTTCAAATATCTCTCTACTACGGGGGACTTGCCTATCTTCTCCCCTGGCAGGCCTTTGTCGCCGTGGCGTTGATTACTGTAAGTGTCTCTCACTCCATGCTGCCTTGATCACAAACTCACAAACTCAGGTCTTTCTATATCCAGCTGCTGGATTGCTAGTAGAGGCCATGTCTGTCTGGGTCAGGAAGAACATGAGCGCCAAAGACTATCGCACTGAACTCATCTCCGAGGCCATCTCTTCTATAGAGTCCATCAAGATGCATGCCTGGGAGTCTGTCTTTTCATCCTCAGTTGCACAAAGGCGTCTTGCTGAGCTTGAGACTCTGAGAAACATGGCTGTATCTAGCGCAGGTCTTGTTTGTCTCATGCAAGGTGCGCCGTCCATCTTGACAATAGCCGCCTTTGGAGTTCTTCTGCGTACCGGCCAGCAACTTGATAGCCAGATCGTCTTCACCGCCATCATGCTGTTCTCCATGCTCAACGGGAGTCTCATTCAGCTGTCGACGCTAGCCTCGACCCTTCAGTCGGTCGCAGCATCCACGGAACGAGTCAGGACTTATCTGAATCTCCCTGAAACCAAGATTTCTCCCACTTTCGAGTCGCCCTCTAGCTCTGGGCCCGATGGCCAAATCTGCTTCGAGAAGATGCGGATTGCTTGGCCCAATGAGGCTCCCCTCGTCACGGATGGCAAACTCAGTATCGATCCCCGCAGTTTAGTGGTTATTCAAGGAGGAATGGGAGTCGGTAAGTCGACTCTCCTCCTCTCTATTCTGAGACACATCCAACAGGACGAGATGCAAAGACATCGAGTGGCCTATGTCCCGCAACATCCGACCTTGATCAATGGCAGCATCCGAGACAACATCATTTTCGGTCGTCCCTTCGACAGTGGATTGTACACGGCAGTCATTCATGCCTGCTGCCTCGACTCCGACTTTCAGCATCTCCGACAGGGGGACCGAACACCAATCACAGGTTCTCTTGCTCTCTCTGGTGGCCAATGTGCTCGTATATGCCTCGCCAGGGCCGCCTACTCACAAGCAGACATCTATCTCCTCGATGATCCTCTCTCGGCTGTCGATGCAAGGGTTTCTGCCCAGATCGTGCGTCGGCTTCTGGGAAGAACTGGATTGCTAGCCAACAAAGCCAGGGTTGTTGCCACCTCGGCTGATGGTCAAATTCTCGGGCAAGCTGACACTGCTTACCAATTTCAACGTGGTAAACTGCTTTCCGTTACGCGAGATTCGATTCCACAGGTGGAAGAGTTGTCTCCAGTCGTTGAAACCGCACCAGTTGTTGGACCTACTCCAGTTCTGCTTCCCAAGGTATGTTGGCACCACCGTGCACACACATAGGAGAAATTCTAATGGTGTATCAGATCCCGGCTGTTGGTGGACTGGAGCTGCATCCCGAGGCGTCACTCCCCGATGTTCCCATTACACAGCAGGCCTTGCTAGAACCCCGGAGAAATGGTTCAAGTCATCCAGCATGGACATATATCCTCGCGGCAAGGACTTTTGGATGGCCTCTGTCTGTTGGCCTCCTCCTCATGGGCAGAACGTCCTCCGTTCTCGGTACCTACACGCTAAAGCTTCTAACGAGCGAGCAAGACCAGGTAGCCGTCAACTGGGACATGGCCATCTTTGTTCTTCTTGCCCTTGGCCAGATTATCTTCTTTTATCTCTTCATTCTGGCATTCTACCAGTTTTGTATCGTGCCAGCTGCCTCGAAATTGCACAACAACTTGGTGGTGGGCATCCTCTCCAAGTCCATCGACTTTTTCCAGACGGTCTCTGGGGGCGAGACTCTCAACCTATTCACAAACGATATCGGTCGAATTGACGGATCTCTCAATTCCTGCATGATTTCCTTGCTGGCTCAGTACGTTAATCTCACGCTGACCTGTCTTGTCCTCATTGGAACTCTGCCTGTCAGCATCTTGTTCGTCATTCCTCTTGTCGTCTTCTGCTCTCGCCTACAGCAGACGTATCTTGACGGACTCAGAGAGCTCCGACACTTGGATGTCGCCTCCCGATCACCGCTACTCACCTTTCTTCAGGAGGCTCAGACAAATCGAGTCCTCTTCAGCGCACACGGATTGATCAAGGCTCGCCAAAATCAGTTCCAGAAGAAGTTGCAGGAAAATCTCTCTGCCCTATTCCCCCTTTCGTGCATCGATCTATGGCTTGAAGTTAGGTTGGAGCTCATTTCCATTGTGTTCCAGCTGTCTGCACTTGGAGTCATGATGGCAGCTTCGATTCCTCTAAGCACACTTGGTTTTGTCATGACCTTTGCATTCCAAGTCACTGGAACGCTCAGCAACATGGCACAATTCACCGCTCAGTTTGAGACGGATGCAGTATCACTCACTCGTATTGACTCGTACTCTCAAACGAGCAACAGGGGTGAGATGCAAGTTGATGGCTCGGACTCGGACGGGCGAACTTGGCCGTCCTTGGGAACAGTCGAGTATAAGTCGGTGAGCGGGAGACACCGTCCTGGCCTTCCGCTCAGCCTGAAATCCATCAGCTTTAACGTCAAGCCAGGTGAAAAGATTGCCGTGGTTGGTCGCACCGGTGCAGGCAAATCATCCATGATATCTTGTTTACTCAGAATGATGGAGCAGACAGAAGGGCAGATTCTCATCGATGGAGATGACATTTCGGATGTTGATCCAATCACTCTGCGAAGAGGCATTGCGCTGATACCACAGCGCCCCGTCATATTTTCTGACTCTGTTCGTCAGAACCTTGATCCCCTTGGATTGAGGAGCGACGGCGAGATTATCCATGCCTTGGAAATCTCAGGGGCCTTGCCAGTCATCCAGAAGTTGGCCAAGGTCAATGAGACTGACGACGGGCAATTACTTGAAACTCAGTTCAGCACAAAGTAAGTAACCGCGAGACCATCACTGACTCAATTGTCCATGGCCATGATTCTAATACTGGAGTAGAACTAGCTTGTCGGTCGGAGAGGTCCAACTTCTGGCGGTGACGAGGGCACTTATCCAGAAATCTCCAGTCCTGATCCTTGACGAAGGTATGTTTCATCCCACTGGTCCCATTTTCATGCCTGAATCATTCTAACCATCTGCACTAAAAGCAACTTCGGGAATGGACGCAATGACTGAGAGCGTTATACATCAAACCTTGTTCACTAATTTCAAGGCTACCACTATCATTGCGATCATGCACAAGCTAGAGCTAACAGTAAGTACCTTGAACAATGTTCTCTTGTCAGACGATTCATGACACGAGACAGAGACTAACTGGTGTTTAGTTTTACTATGACAAGATTCTGGTTCTTGACCAAGGCAAGGTTGCCGCCTTTGATAGTCCAGCAGCCCTTTTCGGACGTGGTGGTGGCTTGTATCATTCTATGTTGGAAGATGCTGGGCTGATTTCCCGAGGCCAGGCAGCATTTGGAACCGCCACGTAAAACTGCATTGTTCCAGGCACCACTGCAAATGGAACCAGCTGATGAGAAGGTTTTAGTCCCTCAGGGAGGGTGCAAACTTTAGAGAGGGCCACCAGTTCGAAGATGCGGACAAGACAGACTGGAAGAACTCTGCCGGAGACCTGTCGTACGTGAAATCAACCAACCTCCCGGGAAACCACAGAATGTCGCGCCCAGGTACTATGTGCACCGTCAACTCGTTGGCTTCCGTAGTCTGAGTCAACTGCCGAATATTGTCCTGTAGAACGGGCCGATGTTATCCCCAACACAATGGCACGCAGCCCAGGTAGTTCAGTTGAGAACTCTGATCAGTTGGTCACGCTCAGCCTGGCTAGGCTACAGGCTGCATGTCATTCTCAACTCTATCACCCACAAGGCTAGTAAGAAAGAACTATTGTCAGTTTGCCTCGATTTCCGCCGTATTTTGGGTACTTTCCTTTTGGCTTTTTACCTCCCACCGAAACCTTTAACATTAGCTTTAAGCACGAGGTCGTTTAAAGTTTTCCTGTAAAGTCACATCTTTTGGACAGTGTCGAGTTCATTCTGGTAATCTGTCGAAGTAGATTTGACTTTTCTTTGCCTATTAATACCCAGCGCTCCCCCTCGAGTCCCAGTTACACTTTTCCCCCCAAACAAACTCGAGCTTTTGATTCCAACTTCATTTCTCACATACGCGAACTAACACCAACACCACTTCTCAACATCTAAATAATCACAATGACTCCCAAACCCTGTTCCGGAATGGCCAAGTATGTTTCGTCCAGAAATCGCGTTTGATCCTCAGAGTAATGACTAACCCATCTAGTGTGCGTGAGAATGGCGACTTTACAGACTTTGCCATTCTATGCGAGGAGGAAAAAATCGACGTCCACCGGGTCATCATCAGTGGCAAGTCTTCTGTTTTTTACAGGGCCTGTACGTCAAGATTCAGTGTAAGAAATGACCCCGCAAATGCTCATGGTAACTCAGAAACTCACATAATTTCAGGAGGCAACATCTCGAACCTACAGGATTGACGATTACCCCCTCTCTGTCGTCAGTCGCATGGTGGAATACATGTACACCGACGACTATTCCGACCCTGAGGAAGAGAGCACGGTCGAGGACGACACTGACGGTGGCAAAGAGCTTCCAGTGCTTTTTCTGCACACAGCCATGGCCGCCTTGGCAGACAAGTACGACATCCAAGGTCTAATAGCCTTGGCAACGGAAAAGTACACCAAGTGCCTCGCAAACGACCGTGATTTTGCAAAGTTCCTTGACTCAATCCCCAACATCTACCACATGCCTGCGGAAGCGTCTAAGCCGCTCCGAGAAGCCGCGGTGGAATTTGCAAGGGCAGAGATTCGGACGGCCATGGACCCGGGGGGTAGCTGGCTTGCCACCCAGGAGGTGCTGGACGAGTTTCCCGACTTTTCAAAGGAGCTTCTGTGCTCAGTCCTTCTAAACCCGCTGATGCCTCTAGAGGGACATTGCGGACAAGGTTGCACTGGGTGGGGCAAGAGGGTGTCGGTAGAAGTCCTTCAGTGCCGCTGTAAGGAGTGTGGGAAAGGCGGGGCGAGGATGGCGACTGGGAATCGGGGACCTTGGCTGGGATGGGGAGAGGATAGACAATAAAAATGAAGCTGCTTTGCACGACCTTGAGTGTATGAGGAAGAGGCGATGGTGAGCGCAAAAAGAAAACCAACAGGACCGACCGTGGATCGAACACGGGACCTAGGGATCTGCAATCCCTCGCTCGTACCGCTGAGCTATCGATCCTTTGTTGATAAAGGTAGGTTCGCAAGTATAGTACATACTGCTGCACAATGGAAATCGTGTCAGAGATCTCGCCAGCCAAGCATTGCTTAACAGTAAATAAGATCCTGACGATGCACATTGTTCTTCATACCATTATGTGTGTGAAAGCATAAGGAGGATTATCTTATCATGGCTGAGGTTGAGTTCATCATGCCTAATTTGTCAGTTTTGAATTGCTCTTGGGATTGCTAGCTACATTACTTCCTGCCCTTCGCTATAATAGCCAGCCGTTGCTCTCAGAGGTAGCAGATGTATGTAGTCTACTACTAAGGATATCCTTACTGAATTCCATTATGTCCACCTTCACCTAAGCTCATCAACATCGACGATTTATCCATCGATACGTACAGACCGTTCTTCGTGTTCTTGGAGTGCGTGGTAAGGAAGCACCAATGTTCCTCTGGTGATCATGTAGCTTGGCTTCATCTTTCTCACCACTAAACTTACCATAAGAACTAAATCCCATGTGATTTGCGTGTTTATAACGCTGGTCATAAGAGCCAAATCGAATTCGTAATACGGTTATCTGTACACAAGGACCGCACCCTCATCCAGTCAAGTGCTGTTGATGATGATGATGTTTCCCCATCTCATGTTAGCCCTTAGGCGTTCGCCATTCTACAATGAAAATATTTTCATAAAATAACTAAACAAAGTATCGAGTAAAAGAAATCTCGTGTGAAGCCAACCCTCAAGCCAACTCATCAAAACTAGAGCAACGCCCTCTTAAAATGTGCTAATGTTGTCTTAACGATTAACAAAATGCCTTCCTGGTCGTGCAATAATAGACCGCCCGCTCGCACTCCATCATCATCGGAACAACTCGATACAAATGGCCTCATCCAACCGCCCGCTAGCCTCGTACGCGATTGATAGTTCTTCATATACCTCTGCCAAGCGCAAGCGCGGATCGTTCACCCTCGCACTTTTTGCTGCCACCCTCTCCAAGGTGTCGACCGCCTCCATCCACCGGCCATTGTCCAGATACGCCTGCCCAAGGGCTCGTCTTGTCAGCAACCGCGTAAGTGTATCTTCCGGACGAAACTCCTCTTCAGCCTCTACCAGCTCCTCCAGTTCCTGTACTGCTTCATTCGATTGTCCATTGGCTCTGTATGCCCGCGCGAGCTCCCATTTGCAGTCAAGCACCTCTGAATCGCTCAAGGCGCAAATTTCTTTCCAAGCTACCATCAAGTAACGAAGAAGCTCCACTGCCTTCCCTGGCTGGCCACAGTCGAGGTATGTCTCCGCGAGCAACCACCCAGCCTCCAGTTGCTCAGACTTCCTAGCTCCCAATGTCTCGTCACTTAGCTCCATGATCTCTTCCAATAGATGGATGGCATCTGGAACCCGATGTTCGGTTAGGTAGGCCTCGGCGAGATGTCTGTCCACAAGCAACCGATTGATATGGCCGCTGGTGAACGCTGCGTCTCCCTTGACTTTCAGCGTTTCAAGCATTCGTGTCCCCTCGTCTATCTCCCCTCTTCTTAGGTATTGTTGTGCAAGTAAGATCTCCGAAGCCAGTCGGCTAAGATGATACTCGCTCAGAGTTCTTTGTTGTATGTTTACTACATGTTTAATCAAATCAAGTGCCTCTTGGGTTCGGTCATCGTTGTGGTAAACCACAGCAAGGTTGAGCTGTACCCTAAGGGTTAGGGGATGATCCTCATCGAAGGACCTTCTCGCTGCCGTCAACACAGACTCAAGAAGACACAGTGACTCTTCTCTCTGCCTGTTCTCCCGATAAACTAGAGCTAGTTGAAATACCGATCGTAGTCGCCGCTCATCCTTCTCTGGCAGAAGCTCCGATTGCAGTTTTACCACATGTTCGAGCAGCTGGGCTGCCCTGTTTAGATCCCCAACAGCGTGATAAGCTGATCCTAACAAAAGTTGCATGTCGAGTAAATGAAAATTTTTCTCCGGTAGCGTCTGCATCAGGTGTTGAATAAAGGGCTCGAGAAGGCTGATTACCTCTTGGTGTTGTGTATTATTATGATATGCATCAGCGAGTAACGATCGATGCAAATAATTGTCAGGAAATTGCTGCTCTTCAATGACAGCTGACTGCTTGAGTATCTTGAGTGCTTCACTGAATCGGCCATCATAAATCAGGCATCTTGCAGCGCAATAAATCAAGCGATATGGATAATTCGGGGGTGCATCCTCCTCGTGTTCTCGGATGATGACCAGAGCATGCGGTAAATATTGCCGGTACAGCTCACGGTCTTCCCAATTGCCATTTGAGAATATTTGATCAAAATGCGTTGCAGAAAGTTGTGCCATGCGCTCCATGATGCCTTCACTCTTAGCCCAGGTCCTCGTGGCCAGATGGACCAGACGGTGCATTTCGAGCATTCCATCACCAGCGTATTTGCTCAAGAAGCCGTAGCTGCATAAAGTCCCAATAGAGCTGGTCAGTTGCTGTCTCGTCTCTGGCTGCGGTAGCATCGATTGAGGAATGGCCTTTGGTTCGATGCATGCCATGAATGAAAGAAGATGAGCAGCGAACCAGTCAATTCCCCTGATCTGGCGAAAAGATATCACCCAGGTTGTTGCCACGGCGTTTTGACACTGCTCACTTTCCATGTACCTCGTATCATCGCGAAACTCGCTACGTAGCAACTCAACCATGTCGTCTTCAGTGTTTTGCAGAACCTCGAGGTATTCTGCAATGGTCAAGTCATTCTCGTTCATGTAAGCTGTGGCCTGTTTGATGGCCAATGGCAGATAATCCAGATTCTTGAGGAGTTCAACCACGGTTTTGTCATCTTGGAGAGAATCTTGACGGTAGAGGGATTTCCTCAAGTAGTCCTTTGCTTCACTAGGACTCATCTCGGATATCTTGACCACATACTGTGGGTCAGAGATCACTTTGAAGGCGAGTTTGGAAGATCTCGTTGTGAAGAGGATACGACCTTGGTCATTTCTTGGCATCCAGCTGTGCACATGCTGAGCAACCGCTCCTGGGGGGAACAGAAGGTCCATATCGTCGGCATTATCGACAATGAGAAGCCACTTCCCGATACCGGGTAAGCTCAGGTATTGCCCAAATGACTCTCTCGGGCTGGTCGAGTTTCCATGCTGGCCGCCATGCCTCGCCATGAACTCAGCACACGCCTGATCAATGCTGGCATTACTCAGTGCAGGTAGCCAAAACACGGAGTAATCAGGCTTGTGTTGTTTCACCCAGAATGCAATCTGCATGGCAATCTGAGTCTTGCCGATACCTCCAAGGCCGGCGAGTGCGACTTTTTGGAATTCGTCGCCATCAAAGAGTTTGCCCTGGAGCTCCTCGAGCACCTCGGTACGTCCGACAAACTGGCGGTTGATGGAAAACGGAACATGGAAGAAAGTTGAGCCTTTTGCACGTCAGTCCTGGCCAACAATGTTTATTTATTAAACTAACCACTTGTTCTCGCGTCTGTCTCAACTGCTGGTGTCACAGTCGTTGCCTCAACCCTGGCCTCCACATGTTGCTTAGTCTTCGATTCGGGGCTTGACCGTGCAAACTGTCTGAGAACGCCCAAGACGGCACGATACCCAGGATCATCCTTGTCAGAAACTTTTGTCATGCGGCTGTGATCCGCGTCAATACTCTCGACCGTCTGGATCGTGGGCGGTAGGTCGAATTTGGAAGAAAAGTCGTCAACAACCTGTTGCCGATTGGTTAGCTAGGAACAGTGCAGACGGGATCTTATTCGTCAGACTAACCTTTCCACTAAAGCCCTTAACACCCGAGAGTCCACGACCCTCTTGAAAGGAGTGGATCTTGAGACCGGACTCAAGGACGATCTTGACGAATTCCTCGTGGATGTTGTCAAGGACCTCGCTGTTCACTTCCAGCGTTTGGACAATCCTCTTGTTCGTGTCTTGTAATGCGCAGCTGGCAAGGTTAGAGGCAATCACGCCCCATCCGGCATATTGACTTCCACGATGCGGAGTTCCAAGAAAGATGATGAATTTTGTTCTCGAACGGCAGGCGTCGGATCTGCGGATTGCCTGGGGACGTTAGCGAATATGTCACGTACGTGTCGTGACAGAAAGATGAGGCAAGAATGATAAGGAGATTAAGAGGACGGGAATGGCTTTAGAAGGAATATAGAAGGAAAGCGAAGGGCTTAGAAAAGAAAGAGGCAGAACCTGAGAAGAGGACGAGGATAGGGATAGGGGTAAAAGCCTAAAGAACTTCACAGCAGAGGCTCGACTTGTGTACCTACATCTTTAACAACGATTCCACCTAGACTGTGGACCACAAAGACAACGGGATCCTACAATCGTCAGTATCTATTGTGGGGTCAAGCCGAGAAGAGAATCGCCATTATCGACCACCAACACGTACCTCGTTGTTAACGTCCCTCTCGAACCGGGTAGCCAGATCGCGTCCATGTTGTGAAACGCTGTTCTGGTTGCTTGCCTGAAACAGGCCCTCAATCACATTCGCATTGTATCCGTATGTCCACACTCTCGCTTCGCGTAAATCCTGGGTCAGGAACTCGTCGGGCCAGAATGGCTTCTGTAATTCGACATCCGCCGTTATACTTGGGCTCGGTCGATTTCGGCGGAAGAAAGACTTGATGGATCGATCGCGCGAACCGCTCGCTGTCGCTGTCGGGGTCTGGGACGTCTCATCTGAGCCTCTTCCCCAGGTTCGCTTTGGGTGGCCCCGTAGGCCGTGCACGAAAATGACGCTATTCAGAAGTTAGTTCTCACGAAGTCTCCACTACCGGACGATAACGAACTTGAAGCAATATGATCCCTCACTAGTCCCCAAACAGGTGAATCCGATGTCGCAGGCCTTGGGCATGGTTCAGATCGTCTCATTCTGCTGCTTGGAGGAGATTGTACGGTTGAAACGCGTTTCCTTTTGGCTACGAAGCCTCACTTGGCACACCAGGCTCGCGTCCTGAGAATTCAGGCTCGAATGGCCGTTCAGGCGCTTGCAGTTCAGCTCCGTGGGGCAAGCCAGCACCAACCATAAGACGTGATGGCTTTTGGCTGACGCGACGCGTACCCTACACCTCAGTGTCATCACAACGCGGCTCGTCTGGCACCGAATATTATGAGGCAATTGATCCAACAGGTTTATTCGGAAAATGGACATGATTTGGCTATGTTTCTAATTGCTGGATATGACAATGGCACCGTGTCCTGAGTTGTGCGGTGTGTTTCTCGTGGGACTCCTTACCTGGAGCTTGATAGATGCATCGAAGTTGTTTAAAACAACACTGGGCATGGTGCCAATTTACTTAAGACGTAAACATGAACCATGGCCTCTTGCCTCGCTTGAGCGTATTATTTTGCAAATTCATCATCTCGATTTCTCGAAATGAGATGCGAGCTTGAAGGACAACCTCGTCCAAGGCATCCTGAATGGCAGCGACAACGCTCAGCCACATGTCGGAGCCTGATGGGCGATCAAGTCATATAACACGTTAGAATGAGTGTGGAGGGGCAATGCAATGGAAACACAAGTTGTCCAGATATTTCACGATGAAAACGGTTCTTCACAACGCGCATTGAGGTCCAGAAGATGTTGATGACAGAATTTGCTCCCATGATAGTCCCAAGTTTGAAGCTCCCTGGCATCTAAGAGGACAACGTGGCCGAGTGGTTAAGGCGATGCCCTGCTATCCTGCATATCAAGGCATTGTGTTCGCACGCGTAGGTTCGAATCCTGCCGTTGTCGACATTGTTTTTTTGCCTTTTGAAGCAAATCTTTTGCCATTCTGAAGTGCTGATGCTGTTGGTGATGTTTTTGTAGTGTTGTTCATTGACTTTTGCTGCATTTGGCCGACTTGCCTGTTTGGGCCGCCCTGAGCAAATCCTCATCCACAATCATCATAAGCATCATCATAAAATCTGAAGTGGGTCTCGCACACTGTCCCGTCTTCTGCCTCTTCGCAGGACCTCCCGTTTAATAAATTGTTTTCTTTCGCATTCATTGTGTTCTCTTTGCCTCTGTTTGTGTCTTTATCTCGCCTGCATCACTCTTATCTTTATTTGCTCGGGTTTGCGTACGCCCTTCGCCGAGCACGGATCTTGCGGCCTTCGGCTCGGGTGGGGCCGCCCATCTCAGTGGATCCCGGGTCGGACGCTCCGAGGTCCGGGTCCTGATGAGTGAAACGCAGTGGTTCTGGCCAGATTAACTATCGTCATGCTTCGAATGATTTCATTCATATTCATTGGTCCTAGAAGGATGGGCTTACAATTTTTTCTTGGTTGCCAGTTGTTGTCCAGTCCTCTCTCCAGTCTCAGCGTCCTGCCGTTCGGACCACAGCCCTGTGGTATCGTCGCAAGATGGCAGAGGACAGGGTCCAATTCCCACGATACGAGCCTTCTGAAAGATTACGAAACTGTATGCAGCAGGATTCCCAGCCAGTTGATCTTAATTGGGGGGAGGATGCATCACGATCAAAGCCAGTCACTGTTCCGATGGACGGTTGTGTTTAAGTGCCAATGTATCCATGTATGTAAAGTAAAAGGAATGAATAAGTATAAACAAGAAGGCCAAAAAAGGGCCAAGTCAGCCATGAGTCAAAAGACTGAGGCCACTGGCAAGAAGCGAATATGTACCATGTCTAAAGCCCAAAAACTCCAACCCAATGTCGTTGAGAAAAGTGCCGAATGAAACTGTTTAGTTCTTCTTTCCACCGTGGTACTTGCCGTCGTCGTAGCCGGTGTCGCCGCCCTCATACTTTCCCTCGTGCCACTTTCCATCATCGTAGGGAGTTCCCTCACCCTCGTACTTGCCCTCGTGCCAGGAACCATCGTCGTTGCGCTTGGTCTTCTCGCCGTGGTACTTGCCATCATCATAGCCAGTATCACCGCCCTCGTACTTGCCCTCCTCCCACTTGCCGTCATCATATCCGGTGTCACCACCCTCGTACTTTCCCTCGTGCCAAGAGCCGTCATCCGCGCGCTTGACCTTGCCACCGTGGTACTTTCCGTCGTCGTAGCCGGTATCACCACCTTCGTACTTGCCCTCATGCCACTTTCCGTCGTCATAAGGGGTACCCTTGCCCTCATACTTCCCCTCGTGCCAGCTTCCATCATCGTTGCGCTTGACCTTTCCGCCATGATACTTGCCGTCGTCGTAGCCAGTATCACCACCCTCGTACTTTCCTTCGTGCCACTTTCCATCATCGTAGGGAGTTCCCTTGCCCTCATACTTGCCAGGGGCCCAGGAACCGTCGTCATTGCGCTTGGCCTTGCCGCCAGGGTACTTTCCGGGGTACCACTTTCCGTCGTCGTGGCCAGTGCCCTCGCCTTCGTACTTTCCCTCGTGCCACTTGCCGTCATCGTAGGGAGTTCCCTTTCCTTCGTACTTTCCGGGATGCCAAGAGCCATCATCGTTGCGCTTGGACTTTCCGCTGGGATACTTGTCGGGGGTCCACTTGCCATCATCGTAGCCAGTGTCACCGCCCTCATACTTTCCCTCATGCCATTTGCCGTCGTCGTAGCCTGTGCCCTTGCCCTCGTACTTGCCAGGAGCCCAAGAGCCATCGTCGGCAGGCTTGGCAGTGGGAAGAGCCAGAGCCGTGGCGGCAAAGGCGATGAGAGTGAGGGAGTAGCGCATATTGAAGATTGAAAGAAGAGATGAATTAATCAAGAAGATGTATGTAAGGCAGCGAGTGTTGTGTGAATGTTGGTGTAAGTGAAAGGTAGTTGAGTTGTTGTGTAAGTGAGAGGTGGATGAGGATGATGAGAATGAAGAGAATGTATTGATCGGGGAATCACTTGGTTCTTAAATAATAGAATTCTTCTAGCACTAAAGCCTCTGTTGTAAGTTGCCGTTGATTTTCAACGCAAACCTCCATCTACACCACAGAATATGGTGATGGTCGGCGCAGCTTGTGTGTGTCAAGCCTCATCACCACACCCAACGTAGCCAGGGCTGGGGCTCTGTTACGCCATAAGCGGGTGGAAAGCCTCGTGGTACAGTGGGTTGCTATTTCGGGCTGACTGAGCCTCCGCCAGTTCGGTCTCAGCTGCGCCCAGCGAATCAGCGCTAACCTCTGGGCAACGGCCTTGGCGGAATCGGCGATAGTCTGTCTGTTAGTGTTCGGGGTGGCTGTGCTGATCGGACAGGCCTGGACCGGAGTCCATGTGGTGATGATGGTGGTGGCATCCCAGATGCGAGAGGTCCACCCGGACGAGGGTCCCCGAGTCTGCCGTGTCTACCCCGCAACGAGATGCCGAGATGCTCGGGGCTGAGGGAGGGTCAGCTGTGCCACGCCTCCATCACGAGCTTGCATAACGTGTGTAAGACTAGCAGGTCTGGTTGGGTAATCTATTGCTGGAGTTGGCAGTTAATGGCGCTGTAACCTGATCAAAGTGCGAGACTGTCGGCCTTGTCACAGCATCCTCCTCGTATTCAAAGACAACACGGCACGTCATGGCGATCCTTCTTACTGTGACGTTGGAAGGATTTGCGGGACATGTCTGTTTGTCAGAATGAGCGGCATATGTGCATATCAGGCTGTCAAAGTGTCTTGGATGTCAGATGCAGGCGTGAGCATGTACCCTCCGATGTGGTGGATACTCAGTTCCGTCATCGTGGGCAAGGCCGAAATAAACTCAGCTCGCCCTACGGCTAAACCCTTTAGCCATCACCGGACCTTTTTTTTAGTAAGCTTAACTCCCCAATGAGACGTTACTCTCTATGCTTACTGGCTTTCTCGGACTCAGCCCTACCTCGCAAAGACGGCTTGGGCAGGCCGTGTCTTGACCCGGAAATCAGTGTTACCGGAGGGCAAATGGGCTGGCTGATGGTGTGCAACCAAGACAAAAGGGTGGTGGCTTCCAAGTATACGAGCCATTCCCCACGATATGATCAAGAGGCCTCTGAGATGGTAGAATCTCTGCATTCCATTACGTCGAGGGCGAAGGTGTAAGCCTCCTCGCAAGCCCGCATCTGCTAGCTTGCTTTTGGAGCAAACATCAGCACCGAAAGCGCACCACTACGGCAGATGCCAAGACCGAGCTGAATATGGTCGACCTTGAATGATGCCGTCGTGCCGTGCGCCATTCCAATAGAGCCTGATGTGATTTCAGCTATGGGTAGCTGCTGCGCCCATATTCCATGTGGCATTCATACACGTGCGATGCGTGATGACAATTGATACTCCATGAGCCTGGTACACGTTACATAGCTACGTAAGACTATTGTATTCGCAATTGTGGCAATGCTCAACGCAAGAAGACTCTTTCGGCGAAGAGTTACACAGCAGGCCATTTCGCCGACATGTCTCGTAGCACGTATACCATCCTTGAAAATAATGCCTATTATGAAGCAGGCTGTGAGGTCTTGGCTGTTTTGCTGTTTTCAGTAAGCAGGATGCGAGGGAGGAGTATGCGTCTGCCATAAGCAGATCCTTCCGAGAGTATACGGGGTGAGATGGAGTCTGCCGTTATTTGTCATCCAGCTTGGATGTAGGAATTGTCAGTTGGAATGGGGACATGCCATTTGTTTGAACTTCGCCGCACACTGCCTGAAGCTGTAAATAGGCTCTTCCGATATAAGCCGATGGATGAATAGGCTTCGTATGCCAGTCAGCAGGCAACAGATGAGCTCCCGTTTTCAAACGGGTCCGTGAGTTATGCTGAGTGACGGGACGGGTAAGTCTCTCAAATGTGCTCCGGCCTTGATGTTTCCCATCTTCCATATCGTCTAGATAAGTCGATAATTGCAAACGAGCTACCACGAGTGCTGCTTGACGAATGTCTTTAGGTGCTAGTTGAACGTATCAAACATGACGGTCAAAAATAGAAGGAACCCTTGCTATGTGAGGGGCGAAGCAGGCCTTAGTAAGGAGTAGAGGCTGGAGATTCGGAACATATTGACTGGAATGAAGGCCAACTCACACCAAAGCTGTGTCAGTGTTGTTGTTCACCCAAAAACAACTCAAAGACAGGCAATGTGTATCTTGCGTGACGAGAAAGGGAGATGCGAGTGGTTATTGGGTGAGTTTAGTTTCGCTTGTAGAACTACGCCGGTTTCATGTGCCCGAAGAAACACTACGCGCGTACTGAAACATGTGCCCGGATGCCACTATCGATATTCAGATGTTTAAGAACTCGAAATTATCTTTGAGAGGAACTACGGAAGCCGAAACACGCACAATACCAGCAGAACAAGTGGCTGCAAGGATGCCGATGGGTGACTTGAAAGAGGTACATTTTGCGACACAGGCTGGATGTTGGGTGAGAGGATGAGCAAGACCAAGAGACTATATGGGAGGGGAAACAAGCTTACTAAATGTAAGCCTTCGTTTTTATAGAGTCTCATCAGTGCTGGCGGGTTTCATCCGGCGCATGGGGTGGATCTTGAAGTTGTGGTCATCAAAGAAGGGTTACCTAGTCAGTTAGATATTTGACTCTTAACCTTGAGATAAATAGGATCTTGAAGTAATACTTTTTCTTTTTGAAACGACTGAAACATGTGATCATTTTTGCAATTCTTTCGACTATCGGGTCTAACATGCCGTGCAAATGTCTGGAATTCCTATCAACGAGAGATAACCCAATTCCTGCGAGACATACCTTTCCCTAATCCCTCTTCCATTCCCGCAGAACATTAGCAAGTATATTATTGCCAGCTGAGGCCGCCAGCTTTGCAGCTCGCTTACACCTCCTCTCCAAAGTCTCAAGCTCAGTATCATTACGAATAAGTAGGCACGTAAGATCAAGGCGTTCATGTTCAGCAGCGGCTTCGAGCGCTGTACGTCCTCCAGTCGCTGCCGGTGGCGCGTTGATATCAGCGCCTTCTTTAAGTAGCATCAGCGCAATACGCAGATGACCCGCCATTGCTGCCTTTTGCAATGCCGTTGCCCCATGGTACGGACTTGCCGGAGCATTGACATCGGCGTCGTGTAAAAGCAGAAACTTGACCATGCGAACAGATCCTCGAGCAACTGCCGCTTGGAGCGCTGTTTCGCCCCACTGTGAACTAGCAGGAGCGTTGATATCTGCTCCAGCTTGCAGTAATATGTCAACGAGCTCGGTCTTTCCTGATGCAGCTGCTCCTTGAAGGGCCGTCTTGGAATGTGGACCAAGAGCGGGGGAATTGACGTTGGCCCCGGCTTTGAGCAAAGCTTGTACTGTCCAGATAGAACCCTTTGCAGCAGCGGCCTGGAGAGGGAGACCATGATCTGAGTTCACATCAACATGGTGGCTCAACAAAGTACGGACAAGGTCCTCGTTGATACTCCATCGGCTCACTGCTTCTAGAAGTGGCGAGTCACGCTTCACACCTGGAGGATTGTTCACACTAACCCCATGTGAAAGTAACAACTCGACCATCTTGAGCGAGTTGTTGAGGACCGCCTGTCGGAGTGCTTCCACGCCAACTTGGCCGCCTAATGTTGGTTTAGCGCGTAGTATAGCACGCGCTATATCTAGACTATCTCTCTCGACAGCGAGTTCGAGCGGTGTCTTGCGCTTATGGGTTCTGTCGACATCTGCACCGGCATCCAAAAGCCAGCACACCATGTCAAGGACATCCAGACTCGTCGCTATTCCGAGAGGCGTCTGCTCCCCCCCGCAGCCATTTGGATCTGCTCCACCAGCTATCAGAGAGTGAGCCAGGTCACGGTTCTGATTGGCAATAGCAAAGCCGAGCGCTGAAGACCCTTCTTTAACCGATTCCGGTAGATTGAGGTCCGCTCCCCTTTCAATCAACATCGCAGATACCCGTTCATTACTGAACTCGATTGCAGCTTGCAAGGGTGTTCGTCCGCCTCTTTCAGAGGATGCAGGGCTATCAATATCAGCCCCAAGGTGAAGTAGCAGTTCCACCATCTCGGTATTCCCGCTGGCAGCAGCTGCCTGAATGCATGTGCGGCCATCCGTGGGCGCAGGTGCAGCATTGATATCAGCGCCAGCATTGACCAATAACTTGACCAAGTCAATGTTCTGTGATTCAACTGCTGCTTGAACTGCGGTACGGCCTTCACAAGAACTTGGGAGGGCGTTGACCTGAGCGCCCGCTTTGAGTAGGTACTCGACTAGATCATCGTCTCCCGATCCTGCAGCTTCTTGGAGAGCGGTTCTCCCTCTTTTGCGATCCTGAACGGCGCTGTTCACATCTGCCCCTTTCTTCAGCAATAGCTGAGCGAGCTTCAGGTTTCCTAGTGCCGATGCCATTTCCAATGCAGTGCCTTCACAGCCTCTAGCATTGACATCCGCGCCCAGGTTCAGGAGCATTCGAACCAGAACGACGTTTTCCCTTGCCACAGCTGATATGAGCGCCGGTCGTAGCCTGCAACCAAACTCGCAATAACCATGATGGTGTTCTTCTTCTTCCTCGTCCTCCTCCTCGCTGAGTTTACCACTGTACATGAGCCTTGGAAAAAGCTCTCTGACCGGGAAGCCGTGAATATCCGCACCGGCTTCCAGAAGAACTTGCACCATCTCCATATTGCGTCCGTTCGCTGCCATTTGGATTGGCGTTTCCACAACATCGGACCATTTCTCCTCTACGGAGCGTTTGCACACACCTTGATACGCCTTGCCGATTGGACAATCAACGTCAGCTCCCGCTGCGATCAAAATCTCAGTGATGTCGATATTGCCGAG